GAACCAAGAACCCACCCCCAATCCGCCTGCTGCTCACCACAGCTGCTGGGTGGTTCCTCCCGCGCATGATTACGCAGGTTCTGGCGCCCATCCGTTGGCTAGCCTGGGGCTGGGCCTGGCTGGAGCTGCAGCCGTCATAAAGTCGCTGTATACCCTAATTCCGAACCACCTATCAGCTCGTCTGACAGACAAGCTTCTTGTGACAGAGTTCAGCTAGCCTTGGAGCCTCCAAGCAGGGGAATCGCTGGCTCCTGGCCGCCCTCGTGTCCTATTATTGCCGATGCCCAGCGCTCGCGCCCACCCAAAGTCAATTGGGCGCTGCGCAACCGTCGACAGCGGCCAACCGTTCCACGCACCTCATTCCACATCTCACCACACTTGCACTCGCTAGCGCCAGTTTCGGTGTCGACATATCTGCTAACTCCCAAGACGTGCATGATGGCTACGTACCAACTAGTCGCCAGCTCGAGGCCGCCCGGTGTCTGAAGTTGTGGCTGAAGTACCCAGATGTTCTCCCACCTCTCACACCACTAAAAGGGGATCAGAACACCCTATCCAGTCATTGGCCATGATTCGACGACACATCCACATAACTTATTTGCATATGACGGGCGGGGACCCTACATGCTTCGATCACTGCCCATTGGAGAGGGTAGTGGAGGTGCTTGTAAGTGCAAGTGAGTGTACTGAACTTCCCCAGCACCAGCCGCCGCCACCACAGCGTGCCAGAAACCCGTAACGCTCGCCAGCATACGCAATCGATGCTACGATACTGCTCGGATACCTAGTGTCGATGGTGCTGGAGCGGTGGGCTGCAAATCACAATCATGATGGGCTCGTCACTTTCATGCACCTATCTGAATGGGGAAAGCCACGGCCGGACCTTGTTTTTGCTAGCAGCGCCTGGGGTCCGTCTCCTACAGGCCGCAAGCCGTAGGGAACTACTTGCGTCTGCGACTGTGCCCTTGCAAGCGACCTGCAGGTGGATACAAGAGTGTTAGGTACATATACGGGATCTCACCATACATAAAGATGTGTACATACACACAGGCAGACATGCATTCCGACGGGGGAACTGCTCCGTTTTGCATGCCAATAAGCTACATAAATTGCATACATATACATGAGCATGGTGCATCATACCGCAGGCACAATGTAGGTACACGCTGATGGGAGGGACCCCTACCAAGATCTCATGTCGTCTGACGCCCAGAGCAAGCTCGTGCCCTATATGCCGGGTTTATACGTGCATACGTGCTCTGTAGTGTGTTACAAACCCCGTCCGTACCTGGCCGACCTACCAGGGCGAGAGGCAACCCCCGTGGTATGAGGCGAATATACCTGTGAGCTGATGGGCAACGCTTCCAGGCTGCGGTGTCTCTGTTTGTTTGTTTGTTTCGGGCCATCTAAACGGGTGGCCCTCCTCTGCGCAGGCCACCGGCGTTGATCCAGTCGGCCAAGGCCCAATGTAACGCTGCTTGCTGGCTGGAGAAAATAGAGCTACTGCAGGTTTTGTCACAACGGATTGGCATGTTTTCTTCCAGTATAATAACAACAACAAATACAACAATAACAGGGAATCGCGGTCACAGCCGGGTACGTCTTAGACAGAGCCGTGCCTAGTCCCGGATGCTATTTCGTCCGCAAAGCCTCAATGGCCCACGACTACCCATCTATTCGTAGCACCGCATGTAGGTAATATGTTATTCCGTCCCTGCACTCATCCTCGTTGAGGAGCGGCAAGACAATGTTGGGAATCTGTGGTACGACACAGCTCTGCACATCATCCACCGCCAATTGAAGAGCACCGTTGGCGTCGGACCTGGACGTTGTGCAATGCAACCCTGCCGTGTCGGAGGAGGCTGCTTCCCCCACAGTCGATAGCTTCGCTTTTCCTTCCAGATCTAGGTTTGGCCCCAATGGCTCAGACACTGCCTGCGTACGCACAACATTAGGCGAGGATCTGCCATGGTTTTCTCATTCGCAATCCCCGTCCACGGTGCTGACGGGGACGGGAAATAACAAGCCATCAGTCCTGCAATTCCGATTTGTCCCACGGTTGCCCGCTGTGCGTGTAATAAATCGTAGTATTCTCGACATATTAGCAGCCGGCGATACGAGAGGTAAGCCGTGCTGGGGACATCCTGCAGCATCCCGCACATCGGTTGAGGCACAGGAAGGGTGGCCACAATTACAATCACAGCCTCCTCCCTGCTAATCTACTTACAACTAACTTCCCAAGGTGTTGGATGTACCCAACTGGGAGCACCCTCGAGTCTGTGCAGCATCCTAAATGCCACACCTGAACGAAGCCTTGGCCCAGTGAGCAATATCACCGGCTGCTATTCCTTCACTTCCTTTTATTTTTATTTTTGCTTTTTCCTCCGCTGACCGATCTTACCCGCGTCTTAGCTGCGGCAGGGCATTCCTTGAGGAAGACTCTGCTATGACTTGCGTGGGAATAAGAGCGACCAACATGTCTGATGTGCATGAGGAGGCGAAACATGCTACCCCATCTGGGTTAGTGAACCAACAGCTCAATATCCACGATCCAGGCACGAAAGATTATTCCAAGTCCAGAAACTGACTGTTTTGCTGATATTTCAGCGAGGCCGGTTTCCCGTGCAGGTTCATCCCAATTTAACTGGGAAAATCCCCGAACCTGTTCGTATCTCCATGAAGGATGTGCCTACCCACACAAGATGACATCTACGTGCGTGAGGTGTGCCAGCTTCTGCGGGCTTCATAGGCAGAGTATTGATGCGTTAATGCAATGCCAAAGCTAGTTGCTGGGCTGACGCCACCTTCCTTCAAAAGTGCTGCGATTGGCGTCGAAACTTCTGTCCCGACAATGTGGGGAGCTCAAGCCTTTTCTTCATGTTGGTAATTCTCTCACCCACATCCAATACTTCTCACCGATACATACAGCCAAAGTACATCCGATGAACCATGACTACTGCAAGAGACGCCGTGCTAGTGATGCCCCATCATCGAGGACCACATCACCGGCGTTAGCACCATCAGGTGACCATGGGATTTGCGGAGCGCCCGTCACTGATGTTTGGGACATAATACCAGGCTACTATCGTGTTTGATTGCGAAGTCAAGGGCAGAGACGAAAAGAAGGGTTGAAAACGTGACATCTCCTACATATTCATGCCACCGGGGTCGCCAACCTCAATTGATCCACATCTCGTGTATCAGACACACATGGCAGAACCAATTTCCATGAGAAAATTTGTGTCTCACAGAGCCGGACGGCTCTCCGGATGTGCTCACATCCAAGTCAAAGAGGGCGGTCTCCTCAGCCAGTCCCAGCATCCGCTACGACGAGAACAGCATGGCGGCCTCCAGGCGGGCTGCGCTGTGTGATAGATCTCAGATCTAGAATGGTGTAAACCACAGCCAAGCCCGTTCGGCACAGGCTCCCAAACAGCCGGCTCAGCGAGGTGACGCTGCCTCCACTCGCGTGACAAGAGGCTAGACGATCCTGTCATCCTGCGCATCTGGTCCAGCTGAGAGATCGCCTAAGCATTAGTCTGATACCCTAGCACCGTCTGCGGATTGGCGTCACCAGCTAACGCCCATCAACCCAGAGCGCAAGCGAGGAGGCAAACAAGGCCCTCGAAAGTTCACAGCCGGCGGGGAAGAGAGGCAGAAAACCGGTAATCATTCTTGGGGGTGGCCGAATGCGGCATGTGCTTCGGTGCACCTGAAAGCTGGACAACAGGCTTCCTGGGGGATATCACGAGGCGCCCTCGTCAAGCAATTGCCACATCCGGCCGCGAGATTCGGGCTAGTGCTCATCCGCGGTCCACCGAGATTCAGCATGGGATTCTTTCGATTGTTTGTTTACACATGGTGGTCGACCTGGGCCCGGCCCACATACATACGTCGTGCAGGAAATCTTTTTGCAGGCCCCCTGCCGTATGCAGTCAGGTGCAGATGGTTTTTCAGGTGAGAACGCGTCCGGGACGCGCAGAGCCTAGTCCCCCGTTGACGCGTCGGCAATTGAGTTTGGCAACCTGATTGGCGGCTGGCCGATTCACCATCACGTCATGCGCAGAAAGGCTGTCTGAAGTCTAACCAGGGTGACTAGAATTCTCCTTAAGCCTATATTGTCATCCTTGAAGAATCCTGGCAACTTCGGAGGCCGCAATTGGACCTTTGCTGTTGGCTGCTCACTCGTCGTGTGATTTCTCTGCGGATTGCGGAGTGTCGTGCCGTCCTCATCCGTGGGGTTGTCCATGGATTCGAGCACCCTCGAGGTTTGTTTGCTTTGCTCGTGTAGGTAGGTGGTGGAAATTAGGTCAGCCTTAGGGCTGCCATGAAATTGATCCTTCAGTTTCATCTTACGTCCCTATCGGTCAGCGACGACGACCCGGCTGGTTCGACTTACAGTGTGACTTTTGATCTCGAAATATTCAATGGTACTTATTTGTAGAGCGTCTGATTGTCCTTATAGCTTAGTAGGTGAATTTTCGTGATAGTGTTGGCGTGCTGAATACTAGTAGAAATAGGGTAAGTAGATCTGCTTCAAGGTTCAAACATTTCTAAGCCGCTTGAGTACTACATGCTGTATCTAGTAGCATCCCATTGTGATGTACAATGATAGACAGATAGAGGATATAAACATCAATGGACCAAACACAAAACCAAGCCATCCTACCTGGTAACCGAGAAATCCAAGCGTATATTTTGAGATGTGATGTCGAAAGGTTGTCCAATTCTTCAACCTGCGCAAGTGGTTCACCTGTGATATAGGGTAGGCAATGGCGATGAGCCACGCCAGACCCACTTAAATGGAGGGGCAGCACCAGTCAACGGCTACGCACCAAAAATGTTGCTTGGGATGCTATACGATTCACTCATCTGGTTGTTCACAAGCAGACAAGGCAAAGTCGCACAGTCTGAACTGAAAAGCAAACAAGTGAGATAATTTACGTCAAGCTATTATATTGGAACACTGTTGATCTAGCAATCGACGGTAATTCTGCACCATGGAGGCAGAAATCAGGGCCGTGCTTCCTGATATTGACCCGGTCATCTCTGACTATTCCGTGGGATATCTCAACCATGCATCCACACTTTGGTCGGACGAAGAAGATGCCTCCGGTCCGTCCCCTCTCGACCAGGCTGCATCGGACATCACGGAGATCCTCCTATCGGCATCGGGTAACTTGAGCCCCAAGCTGGAGGACCAGATTACCCAACTCGTCAAGAAATGGGTTGACAAGTACACCGAGGCAAATGGAGGACAGAGAAGTGGCCCGGCTGCAGTGAAGAGATTGGACCAAACTATCCAGGTCAGCTCTCAGAGGAATATGTCCTCAACATTGGCAGTTGCCACGGGCGGTGTGGACCTCGAATCCGCCAACGTCAAGAAGGTTGAGTCCAAGGTCGACCGGAAGAAGCTGGAGAAGGCCGAACGCAAGATTGCCGCCAAACAACAGAAGAAGACGTTCAAGACTGTTGAGTATGAGGCCTCCAGGCTTCTTGACCAGCCCGAGTCCACCCAGTCATACGAAGAGTTCTACATGGCTGTCAACCCTCTGCAACTGGGCTCATCGAGCAGCAACAAGACCAAGGATATCACTTTGGACAACATCGATGTGTCCATTGGAGGCCTGCGTATTTTGACAGACACGACTCTGACACTGGCCTACGGTCATCGTTACGGTCTGGTTGGTAAGAACGGTATTGGTAAATCTACATTGCTCCGAGCGCTGTCTAGGAGAGAAGTCGCAATTCCTACACACATCTCCATTCTCCACGTGGAACAAGAGGTACGGATATTCGAGTCGACTCGAGAAAGAGAGATATGCTGACGAAAACAGATTACTGGAGACGACACTCCTGCCATCCAAGCTGTGCTCGACGCAGATGTCTGGCGAAAGGTTCTTCTTCGGGAGCAGGATGTAAGTACCTCGATTCGATAAGAGTAGGACTCTGATGCAAATGATGGGGTAACTGACCTTGCACCCTAGGAAATCACCCAAAAGCTGGCCGAAATCGAAGAGAAACGAGCCCCATTGGCGGACACATCAGCCGATGCTGCCAAGCTTGATCTGGAGCGAGAAACCCAAGATACGAAGCTTGGTGATATCCAAGCCAAGCTTTCCGAGATGGACTCTGATAAGGCTGAATCTCGTGCCGCAAGTATCCTGGCTGGTCTCGGTTTCTCGGCCGAGCGACAACAGTATGCCACCAAGACTTTCTCTGGTGGTTGGAGAATGAGACTGGCGCTTGCCCGAGCACTGTTCTGCGAACCTGATCTGCTTCTTCTCGACGAACCGTCTAACATGTTGGACGTTCCTTCCATTACTTTCCTTTCCAACTATCTCCAGGGATACCCAAGCACAGTGCTGGTCGTCTCTCACGACAGAGCATTCTTGAACGAGGTGGCTACTGATATTGTTCACCAACACTCGCAACGCCTCGATTACTACAGAGGAGCCAACTTCGACACCTTCTACGCGACCAAAGAGGAGAGAAAGAAGGTGGCTCGGAGGGAGTATGAGAACCAGATGGCCCAGCGAGCCCACTTGCAGGCCTTCATCGACAAGTTCCGTTACAATGCCGCCAAATCTTCAGAAGCTCAGTCTCGAATCAAGAAACTCGAAAAGATGCCTATACTAGAGCCACCCGAGGCCGAATACAGCGTCAAATTCGTCTTCCCTGATGTCGAGAAGCTGTCACCACCAATTGTACAAATGTCAGAAGTTACCTTCGGATATAGCGCGGACAAGGTCCTGCTACGAAACGTCGACCTTGACGTGCAGCTGGACTCGCGAATTGGCATTGTTGGACCCAACGGTGCCGGTAAGACAACGATTCTGAAGCTCCTCATCGGCAAGTTGTCACCTTCTTCAGGCTTGATAACAGCTCACGCAAGGCTCCGCATTGGTTTCTTTGCGCAGCACCACGTGGATGCTCTTGACCTTAACGACAGCGCAGTCGGTTTCATGGCCAAGAACTACCCTGGACGCACGGACGAGGAGTACCGCAGACAGCTCGGTGCCTTTGGTATCACTGGCACCACAGGTCTGCAGAAGATGGCACTGCTCTCTGGTGGTCAGAAGTCCAGGGTTGCGTTTGCCTGCATTGCCCTCACGAACCCGCACATCCTCGTGCTGGACGAACCTTCTAACCATCTTGATATCGAAGCTATGGATGCCCTGGCCGAAGCCCTGAACGCCTACCAAGGAGGTGTTCTGATGGTTTCTCACGACGTGACCATGTTGCAGTCCGTCTGCACATCGCTGTGGGTGTGTGACGGCGGAACGGTGGAGAAGTTCAACGGGGATGTGCAAGCATACAAGAAGAAGATTGCTGCCCAGGCAGATGCTGCAGGTGTTGTCAAGGCTCACTAGATACTTGGTACTATTCTATCATGCATACATCTGGCGGCTATGTGAAGCCAGCATTGACTCTACGCTCACCCATCCCTTCTGTGTGCTCCTTATGCTATGTAGTCCCTTTCTTTGTGCTCGTTGTGCTATGTAGTGATGGATGAAGTATTGCTGTCAAATGCTTGCTCTAGTCCCTCACCGTATATGTATATTAAGATGAGTATCATCAAGAGGTCAGCAAGTGGGTGACATTGAAATTAAGACACTCAAATGCCAAGTTGCTTATTGTACATTAGAGATATTATCGTATACATTGTTCCTCTGTTAAACGGAGAAAGTAGTCTGGTCATCACTCTCTTCTATTGGATGTCTCATTTCTCCTGTCACCCACTTGCCAGGTCCTCGGGTAGTACTGGCAGCTGTGGGGCAGCAATATCTCGGCAGCGCTGATACCCCCACCTAATCTGATGCTTGACCGTATCAATAAATAGGAGCACAAGCTATCCCAAACTGACAATGAATGGTAGTAGGTAGACTGTCTGCTTCGACGGTGTAGAGCTTTTCTAGATACTTAGGTTCTATGGACGTTGTCTTGCAGCTTTGGCTCCGAGACATCGCTGCCCCAAAGCACAAAGGCACGACAGCACTTGCTCGCTGGTTGTTGGGCGACAAGATTAAATAAGGTGATTTGGCTGATTGGGCGGTGTTGGAGCCTTTCCGCTTCGGGTCCGCCTGCAGGCAAGGGTGTAAACAATGCGCGGCGGCGACTGGCTGCTTGTTTTTCTGCCCCTGCCGCCTGCCTGGTCTAACGAGGGGCCAACAACGCTGCTGTGGGGTCGAGCCAATTCCCGCCGCCTGCCACCCCCTAATTCACAGTGGCTGTAGCTGGTACCTGCACCTAAGGCGGCAAGAAGCTGGGGGGTCCTTCGTGGCGGTCAGACAGGTCACCACTTTCTGCTCCGTCTCCAACAAAAATCAACATCCATTTCCTTGCTCCTACAATCCACTTCCTCGCCCATCACCCACTCCCAAGCTTCACGTAGCTCTTCTGTGGTTGTATTTCGCTTCCTCTACCTGCAACACTTCCTTCTACACTCTTCAACACCTCCAAAATGCGTGAGATTGTGAGTTCTGCTTTCCCCTCGACGCGTTTCTTCATGTCGAGCCCCTGATCTACCCCGCCGAAACGCAGCCAAACTATGTTTTGGCCTCAACAACCGTTTGTGGCTGTTGAGATGCTTCGTGTTTTGGAGATTCTATGTGCTAACCAATGAATTTCCCCCAATAATAGGTTCATCTTCAGACCGGTCAGTGCGTAAGTTATTGCTCCTCCCAGACGGGCGTTTGCCTGGTGATTGATTCTACGGTGTGCTAACATTGGTCGTTGAAAAGGGTAACCAAATTGGTGCTGCTTTCTGGCAGACCATCTCTGGCGAGCACGGTCTCGACAGCAATGGTGTCTACAGCGGTACCTCCGAGCTCCAGCTCGAGCGCATGAACGTCTACTTCAACGAGGTATGCCCAGACCGAACTTCACATATTACGATGATTTTCATCCTCTGACCGAGATTTGTGTATAGGCTTCCGGCAACAAGTATGTTCCTCGCGCTGTCCTCGTCGATCTTGAGCCCGGTACCATGGATGCCGTTCGTGCTGGACCTTTCGGCCAGCTCTTCCGCCCCGACAACTTCGTTTTCGGTCAGTCCGGTGCTGGCAACAACTGGGCCAAGGGTCACTACACTGAGGGTGCTGAGCTTGTCGACCAGGTCCTTGACGTCGTCCGTCGCGAGGCTGAGGGCTGCGACTGCCTCCAGGGTTTCCAGATCACCCACTCTCTCGGTGGTGGTACCGGTGCCGGTATGGGTACTCTGCTTATCTCCAAGATTCGTGAGGAGTTCCCCGACCGCATGATGGCCACCTTCTCCGTTGTTCCCTCCCCCAAGGTTTCCGACACCGTTGTTGAGCCTTACAACGCCACTCTCTCCGTTCACCAGCTTGTCGAGAACTCCGACGAGACCTTCTGTATCGACAACGAGGCTCTGTACGATATCTGCATGAGAACCCTCAAGCTGTCCAACCCCACCTACGGTGACCTGAACTACCTGGTCTCCGCCGTCATGTCCGGTGTTACCACCTGCCTGCGTTTCCCTGGTCAGCTGAACTCTGACCTGCGCAAGCTGGCCGTCAACATGGTTCCTTTCCCTCGTCTGCACTTCTTCATGGTCGGATTCGCTCCCCTGACCAGCCGTGGTGCCCACTCTTTCCGTGCTGTCAGCGTTCCTGAGTTGACCCAGCAGATGTTCGACCCCAAGAACATGATGGCTGCTTCTGACTTCCGCAACGGTCGCTACCTGACCTGCTGTGCTATCTTGTAAGTTCAGTGACAGATAAAATCTGGTTGAGTCTCAAAGCTAATCATGTTCAATAGCCGTGGTAAGGTCGCCATGAAGGAGGTTGAGGACCAGATGCGCAACGTCCAGAACAAGAACTCCTCTTACTTCGTTGAGTGGATTCCCAACAACATCCAGACCGCTCTCTGCGCCATTCCTCCCCGTGGCCTCAAGATGTCTTCTACCTTCATCGGTAACTCCACCTCCATCCAGGAGCTCTTCAAGCGTGTCGGTGAGCAGTTCACCGTTATGTTCCGTCGCAAGGCTTTCTTGCATTGGTACACTGGTGAGGGTATGGACGAGATGGAGTTCACTGAGGCTGAGTCCAACATGAACGATCTCGTCTCTGAGTACCAGCAGTACCAGGAAGCTGGTATTGATGAGGATGAGGGTGATGAGTACGAGGAGGAGGGTCCTATTGAGGGCGAGGAGTAAATTCGCCCTTGATCTATAATTGCTTCGGAAGCTCTGCAAGGCTGGGCCAAGCTTCAGGCATCTTACGACCTGAACTAATTTCAATTCGGAGTGCTGTGATTCTTGTAAAGAGGATTCGACCTCATGACATTCAAAGGGCGTTGCGATTCTCAAAGTAATTGTGCACGGCCAAAACTTTTAAGAAATATATCAATTGAAGTACGATTGTACTCACTTTTAATGGCCCTAATATTGTATTCTCCATGATTACTGTGCATGATGAAACTGATATCAATATGTGTATTCCTGGACGCTACCTACCTACCTACCTAATCCACACGTCTCGGTTGCGCAACACGTGATAATATTAGTCAGCACAAAAACTCCCATCGACTTGTTCCCAACGTTACAGCTTCATGCAGAAAGTCTCGAGGGCGTCAGTCAAATCCAATTGCGACAGCCCCATTAAGCTCAATGGCTTCATTAATAGCTCCCAGTAGGTCCAAGCTCCTGGCAAAGGCCACGCAGGCCTCGAGCTCGACCGCCCTGCCGAGCTTCCTCCTGCCCGCCTGGCAACAGCAGCCCGGGGCAGCCCATCGACAGTTCTCGACGACGTCCCTACAGTGCTCGAAGCTGGGCCGGACCCCGCTCGCCATCCCCCCCGGAGTCGAGATTCTGATGAGCGATCTGAAGACGGTTGGGAGCGCCACATCTTGGAAGCCCTCCAAGCACAGAACGATTACGGTCAATGGGCCTTTGGGTTAGTGGGGAGCTTTCCATTGGGGGAGATTGGACGATACGTGGTTCTGTTTCGGGGTTGCTAATTGGGTATTTTATAGGGTCGTTGAGTCTGGATGTGCCGGAGTTTGTGAACCTGAAGCAGGATCTGGAGAATAAGACTGTTGAGCTGAGCATTCAGGATTCGAATGCTCAGAAGCAGAAGGAGATGTGGGGTACGTTTGCGGAGAGATGGAATTGATTAGAGAATCCGCGGAGGATTTGAGTTTGTGGACAGATTTGCTAACAACATCTTTTGTTAGGCACGTCGTGGGCGTACCTGAACAACTACATCACGGGCGTCTCCGAGGGCCACACGGCCATCCTGCGGCTCGTGGGCGTGGGCTACCGAGCGACGGTCGAGAAGCGAGGCGCGAAGGAGGAGTACCCCGGGCAGCCGTTCCTGTGCCTGAAGCTCGGGTTCACCCACCCGGTCGAGGTGGGCATCCCCAAGGGCGTCAAGGTGACGACGCCGGCGCCCACGAGGATCCTGATTGAGGGCCCGGACAGGGAGACCATCATGTCGTTTGCCGGCAAGGTGCGCCTCTGGAGGAAACCGGAGCCGTACAAGGGCAAGGGCATCTTCATCAACGACGAGACGATCAAGCTGAAGTCGAAGAAGATCAGTTAGAAAGAGGGGGGGGTATAGCCAGCTGGTTTTGGGAGGCAGAACGAGCCTCGCCGTGTAAAATGTACCTATAATGCATGCGCGGAGCGTGTACGATTCTTTGTAAAAGCCAAATACAAAATCTATATATATTTGTTCGATATGACCCTGCCTATCGTTCAGAAACTAGCTGAAACATTTTCATTACTTCGAGCTTATAAAATTCCTTTTCTCTTTTATTTTTTTCCTTTCCTTTATTCCTTTTTCTTTCTTAGAGAACTGATTGCTACTGCTTGGCGTTCAGCACTTCCTGGACAGCGGCCAGAACCTTGGCGTGGGAAGCAGCGGGCGCAGCAACGACACCCTTGTTGTTCGCCAGCGTCCTGCCGATTCCGAAATCCAGCCTGTTGCCGTGAATGTCGGTGACCTGTCCCCCGGCCTCGCGGACGATGAGGTCGCCGGCCGCATGGTCCCAGATCTTCTCCTGGTAGGTGGCCTTGACGGGCAGGCGCAGGTAGATGTCGCCGGCGCCACGGGCAATGGAGCCGTACTTGGCCTGGCTGTCCATGCGCACGCTGGGCTTGGTGATCCCGAGCTTCTGGGCGATGCTCGCCTGGTCGCCGTGGGCCGAGTGGCCGGCCTCGACGCTCTCGCAGAAGGTGGCGTCGGCGAGGGCGTCGATGGACCGCATGGAGATGGCCCTGCCCTGTTCCTTGGAGGAGGCGGCGAGGAGGGGCCGGCTGGTGGCGCCCTGCCCCAGGACGGCGGAGAAGAGCACGCCGTGGCCCTCGTCGTCGGTCCCGTTGGAGCCAATGTCGGCGGTGAGGGGCGCCTTGTCGTCGACGGGCAGGTTGGGGCAGCCGAGGACGCCGACCTTGACGTCGCCGTCGACCATGAGGCCGAGGCAGACGGCGTACTGCCCGCCGCGGAGGAAGCCCTTTGTGCCGTCGATGGGGTCGATGGCCCAGATGCGACCCTTGTTGCCGCCGGGGCTGTTCCCCCGGTCGATGAGGTCGAGCATCTCGTCGGCGTCCTTGATGGCGCCGCCGAGGGCCTGCTCGGAGGCGGCGTCGTCGAGCTTGGTCGAGCGCACGAGGTCCCAGATGGTCCTCTTGAGGTTCTCGTCCGTTCGCAGCTGCGCGGCCTCCTCCTCGGCGACGATGGCGTCGTCGGGGAAGTTGTGGCGGAGGGCGGCGATGATGAGGGCCTGGGCGCCAAAGTCGCCGATGGTCACGGGGGACTTGTCGTTCTTGTCGACGGTGCCCTTTGCCTTTTCGTGGAAGACGCGCTTGGTGAGGATGGAGGCCCGCTGGACGGCGAGCTGGGCAATGTACAGCTCCTGGCTGTACGCTGACGAGGACGACATGGTGCGGCGGGTGATGAGCGAGGCGAATGGGAGGGAGGAGAGGAAGAGGCGGGGGCCGAAAGCTACTGGGAAGAGAAGGATGGCCAGGATGAGTACGATCAAGTATCTACAAGTATGGGACATGGGAAGAGGGAGGCTAGTATTAGTAGTAGTACGCAGCTCAGCAAAGTGGGTGGTTTTAGCTTGGGGTTGAACTCTGGTTTCACGGCTGCAATTGGCATCTCCAACTCCGGAGTACGTCAACTCATGGCGGGGCAATAAGCCGATACGTGGCTGTCGGTGTGGCAGTCGGGCTAAACGGCGCAATCATGCTGAGCTGGTGGGGGTCCAAGTGGTTTCATAGTGTCCGAGTGATATGGGTATACGTAAAGGTTCAGTAATCAGGCCATCAATTAGGTTAGAAACTGTCGATATTTTGGACATTGCTCTCGTGGCTTTGCTGAGTGCTGCTGGCTACCTTTCCTAACAAGGAAACCAGCTCTTTAAATGTGCTGCCGCGCCGCATCTGAAGTTTATCGTGACGAACCGTGGCGGGGCACTTGGTTATCTTATCAGCCAGGGCCAGACAAAGTACTTTTTTTCCATGTTTGACTTGCTGGCTGATAAATCCCATCTAGCCATGATTAGGGAGTTGGAGAAGTTGAAAGAAGGGATATATTGTATCTAGAGACCCATGAATCGTTTTTGACACTAAGTAGACATGCCAATGCCTCGCTGCAGTTGTCACCTCTCAACAGTCGCCAAGCAATATCTTCAACACCAAGCTTAGTCATCCACTCTATACTCCAATTCCCCAATTCGCAGTTCCCAACTCCCATCAATCCGATAACCTCAAAACCAAAGCCATATCCCAAAAACATCCCACCAAAATGGCAACCTCCCCCGCGCGCATCCGCTCCATCTACCGCTCCCTCCTCCGCGAGCTGCCTCCCCGCCCCATCCTCGAATCCCCGCGCTCGGGCATCCACAGCCGCCTCCGGACGCACTTCTCCTCCAGCAACCAGCCCGACTCCTCCCTCCCGGCCGCCGTCAAGGCCGGCCAGGCCCAGCAGCTCGCCGCCTACCTCCGCTCGCAGCGCTGCTACGTCGACCTGATCGAGCGCTACAACCCGGGGATGAACATGGAGGACGACGAGCGGATACGCCTCACTGCTAGGAGGGTCGGCATGGACATGCCCGTCGAATATAAAAAGGACGGCCAGTAAACGGCCTCACCGCTGTTCCGCTATCAAAAATATGGGTTGGCCTTTGAGATGGCCTCTATGGCGAGATGAAGAAGACAGAAAAAGCAAACTCGCTCTTACGGGATTCGATGTTAAAACGATAAATGTACGACACAACGACGGATCGTGATTGATCAATAAAGAAACTTGGAGCGACTCCCTGGTTACGAGAAAGGCACTGACCAGGAGTGTATTATATCCTTTCAAATGTGGATTACTCGCGTATCAACTCTGGGATTTCGAAATTATCCAGGTGGAAACTGATGAGGAGTAGTGATATGAATTGTATGCGAGGGAAATGTATTAATAGGAATTAATAGAAATGCATATGATTTATCACCGTGGAATATCCTGAAAGTCGTATAATGCTCCGCTCTATGAAAATTGTCCGGAAACTCAGGATAAATGCAAACAGAAATGACAGAATGCTCGGCAGCTCTGATGCTCGAGCGGGTATCATTGTCAGAAGCCGCCGGGGCGAATGAGCCAATATAAATGCGAAAAAGAAAAGAAAAAGCCCGCCTATATCTCTCGGGACATTTAACTTAACCAAAATGACTTTATGCTTGCGCTTCCTGAGCTCTTCTTAGTTTCCTACCGTGACGCGGTCATCCCTCAACGAGGGAGTCATCCCACCCACCGGTCTCCAAAAGCCAACCTGCAATTCTCTCTTTGACACTGGCAATGCTTTGTGCAAGAGCATTACTCCACTGGTCCTGCACAACACGGACCTTTTCTTTGAGATCTTCTGTCAAGCGCCGATCTTCGCCCTGGCGCATGGCTCTTGACCTCTCCTCTCTTTGCTCAGGGCTAATTGGCGTGCCATCTGCATCCTTAATTTGCGTGGCGAGGATCTTGGCCTTCGCATTTGCCACGGCTTCCTTTGCTTCGTGCAAGAGGCACAGGAGATTAGTGTGGGCCTCAATGAACTGGTATGTACTTTTCTCTGTATGGAGAAGTAAACTGAGGAGGTACTGCATTGGGTGATCGCGATAGGCAGGGTTTTCCTCATATTCAGAGGCGGGAATTTGAATATTGAAACCATCCAGCTCAGTTGGGATACTCTCGAGCAACCGAGAGAGAGGAGGGGCAATGTCCCAGAAAGCAGACAGCTGTAGAGCAATGCCCTTGTGCACGGCTTCGTCAACGACCTGACGGAAATCTCTTGCGCGGTCTAGAACCTCATTGGCATAGGCCAACTCTCTGTTCGCGGCATCCTCAGCAAAGAAAGCCTCTGCACTCTTTAGTTTCTCAGTGTTTCCAGAAAGCCGGTAAGGCGTGATGATCACATCACGGTAACGTCCATTTCGATCAGATAAGATATCGAATATAGCTCGGTGAAGTGTTTCTCGTGCTTCAAATATCCACTTCAGCAGTGTCAATTTCTCAAGAAGTTCGGGTCGGTCATCGCCTTCTTCCTGGGGCATATCAGCATCCATTTGCCCGTCGTCGAACAAGTGCTCAGACAAGGAAGCGTAGAGTTCAGTGGCTCGAGAAATTCTGCCTGTCAGAAGGTCATTCAAAGGCATGATGACAACGTTCTGGAATTGTTCATATTCCGCCTTCTCCAGATCCTTCTTTTTGCTGTCCTCATGCGATTTCAGGTCGGCCTCGATAGCTGCCGCGTCCGCATACCCCATGTGACCAGAGCTGATTTCCTGGTGAAGATTTGCTCTGAGTGCTTGGTGACGCTCAGTGGACTCCTTTGTAAAATCCTCCCGTCGCTTCGTGCTGTCAGCTTTGTACTTCTCCTTCACCTTACTTATCTCCGACAGGTCGCTCAGAGCGCGCACGGCCGTCCTCGTTGCGCTGAGCTCTGGGTGATTATTTTCTACTGCTGGGTGATGTCGAGGGTAAGGAGGGGGCAAAGTTACAAGCCTTGACACATCCAAAAATCCTCGACCGCCAGGCGCAGGAGAGGGGGTTGATGCAGTTTGCCCAGGCGAGAGCGGGAACCGTGAGGGCTGCGGCGTACACACACTTTCCTCATCATGCCAACCGGTCTTCTCTTGTGGGTAGTCGATGGTTGATCCTTGCTCGCTCAAGGTTCCCTGTGTGCTTGCGTTCATTTCAACTTCTGCCCACTGGGTCTTGGGAACACCCATATATTTGGACTCTCGCTTGGATCGTTCCACCCGTTTTGAACCATCGCCCTGTGAATCTGTCTCCCACCAACGACTCGATGGGCGTCCCCGAGAGCTTCCATCACCGTAGTTGTCACTAACGCTCATACTTAGAATAGGTGAAAGCGATGGCATGTAGTTGGAGTTGTAGTTCGTTCCGCCTTGCGCAGCAGCACTCGGCGAAGGTGGCAGCCGGCCCGAAGCTGGGGCAGAACTTGGGCCACTCTCTGCCGGTGGGTTGGATTGGAGAGAACTGGCCCTGGAGCGTTGGGGGCCTGCGGAATCTGGTTTACCACCATCTTGGGATGTCACAGACTCACGCCTTGGGGCTACCATTGGCCTAAATAGATCCCGAGTAAGATCAAAAATCTCGGAGCCCATTGCCCCAATGGCTGACGAATATCGTTCTCGGCGAATGCGGGATTCGTTTACAATAAAGTCGGCGAACAAGCGAACGCGGTCAGCGTCTGAAGCGGCGGTCGATTCGCTGGCTGCAAAGGCTTGGAATCGCTCGATGGTGCCGGCCGCAAATTGGTCAGCACTCTGTGTCCTCATGGCATCTTTTGTCGAGGGAGTACGAGAACCTGCAGGAGGCCGTGAGCTTTCGCGTGCATTAGCGCTCGACGCTGATTGTCCGTGAGGAGGTGGAGTTGGAAGTGCCTTGGGTACGACGGATTGTGAGCCTGTCGCTTGATGACCAAGCCTTGAAGGAGTAAAGGGGGCGATCGATGTGTTCAACATCGGCAACTTGCCAGAGCGCACGTTGGGGGTGGAAGAATTAGATCCAGGCCGAGCGCTTGATTCTCCTGTCTGAGGTCCTCCACCGCTCGCACTCCGAGGTGTTGTCAGAGGACGAGGCGCATTACTGGAACCACTAGGTACGACGATATTGGATATGTTATGAGGGTTCATTCCCTCGTCAATGGAGCCGTGGCTTCCCTGGCGAGTCCGACTCTCTGCCCGCCTCTGAATGATCGTCTTATCGTGACGCACCGCACCGGCTCGGTTCAACCCGCTCGCACTTCCTGAAGACTGCAGCGGCTCTGGAACTTGGTCCGACTGCTGCGCCATCTCTGTGTCTATTCGGAGAGGCCGAGACTGAACGCTATCCGAGCGAGGTGGTTGGTTACTCTCGTCAACCCAGTTTGCAGGTGTCGGCGGAACTGGATCCAGTGACGATCCACTGCTTGGGGGCGGTCGGCGTGTGGGTGGTGACATTAAAGGCACAGATGTCCTCTCCACTGGCTGCACACTATGTGACCTAGAGCCAGGTGGTGGCGGTCCTGGAGGTGGTGGAGGTACTCCTGCTGGCCATTCCCATCTCGTCTGTGAGCCTGATCTCGAGCGTGCGGAAGTGGGAGTCTCGACAGCGCCAGCCGACATTGCTCTCCGAGCAGCGGGAGGGTGGGACATGTCGAGAGTTAGGCTAGGGCGAATAGACCCTGGGCTCTGGAAAATCGTTGGACCCATACTCTGTCTTGCTGCTGGCGCAACGCGTGGTCTAGGCTCGGGCGTGGTTGGCTGCGGTTCGGTTTCTCTTCTTCTACTGAGGGATGGGAGACCAAACCGTCGTTCTCGTGATGGTCCCCGTCCCCCGGACCCTGGAGGAGGTGGGAACGAAACATTGGCCGCTGGTTCGGGAGACGAGTGGTAAAGATGAGGGTGCGGCAAGCGAGGAACGGGCGGCGTTGAGACTGGCGCAGGTTGATGCTGGTCAAATGCTGAGCTCACTGGCCGTGGTTGCTGGCTCCTGGGAGGACTGTATGGCGGAGGAGGTGGAGATACTGTCAATGGGTTAGCTTGCTATACAAATCCTCGAGCGCTACATTATGGCGATGGAGAAACGGTAGAAAAATAAAATTGCTTGGTACCTTGTGGCTCAGCACCAGTTTGTTGGCGAGGCGCCCTCGATGTGACCCATTCTTGAGGGTTATATGGTTGGATGGCGCTCACCGGTGTTTGAGCCACTTGGGTGTTTGAGGATGCCATTGAGACCGCAGAAATAGGCGTACCCTGTTGAGAATGGAAGAGTGTTATTGATGTGGTGAGAGGATTGAGGCCGAGCCGGAGACTCGCTGGATCTCGAGAGGAGGACATGATGGATTGACTCCGATTCCACGGACCAGCATTCGGGAGGAAAGGCGACGGGACCAACCAGTGAAAATTGTCGCGTTTCGTCGACGATGTAATCCAAGGCGACCTACGACCAAAGTAGGAGTCGGGGACTGTAGACGGCGGGCCTGTTCTCCAATACGGGCGTCAATGTTGAGCCGTCGGTGCTAGCTATGACTGGGCCATGTGAACCGTCGGCACAAACCTAGGACATCGAAGCACTCTGGCGATAAAGGCGAAATGGAGGGTGGCAGCCGAGTGTCGCGATCCGGAACTGACAATGGCAGTGGTGCAGAACCAAGAACCGATCACCAACAGGCGCAAAGGTGGTGGATGAATGCTACCCAGAAAACCCAATCTAGAAGAGACAGCAACGGCGCGATCTAGACAATGCCGATAGGCAAGGCAGCAGGACGTGAAACATCAGTCGTCGGTCTACTCCTATGCAACAGCAGACACGGACGTCTGGCGGCGTTGGATGCAGCGAATGGAGGAGGGGAGCGGGAGAGGATGGAAGATGTACACGCCTTCAATGCAGTGGGCGTTGGACCTGGGCCGGGGTGGGCCTAGCTGTTGGGGGCAGGCTGCAGGAGGACATACATAGAACAGACAAGGATTGAGATGGGCTGATGGAGTCTGGTATGTCTGCATAGAGCGGCATGCGGGTAGCATCCAGAGCAGCCGTCCCTGAGCGTCCACCGGCGATGGAGAAGGCGGGCAGCAGAGGCGTGAGGGGCGGCGGGAGACAGCGATGGCAGGCACACCCACAGCAGGCCTTTCGGGAAGTAGGTGGTATCGACAGGCGTGATCGTCCAGAAGCAGCCACCCCACCCTCCACTATCGTCCAGCATCGACGCCTGCCACCGGCGTATTTGGAGCAAGGCTGCTAAATCTAGGGTATCATCTATGCATGTAGGTGACGGATCCATGGGTGCATGTAGGCAGCAGGCGACCAACCCGTTCGCCATGATGACTTTATTTTCCTGCCAGTGGCACACATGGCATTGACTATTCTGGATAGACCACGCCACAACCTCTCGTCCGTCTGCCCACCGACAGTTCGCGTAGAGCGACCCAGCCCGCCGTACCACCTCCCTCGATGTTGGTGACAGTCCCGAACTATCTCTTTGTTCCCCCCCCATCTCTCGTTTTAGACAATGGCTGGGGTGGGCTGCCTCTAAAATTAGCACGTCCACCACCAACAGAGCCGTCCATTGGCTGAGTCTGGGTGGGGAGCAGCTTGCTGGGCGCTTAAATTGAAAAGGGTGCTCCCCTCCTGCAAGGGTTCTAGGGGGCGGTATTGGCTGCTTCGGCACTGGTTTTGACACGGCTCACGGAAATCAGTTCGGGATCAGGAATGTGCTTGAACCAGCCTGCAGGCTCTGCAAAGCAGGATTAGCTGATGGGGCGTCATTCTGCTTCATGCGACACGGCATCCGGGCTCTTGATGCGAGTCAGGTAAGACACAGCAGTCAATGCCCATGAGAACGTCGAAAGATCCATACATATTGGTGGTGCGGGTAGTTGCTGTGTGTGAACCAATGAGGAAATGGTATCAGTCAGTCGACGGCTGCAAGAGGTAAGCCAAATAAGAACGAATGCTTGAATAAAACATCGCACCAAAACGCCGCTACAACTTGGTAGCCTTTGACTGATATTGGAAACCACATTAATAGGAAAAAGATATGACCAGTGCTGGTAATTCTCTTAATAGTTTGTGTATTCTTGGAAGTTTTATGTATGCCACCCTATGTCACTCGCTGGAGTACTTTCGATTATGTACATCTGCCTTGGGCTCCAAAAACCTGTACATCTCGTCACCCAAAACTCCCAGAGCGAATTCCTCCTCGGAACGCTCTGCTCTTTGAAACCATCCGATCCGGAAACGCACTCCAGCCGAGTTCTCGTAGAGTTCGCTCGGAGATTGGAGATGCGCATCATCAGGAAGGTGATCAAAGCAATTCGAGCCACGCATTAAGCCATCCATCATGGCAACACTGTTAAAGCCTTCCGGAACGAGACCTTTGAATTCCAAGTCAAGTAGCCAGGCTCGTTCGCCCACATAGCGCTTGAGCCATAGCGAAATGAGGCCCCAGGCATGGACGGCAAAAACCAAGCATAAAACGACTACCATGGTGATGGTGATTGCAAAGTTTTGAATGAGGCGCTGCCGCCGGTTATCGACGATGGTAGCATTGATGAGATGTGCCTCCCCATGATTGAAAGGTGTTATGATCGACTCCTCATCAATATCCAAGCGATTCTCGAGATTTGAGACCTGGGCATTGATAAGACCAATATTCGACCGCAACAGTTCCAGTATCTCGTGGTCCCGACTTGGGTCACCGAACGCCTCAATATCCAGTGAACCAAAAGGCGGCACCATATTGACAAACATAGCATCCAGACCATACGTCCGGAGGTCAGAACCCTTCTGTTTGAGGTAATCATTGGATGGAAAAGCGACGACATCATTCGCTACGGTGTCGATAACTGGAAAAGGCGGGCTCCATGGCTGCACACCCGAGTCAGCTTGTTTAGGAGGCGTTTGGTGGTCGACGTAGATGTTTCCATTGTTCCGAGTCAACTTAACATCCATATTTATCTGACCCCAGGTATAATTGCACGCCCAGACAGACACATGCTTAACCTCATTCTTTTCTGGGGAGAATTTACCCCAAATGAAACTTTGTGTCTTCCACGGCGTGTTGCGAAGTGACTCCGCACTTGCGTTGGTCTTGCAGTAAAAATTATTGACAAGGTCATAGCCCTGGATTCCGAGACTGTGTGCAAAGTAAGCTACCCCATCGCTCACAGCCTCCTCGCTGAACAAGGTTTCTTCGCTAGACTTGTAAAAGGTGCCATTTGGACAAACCGAATCCTGTATTATTTTGACGCCATAATAGCGAAATTGGTGGTGTTTGCTTGATGTATAGTTGAGGGTATATTCATCATCGGGGATCGCGGCGCAGGCAGAAACCAGTTTGGCGGTTGGAGTGACCACTTTGACATCCTTTCCAGAAACCCAGTCTTCATCCGACAGATTTGCTGCGAGCCTGGGGAAAAGGAGTTCGCCGTATGTAAAGGGTGGGTATGTCTGATTTGTGTTATTTGGAGTGTAGAACATAGTAGCGACCGTTTTGCGATTTTGCGTGTACTCGTCTGTGTCATTTTTCAATGCTCGAGCACCGAACCAAGTCTCCTCCGGAAGCGAAACGATTTGATTGGCGGGAACTAATTCCGGTGTAAAGAGAGGAGCAGACAAGGCTGTTAAAAATGTGCATAGAATGGTTAGGCTTTGTAGCAAAGCCACACTATACTTCTCTAAGCGGACTGAGTGGTACAACGCTCGAAGACCAACCATGTCTAGAATAGAAGTGTCCAGCTCTTCCATGCGACAGGGCCTGGAGGAAAGATCCGCATGATTAGATATTTCGCGAACGGAAAAGCTAGAAAAGCCGGTGTATAACGCAACGAGTAGCATAGAAAAGGCCGGCACGATCTTCCACCAGACGAAGAGATCGCTCTCCTCAGTGATGGTAACCAGGCCATCAGACGTCTGTGATATTTTAAGGGAGACGGCGAGACCAACAATGAGAGCGAGAACGTAGGATGTAAATACTAGACGGAACCATAGCTTGAAGGCTAGCGGCGAGCCTTTGCAATCGACCCAACCTTCCTTATAATTCTCCTGGTTTCGTGACGATAACCCGAAATTGAATTTATCATTGAGAAAAATCATCGACCCTAGCACTGTCGAAGGGTTCCTATACCAGCCTTTGAATGTTTTCTTGGATTTGAGTAGTGCCCAAAGACCTATGCATAGTGAGAGCCCAAAAAGTGACGCCATTGATATGCAGATAGCTTGGCCGATTTTAACTTTATGCAACACCTGAGTGGCCTTTGCATCAATTATACTCTCTTCGCTCTGACGCAGTTGGTAATGAGCAAGCAAAGGGCCAAGAGCCTTGATAAGGTCCGCAATAGACTGGCTCAACACGTTACTGTGTAGCATATTTGGGTCCATGGTGAAGTCGACTTTTTTCCTTGTTTTGAAGAAGAGATCTGCTCCTACTGGGCCATCGCCTATATATTGATCATCTCTTTTATTGCTCATATAATCAGGAACCCAACCGTTGTCCAGAGAGGATATAGAGTTCCCTAACAACGTCCAAGCATTGAAGTCTGCTGTAACGTTTGTCTGGTTGGGGAGAGCTGTGACATTTGGGCTAACGCCATCGTCTACAACTTGGACCTTTGAGACCCATGCTGTCGGAGAACAGATAACACCTGCCATGGTATCTATTTCTGGCTCTGAACTGTTTGATGAGGATGCTCTGTAATGCATTGCATAATAAAGAGTCTGAGGGTGCTGCTGTGGCAACGAGGAACATAGAGGGGTTTCGAGATCGTTCGGAAACCACCATGAATATATTCCGTTGCTGTCCAAAGAAGAGTGCCAATCCGTAGAAGTCCCATCCCCAGTAGAATAGTGCACATCTGAAGTCGCCCAGGCCTGTTCATCATCTTTGACGGTGATGGATTGATCGCAATTTTCGAACTGAAGATCGATTGTGAAATTGTAATGAAATAATCCTGTAAGATTCTGGCCTTCGTCTATGAAGTGCGATGGAAGGCCGGTTGGTTTCCGGGTAGCACTCCAGCTCTCTAACTTGAGGCATTTGATGTCCATAAAGACGCCGTCAACAATGGCTTCTAAAGGTTCGTCAACGGTACCACGAGCGTGGCCGTCATGGTCTGAGCGTTTGAAGGTCTGGTAGGCGCAGTCTGCCCCAACGCCAAAAGGAATCTCCATGTCTGTGTCCCGGATGGCAAGAGCACTGTAATATGCGCCCGAGCTCACATTGCTTGCCCGACCGGATGTCGTATTGAAAATGTCCAAAACTTTCAACTGAACTGGACGAATCTCCTTCTCGTCCCCCAAGAAGAAAAGTGCGGCGGACAGGACAGTTTGAATTTTCAAGATGACTGACAGCAAGGTAACAAGAAATACGAAATAGTGTCTTCTCCGAAGGGACTGAACCAAAACAGTTGGAACAATCATCGACACATAATCGAGCTGGTACTCCTTGGGGCTGATTGGTTGTTTGGACGAAAGCGATGCCCAAGGCATGTATATCAATGCTTGTAGCTCCACGCGTGACCAGAGTACTGCAACGACAGTGAAAACTGTGACACCCTCTGGTTAAGATTTGTTATGCGGTATAGAGGAGTAATTTCTTGGACTCACTGGCCGTTGGACCAAATCTCCATAAATAGGCAAGATCTTCCCGAGTTACAAGAAGCCCCTTGTTGAGCTCAGAGTAGTGCAACATGATAGGAAGAGCAATTGTACAGCAGAGAAACCAGAGCCCGAAACCGGCCAATCTGATATGGCCCAACCAGAAAGGGCGCCAACTTGTGGCATCGCTCGTGCTTTGATTCTTTTCTGATCTAATATTGCTGACCGACTCACTTGAATGAGTATGATTCAGAACGTTCTTGGGGTGGATGCTGATGCCCCGCGTTTGTCCGCCTGATGAAATATCATTGTTGTAGCAGATGGTAGAATCTGCTGGGGCTTGATGGGGAATTGAGAGAGACATGATGGCTCTAGGAAGATATCAGGCGCCCGAATGACGGCAACGTGAGAGGAACGGCTGGGACACAACCTCTTCCTGCCTTCTTTGCGACGGGATTGACACTATTGCCAGTGGCCAGCGAGGTGAGATCCGGCGCCATATTTATAAACCACTTCTATATCACCTGGGGCAATCAAAAATATCCATTACGCGAGGGTTGAAGGCATCGTGTAGAACCAACAGCATATGCAGCCTCCACCATGAATATGGATCTTATTGGTCGGGAACCCGGCAGATGGTGCTGCAGATTCATGCAGGGTTTGTTGAGCCAATCAGGAGAATTGGAACTTGCATTTTAGGCGCTCGGATTCCTCAAGGGAATTGCTTGGGGGTTTCGAATCCAGCCCGGGGCGGAACACGGGTCCAAATGAGGCAATGTGAGGGCAATCAGAACTACCAGCCTAAGGCTACTGGGTAGGTAGTATTTCGCTTAGGACGGCTGCGCCTGGCTGTGTCGAATGAGGTGAGCCGAATCGGCGCTCTTTAAAGCCGAAATGGCTAAGGTGACAACATGCTGAGCAATCTTGGGAAGTGAGTGGGCCAATCCGACTGGAGGCGAACAAAAACCGTGCTAATAAGGCACTCACCAACATGTTGCGCTCTGTCAGGATTTGACTGAGGCTTTCAGACTTTTCGAGAGCATTGCAGGATCTAGCCTGGCTTAGGTGGTGTTAATCTGTGACACACATCAAGATGTAACTAGATTTAAGTGCTTGCTGAACCAGTTTCGACACGGAGCCCATACACTCTCATTGACCACACCCCTATGTGTAATGGAGTTACTTTTGCATTGCCTTAGGTATCATCCTGCCAGGCAAAGAAATGTCTTCAGATGGAATAAATCAATAGGAAGAAACCATATTCGTTGAGCTGAGTACGGCAAGTGAACGATGCAGCATCGAATGCGTCGGCGAAACTACGGCCGAAATACTACCCTAGTGCTTCTTCACGCAGCGCGGCAAGAACAACCAATTAAGATATTCAGATTTCGATATCGAGCTTTGACGACAAGCTACATGGTTGAATCCGGACTACAGGGAGCTATAACGATGCGTCCCTAGGCCATTCGAGGGCAAAATCAAGGCAATTGGACCCCTACGACAATATTCTCACCATGATTCACCTGTGCATGGTTTCATAACCCTTTTCTACTTCACCATGAGGGCTAACCTCGCCCGACATGCCCGACACTTAGTTGTCAGTCGCGCCGCCATCGCGCCTTCCTGCGCTTCCTATGCGGCCGGCTACCTTCCTCGCCGTCAATTTTCACCCGAGTCCCTCATAAGAAGGAACCAGTTTCGACGAACCTTCCTCGACGTTCTGTTTAAGAAGCCTCCGCGCGAGATTCGACAGCCCCAATATGAGCCAGGATGGATGCAAATTATGGTTTGGAGAAGCCGAATGCTCGACAATTTACGGCCGCAGCCACGGGAGGAGTTAATCGCTGCTTGGACGAGTTTTCTGAACTCCAAAATCAAAAACAAGATACCCTTCAATACCACACAGGCGATGCAATGCCGCCGATTACTCGAATACCTCTCAGCGCCCGATCGATCCGAAGAAAAGCGCCTCTCGTCCTCGGACCTGCTCCTAGCTGGAAAGGTTCTGCTCGAGATCGAACCTATGGAACGAAGTGAAGAACATCTCAAACTCGCCAAAGTTCTCTATACCGCTTCAGTCGAGTCCTTAGAAAAGCCTTCAGAAGAGCCAAGGTATTGGAGCTACCTTCTGATTTCGATGAGTCGTTTTGGGGGAGCAAATGAGGCTCTCCAAGAGTTGTATGCGAAATGGGACACACCCTCTTACTCTCCATATACAACTGTGGCGAAACATGTGGTCCCGTCGGTTGCTAAGGGACTCGCAAGGGAGGGAAATGAAGATCAACTCGTACAGCTCATTGAGTTTGCTGACAGCAATGGCTACGGATTCACCAGCAGGATGCAAGAGGCCATTGTTGATTTCTTTGCTAAAAGAAACCGTATCCCCGAAACCCAAAAATGGTTTACAAAACCTCTGTCAAAGGGTCGCAAAAGTGTCAGGTCTTATCAAGCGGTGGCTAGTTTTGCAACAAGGAACAATCTCCAGGAATGGATAAAGCCGCTTCTCCTTGAGCTTGGACAGGAGCATCCGGAAAAGAAATATTGGGATGCTCTGCTCCGGGCAATGCTCCTGGCAGGTATGACTCTGGGAGAGATCAAGCCAATAATGTCTCACATGCTTAGCCCCGATGGCCCATTGACCGCGGATATCGAAACGTTCAACTCGCTCCTTCGAGCTGCCATGGAAATGACTGACCTAGCCCTAGCTAAATCTATTTTTGAGTTGTTTGAAGAGCAGGGTATTCGGCCTAACGAAGAGACTTATCTCGTCCTCCTGTCTCTGTACATCTCGTCCGGCTCTCTTGCAGATGCCAAAGTTGCGTTTCAGAGACTTCAGGAAGCTGGGTCAATCGGTGCCACCGCCCCCAACGGCGTTTGGCTGGAGTATTTTAGCACCATGAATGAGTATCTTCTCTTGCTTTGTCGTCAACAACCCTCTGATTTTGGTCATATCCTTGAGCTCCTGACAGCCGTCGAAGATGAGCGCATACATCTTGAACCCGCCACTGTTGCCTCACTTTGCCTGAGGTTTTTAGAAAACGAGCAGAATTTCGACGTCATGGATATTCTCTCTGTACACGCCTTCTTATACAGCGAGGCCCAGCGCGAGGTTGTCCAGGCGTCTTTTGTTTCTTTCTGCCTTGACCGCAATACTAGTACTTCGCGGGCTTGGGGTGCCTATCAACTTCTTAGTCAATTCTTCCAAGACCTGAGCTTTGAGCGTCGGGTTCAGCTTCTACAAAATTTCTTCGACCGCAAGCGACCCGACATGGCAACCTACGTGTTTGGGCATATGCGCCAACATCGGAATCGGGCATACCAACCTACCTTGGATACATATGTGCAATGCTTTGAAGGCTTTGCCAAACATCCTGATCGTGAAGGAACAGAGATGATACATAACATGCTGAAGATGGACACAAGGGTACAGCCCAATACCAGATTATATACAGCTCTCATGCTAGCACATGCAAGCTGTGGTCGCTCTTTGAAAGCTTTAGACTTTTGGCAAGAGATTACACAGTCGGCAGAAGGACCCTCGTACGAGTCACTACAAGCAGCATTTTGGACTCTAGAGAAGAAGTCGAATGGCGACAAACAAGCTCGCCAAATATGGGATAAAATCGAATTAATGGATCTGGAGGTCCCTCCCTCGGTTTATATGGCCTACATCGGTGCGATTGCTGGTAGTGGCCATGAGAAAGAGGCCCGGGGTCTGATCATGAAAATGGCTTCTGTCACTGGGTCGGATCCGGATGCCATGGTGTGAGTTCTCCTGATTCAAAATCTTCCCTCTCCCTCTATTTGAAGACTCCGGATACTGACTCGATATGCGCAGACTGGGCGTCACCTATAACGCATTGCCGGGACAGGAGTTGCAAGCAGAATTCCAGGAATGGGCCGAAACAAGATATCACCAACAATGGGCGGAGTTAAAAAAGAAGGGACGTCGGATGACAGAAAATGGATTGTGCCAATTCAGATTAAATAGGGTCTTGAAAGCCTAAATTTCTGTACAAAAGTGTATACATAGTAGATGGAAGATGTCATCGCGTCTAAGGTACATAGAAGACGCTGTAACATATACCAGAGAGGCCGAAGTGCTATTGTACAAATCATTCAATACGTAGATTGTTCCCCCATGGCCATTATAGGCCCGGGGGATAGAATTGGTCCCTGATCATTTCAGGGTGGTTGTGAATGCTGGGGTAGATGCCCATTCCCTGTGCCCGGCGGATCATCTTGGCGAGCTTACGCTGGTTGACCGGTCGGAGGCCTGTCTGTCTGGAATGCATGATCTGGCCTGAGGATCTCGTGAACTCGGCAATTGCAGAAAAGTTCTGGTTAAATATTAATAAGGTACCCTTCCAGGCAATGGAAAGAGGATGAGAAGTATGCCCTACCTTGTACATGTCAAGAGGGTTGATGCCCAGTGCATCGATAATATCACCACGACGTTCCGCCCTGCGACGCCACTTCTGCATCTCTACAGGACTCAAGTCGTGGGGCGAGTAGACATCTCCAACCTTCCAAAACCGTGGCATCTCCCGCAGATATGCCTTGGAAAGCTGCTCCTCCCGTCGCAGATCTTGGTTGGCTTGCTGGGCCTGGAGATCTGCCTCAGCGCGTTCCTTGGCTCGGCTCACCATCTTTTCAGCGACGCTAACACCGGCTCCTCGATCTTTGGGGCCGATTCGACGATTGGGGCGGTTGAGAGACAACAGACTGCTTGTCGACGAGGGCTGTTGTGAGCTGGTGGGATGATGTGGGTGAGCGGATGGGGCCTCCCGAGGGGGGAGGGCGACAGCGGCGGTGGAAGAAAATGCTCGAGAATTGATCGATTCGACTGAGGCGCGAAGAGCGCTCAGAATTGATAGTCGGGGAGGCATGGCGGGCGGGTTGAGGTGCAGATTATTGCTCGTGAGCTGACCTCGGTGGTGATACCCAGAAGCTGGATCTGGAGGTTTTTTGACGCCACCCAAACTCGGAATAATCCGTCCTGCACCATTCCGCACTTGCCCCACCTAATTTTTTTCTTGAATCTGGGGTCTCGACAGCATCACATATTGTTCCTGCATAGGTATCTACTGATTGCCGCAACCAAATAAAATTTGCCGCACACATCCTTACTTGGGTGATTTCGTGCATTCCGCGACTACTTCAACAAATAATCAGCCTTTAAGTCAGGAGAAGCTGTTGCGCTTTCACCATGGTCAGGAAACTCAAGCATCACGAGCAGAAGCTCCTGCGCAAAGTCGACTTTATCTCGTACAAGCAAGACGGCGACCATCGTGATAAGGCTGTAATTAGACGGTATATGATCCAGAAGCCGGAAGACTATGCAAAATACAATCGTATCTGCGGCGTAAGTTTGTCCTCGAACCATGCTACATTTCACTGATTATCTAACCTTCACAGTCTCTGCGACAACTTGCCCACCGACTCTCTCTTCTGCCCCCAGACAATGCGGTCCGCCGAAAGCACGAGGAACTTCTCCTAAACAAACTATATGACATGGGGATTCTCTCATCAGCATCAAAGCTCAGCGCTGTAGAACACGGCGCAACAGTCAGTGCCTTTGCCCGCCGGCGGTTACCCGTGGTCATGACGAGATTGCGGATGGCAGAGACGGTGCAGGCGGCGACGAAGATGGTCGAGCAAGGCCATGTGAGAGTTGGGACTGAGACGGTCACGGATCCTGCGTACCTGGTCACGCGAACGACAGAGGATTTCGTCACTTGGTCAGTGGGCAGCAAGATCAAGAGGAACATTATGAAGTACAGAGATCAGCTCGACGACTTTGAGCTGCTGTAAGGACAATTAGGAGATCTGTGCGAGTTGAAACTGCGGCGCAATCGACAATGGATCGAGGAAAACATCGCACAGTCTTGGCACACCTTGGATATGTGTATATCATGCAGCCAGCAGAATCATCTGGACCAGTCGGTTAAATGATGTCTGCTGGTCTGTTTCGAAAGAATTTGCGCCATGTGTCATTACTTGCGCCATGTGTCATTACTTCCGTACACGCAGCAAGTTCTAAGCTTGGGGGAGGCTGCTATTAGCACATTATATTACGACATGCCACAGGAACCAGAACTCATTTCGAATCACCAAGAGCATTCATAGGTTAAATTTTCAGGAGTTTGGAGTAACGGCCAAAAGATTAAAGATGGGATTCGTGTGCATATAGAGACTAGCTCGCTAGTTGGCATCATACCTGCCTACCAATTAACCAGAACGTACCACACCTTGCTCAGTATCTCATCACCGTCACCATCCTTGATCCGGGAAACATGACAGAGAAGCAATACTTACCTTTACTCATTCATGTTCATCCAATTTAGGTAAAATTGATACATTCCTCGTCCAGGCGCGGTACAATAGCACCCCTCTAGAATGCGGAGAATGTTAGCCGAATAGGCAGTTCTTGGATAATGGGCGGATGAATCAGTAGCGATGTCTCATTGGAAAATGAACAGAGTCCTCGGATTTGATGATCCAGGGCCAGTTCTTCCGATAATACAAATATCCATAGATTAGACGTCATGAGGGTTTGTGTTCAAGTTGCGGTTCGGTAGTTTCAACGTAATACAACAGCTTCTCAATCAGCAGCTAAGATGGTGGTCACCAAAGACAAGCCCGAATATGCGCCATTGGATCCCAACTTCAGGCCAGGGCCTAAAAATGGGCATCTTAGTGAGATCGCCGCCGATTTCCTCAAGATGAAACCAGACATCGATGCGTTCGTTGACCAAATCTGGGATCCGGCCCATTCCCTCGAAACCTTTCGCAGCTTCTGGACTAGTAATTCATCGCCGCCTCCTGACTGGCCCAAAGAAGGCGAGGATGTTGTCACTGAAACCAAACAAATACCTGTGAGAGATGGGACTCAGATTGAAGTCAAGATTTATCGTGCCAAGCAGAAGAAGCCAGGTTCAGCGCTGGTGATGCGGTTCCACGGCGGAGGATGGGTGGTTGGAGGGCACTGCACAGAACACCCCGAGAACTTGGTTCTTGCGGCAAGGACAAACTCGGTTGTAGTGAGCGTCGCCTACCGAATGTGAGTATTTGTGTTTTAGAATTTCGATCCATTCAAGACTAAATCAGTGCTTATCGTTTTCAATGCTCTCAGGGCGCCAGAGTTCAGATTCCCCTATGCTACTAATGACTGCCTTGATGCATTGAAATGGGTGAGCTTACCTTTTGATTCGCTATGGATACTTCGCCTTGTGTTTCATTGTCAGAGGATGTGCTAAAACCACCAAACAGTCAACGTCTAATGCCGACTTATTGGGAGTGAACCCAGAGAAGATACTGGTTAATGGTGGAAGCGCTGGAGCAAACATTGTACGTCCTACCTGCACTTCTAATGGATGGTACAAGCCCCAGAACGAGGCTAATTTGAACTGCGAACCCCAAAGGCTAGTGTTGTCGCTATCATGGCACGGGATGAGGGTGTCACTGGCATCGTTGGTCAAATTCTGACATTTCCTGTTACCTGCCACCCAAAATTCTTTCCTAAAGGCAAGTATGAGCTTCTAAGCTACCAACAGAATGCAACTGCTAGCTTGGTTAATCCACTTCGCATGGAATGGTTCTTGGATCAGTATATGCCAGATCCAACTGATGACTGGAGACTTTCGCCTCTTCTGGCTCCATCTCTCAGAGGCTTGCCCCCGGCTCGTAAGTGCTCCTCTCGCTGGCTCCGCCCCAGGCGCTAATTGTTATTTGTACATGTAGTGATTATAGTGGGCGGCTATGATATCTTCAGGGATGAGGGTCTTGCATATGCAGAGAGACTCAGAAATGAGGGTGTTGACGCAGAGGTTCACGTCTACCCTGGGCTACCGCACTGCTTTTTCATGTTTCCTGCTCATCCCAAAGCCGTAGACTATTATGAGAAGATTGTCAAGTTTGTCAAGAAGATTTCCGATTCTTGATGAGCAGGTCAAGAAGAAGGCTTTAGGGTATTTGAAGTTTACTAGAAACCAATTAAGGCCTCCTATAAGTTAAATCTCAAGGTGTAAATATAAAGGCATTGGCGCAGACCGTGATTTCGGCCCCGGCACGGCCCCGCACGCGGACAATTATTCTATTCAGCGGCGGAGGATTATTCATCTAACAAGTTAGGTCTTATCTGTTAGACGCATGTAACAAGCACGCTTGGGATCTTGATCAGCTACCCCCCTTGACTGTCACTTCCACACAATTACCTATCCATCCCTTTTTCTCATAAAAAATTGTTACTGACGTTTGGCCGAGAAGGGCCACAAGAATAACACAATGACGACGACACTGGAGACCATCCAGCAGCTCTTCAGCACCCTTACTCACCCATGGGTTTTCATGGCCATCTCTGCCAGCCACATCCCCCTGACAATCCGAACCCTGATTCGTAATCGTGACTGGCGGGGTCTCTTGGTCCCCTCGGCCTTTTGTGATGCGCTATTTGGACATTTCTGGGCCACTGCTGGGCCCATGGTCAAGGCCCATGCGGAGGTTCGAGTAATCCCCCTTTTGGAGGGCAGAGTCAAAGATGGCGAGGCACACGACCATGTCGTCGGGCTCCCAGTTTCAGGGAAGGTGATTGAAATTGGTGCGGGGTCTGGCATGTGGGCAGATGTTTTCTGCAAAATCAACACAAGCGGCAATGCCACCAATGACACATTCAGGGGTGAGGGGGCGTTAGGTGTGCGAAAGAGACTGGCCAGCAGTGCTATCACCAAGATTTACGGCGTGGAACCGAATCCTGAATCTGTCAGGGCGCTTCGAAAGCGCGTCAAGGATATTGGGCTCGACGACATCTATGAGGTGGTGCCTGTTGGTATTGAATCGCTCAGTGATCCGTCTGCCTTCGGAGTCGAGGCGATTGAGCCCGGTAGCATCGATTGCATTGTTTCCGTTCTGTGTCTGTGCAGCGTTCCGGACCAAAAGGAGAATATCGAGGCACTTTATAAGCTGCTCAAGCCGGGTGGCAGGTGGTACGTGTATGAACACGTCAAGGTCCAGAGGAGCGGGCTTATGCAGACATTTCTCAGCCTCTACCAGCGTAAGCTTTCATTCGCACCTTTATCTGATTGACCCTCCGGCTAACCTTTCTCTTCAGGGTTTGTGAATGTGCCGTGGTCCTTTTTCATCGGGTCGTGTCGCCTCTGCAATGACACTGGAAAGCATCTGAGGGAGGCAGGCTCATGGTCTGCCATCGACTTGGTCAAACCAGCAAGTGATCCAGTTTATCAGCTTTTGCCTCATGTCTGGGGCACTTTGACTAAGTAATGGAAATGAAGGCGTAAACGGGATTTTTCAAGGGCAGAATTGTTCTTCCACCACTGTGGGAAGTAAAGGGGGTGCAGGAATTCCATCTGCCTCTAGCGAGAGCACTGTTTGCTGAATCTAGAGGGCAATTCTCTTGGGAGGGAATTGAAAGAGATGATTTTGGAAATCTACGATGGCAAACTTACTTTTTTTTACTTCTCCTGCTTTTTTTGTGCATTTTCTTATTATTTTGGTTGCTATTCGCGTGGTGGGTTTGGGAAGGAGGCACCCATTACGTTCTAGGGGGCAGTTTTAGGCAGACAGTCAATTTATCTTGTACATCAGCACGTCATGCCGCGTCTTTGTAAACCACACGCGTCTTCCGTCCTCTCAACGCGGGCACCTGAACCTGCCCGCCCAATTTAATTTACTACAGCCATGCCCGCGCCCAAGGCGATACCTGTGATAGATCTTTTAGATAGTGACTTATCGTCATCAGGATCCCAGGATGAGGCGGGCAGGCAATCGGCCAAGAAACGCAAGTTGGAGCATGACGTCGAGGAGAAGGTGCATCTGACCGACGATTCAGATGGCGGCCCGGTGAAACCAAAGAAGCGCAAGCCGAAGCGCAAAGCCCTAGGAAAGCAAAAACGGGGGTCATCATCCCGTCGGCAGGGCGGTGTCAAGTCCGAGGGCGATGACGATCCGCTCGAGATATCGGGCATCCCCGATTACCTCCAGCAGCGCAGGCGGGAGTTCGATGCCAATAAGAAGGCGCATCACGAGGCTGCCTTGATGCTACCACCAGATTATACTGGAGTTGATTTTGACGAGTCTGGGAGGCTCTGCGATATTCAAGAGCGACCTGATTTCACTGGGGATAGTGGTGTGAAGCCCTCCAGACCATACAAGGACATCGAAATGCCCCAATCAGCCGGCCTTATCCCTGCCTCTATTGCTCGGTACCTGCGCGATTACCAAGTCACTGGAGTTGCATTTCTCCATAAGAAATTTGTGTACCAGGAAGGAGGCATACTTGGCGATGACATGGGCTTGGGGAAAACCGTGCAGGTCGCCGCTTTCTTAACAGCTGCTTTCGGCAAGACCGGAGACGAGCGTGACTCCAGGAGGATGAGGCTGATGCGGCTCTATAATGACCGCTGGTACCCTCGGGTTCTCATCATCTGCCCCGGTTCTTTAATCATGAACTGGAAGAACGAGTTGAACAAATGGGGCTGGTGGCATGTCGACCTCTTCCACGGTAGCAACAAGGAAGACGTCCTCGGTACAGCCCGCGCTGGCCTACTTGAGATCATGATCACTACTTACGACACGTACAAGAACAACCGGAGCTCCATTAATATGGTCCAATGGGATGCAGTAATTGCCGACGAGTGTCATAGGCTCAAAGACCGATCTTCTGCAACGACCAAGGCAATGCAGGAGATCAATGCCCTTTGCCGTATCGGATTGACCGGGACAGCCATACAAAATCGCTACGAGGAACTCTGGACTCTCCTTGATTGGACCAATCCTGGGCATTTTGGGACATCAGGAGAATGGGCGCGAACAATTACTAAACCGCTGACGGTTGGGCAGTCTCATGATGCAACAATGGCGCAGCTTAGCTTGGCAAGACAGACAGCTCAGAAACTTGTCCAAAATCTTCTGCCCCGTTACTTCTTGCGGCGTATGAAGACCCTCATCGCTCATCAGTTGCCTAAGAAGACAGACAGGGTCGTATTTTGTCCTCTTACTGATCTTCAGAAAGAAGCCTACGAGAACTTTCTGCACAGTGGCGAGGTCGATACCCTTCGTACATTGTCTGATACATGTGAGCATGGCAAGGCAAAGGGGTGGTGCTGCAGTCGCTTCTTGCCAGGCGGGACTCCGTGGCAGAACATCGTGTTTCCCAGCATGATTGTTTTACAAAAGCTCGCCAACCATCTTACATTAATGGTTCCAAAGACAACCGACCTTGACACAAAGCACGAAACAGAGCTAAAGACTCTTCAAATGTGCGTCCCTGATATATGGAAAGAGCTCTACAATAATAGAGATCAGATTCGAAGCCTGGTCAACCCTGAATTTTGCGGCAAATGGAAAGTTTTGAAAAAGCTTCTGAAGTTCTGGCATAGTAACCAGGACAAAGTGCTTGTATTCTCGCACAGCGTTCGCCTTCTTCGAATCCTCCAGCACCTATTTACTAGCACCAGCTATACAGTCAGCTACCTAGACGGGTCGCTTAGCTACGAGGCGCGGCAGGAGACCGTAGATAACTTCAATTCTGATCCCAATCAGTTCGTGTTTCTCATTTCGACGAAGGCAGGGGGTGTGGGTTTGAACATCACCTCGGCGAACAAAGTGGTGATTATAGATCCTCACTGGAACCCATCATACGATCTTCAAGCGCAAGACAGAGCCTATCGTATCGGCCAAACTCGCGATGTTGAAGTCTTCAGACTCATTTCCTTGGGCACTGTTGAAGAAATTGTCTACGCTCGGCAGATCTACAAGCAGCAGCAAGCCAATATCGGTTATACTGCATCCTCAGAGCGTCGCTATTTCAAAGGCGTACAAGAAGATACAGAGAGAAAGGGTGAGATTTTTGGTCTCAGCAACATTTTCACCTTTCATGATGATAATGGCCTGCTTCGTGAGATTGTCAACAAGACCAATATTGCCGAAACAAAGGCTGGTGTTCACCTCGTCGATGTTGATATGGATAAGGCAGCAGAAGAAGGCGAAGCTTTGGGCGTGAAAAAGGAAGAGAATGAGGAAGATGACGAAGACGGCGGGCTAAGCCAGCTGGCAGAACTTCTCAAGGTAAAAGATCAGCAGAAATTGCTAGCGTCGCGCAAAGCTACCTCACACAAGACAGATGCTGTTCAGGCGATTCTCAAATCCGCAGGTATTGAGTACACTCATGATAACTCAGAGGTTGTTGGATCATCGAAAATTGAAGAGCAGCTTTCAAGGCGGGCAGCAATGACTTCGTATGCTGAAGGGGACCTCGAAGGACAAAGTACACTCTTTGCCGACAGTGGTGAGGAGGCGGACGGCGAGCTTCTCCATGGCACATACAATCCCCCGGACGAAGTACAACTGCGGCAGTTTTGCGAGATGGCACGCGAGTTTGGCTTCATCAACGCGACCGAGTTTGCTTTGGTTGTGGAAGGTTGGTCACAAGAATCAAGAAGAAACTGCCTAAACACTTTTTACCGAAAGAGAAAGGCCAAGTTGATCAGTGAAGGGTTCGTGAGGAAGGAAGAGGAACATCTCCAAGGTGGCACTAAGAGTAGCGATGTTGACTCGAAACGGCACATCGATAGTACACCAGCAAAGGTCGAGACTCCTACCAGGGTCAAAACGGAGCAATCCCCAGTGAAACAAGAGTCGGCTCGTTCCAATCCGGCCAAGCAGGAAGACGTTGGTATGAAAAATGAGGTCGATGACCAGGATTTAAATCATGGTGGGGCAAAGAAAAGGATGTCCATATTCTTATCTGACGATGATGAGGATGATGAACTATGAGATGATGCATTATGGAGTTTAAAATGGCATGATACCCAGGGCTATAATTTTTCTGAATATGAACGGTTTATATATAGGTGTATTCATGATTGACGTTGCTATGTGAGAATAAAAATATCTAGTAAAAGGAGAGAAAAGCTTTTAGAACTCTTTCGCTACATCTCAGTATTCTTTTGCTTAAATGCTGGCCAATGTGGGGAGTGTATGATACTTTGGAGGAGACGATCCATTGAAGAACCATAAATGTTCTGCCACGTGATCCGTAATTTTGTTCCAGGTAGCAGCTCTACTTCCTGCTCGCCATGCGCGAAGCGGCAATTTGAAGGCAAGGTGCCAACCAACGCGGTAACAACTTCGAAAACCATGTCTCCCACGAAGGGTCAATTGGCTTCGGCCGTTGAGACCAAGATCAAGGCGCCCGTCCAACCCATCAGCATCCTCGACACTCCCGCCGCTTCCGCGATCTCGCTCGCCCGACCCGTCGTTCTCATCGGGCTTCTCGCGTTGCGATTTAATGCCCTGATCAGCGATCCCGTTTCTACACTGCAGACTGCTCTCCCTGTTGTTGCCGCTATACAAGTCGGCTATGCTCTGTTATGCCTTCCCGCGTTAGGGTCGCATCACGTCAAGGGCGCAAGGAAGAATCGCCCAGGCGAACGAAAGAAGGCATCGGACACTTCAGGTCCCAATTCCATCTTTGTGAGATACTTCCTCCCCAAGTCGGGGACCAGAATGATACAATAGATCTGCTAACAGATGGCTGTTCCCATTCTAGACCGCGATTTTCGCTCTGCTTCTCAGCACGATCTCCAGCGGGGCCGTCTACGGGCTTTTTATTCTGTTCGGAGCGCCCTTCCTCGACAATACATATCATACTCTATACTGCGCCGCACATTTCTCCCTTCTCGCCCTCTTTCCTGTCTTCTATGTTCGCGGAGTGGATGGGCAGGCTTTTGTTGCGCTGGCTGGAGCTTACGCGCCTCTGGATGAAACGTCTGGCGGGCTTCTGGGCGCCCTGCTCGGCGCATGGCTTGGCGCTGTCCCCATCCCCCTCGATTGGGACCGGGAGTGGCAGAAATGGCCCGTCACCATTGTTGTTGGCATGTATCTTGGATACGGGATCGGATCCAAGCTGGTCGGTACTGTCTTCTTCGGCAAGCAGCTGTCTGTGACGCAGCCCGAGAGCGAAGAGTAAATCAGTCACCGAGTCCCAGCCTCGCTTAATACCATATCAGGCACGTCTCTTGTACAATTAACAGGCTGATTTTGCGTCACCAACATCCACAACCCGAGGGTCGCTAAATGCTTAATGCATCGCGGTGTGGAGCAGCATCAACCAGATAGAACATTAATGAAAAAAAATAACCCTGTACCACTATGGGCACTGTTCACAATGCGAGGGGCAATCATGTCAGGGCCAACCGTTGTTTGAGCATTGCCAAGACTGAGCGTACGCGTCGCCGCTTGGCTTGGTCATTTGGTCCACCACAAAAATCGGTGATGCATCAGCGGTGACTGATGAATCAAGCAAAGTAGCCAACCGCGAGAAGCGAGGCCCCAGCCATTTGATATTACGAAACTTCGGCGTAGGCAGATGCTTAGCCGCCAACATGGCGAATGCCAAGCATCCGACAGGAGCCCAATCCCTTCAATTGGCTGCTGCATGGAAGGGGTGGGAATGTTTGAAGTAGCATGTTTCGATCACCTGGCATTGCGGGAACGGGAAAAGACCACTCAGCGTACGTACATACATACATGTGCATGTTTGTGAGTGTGAACGAGAGCCGCTAGCCTACCGACCAACCACCAATGGACATTCACCACCCGCAGACACAGAGATTCCGTTAAGCTTCGCCGCAACCGGCCTTTTGGAAACATGGTGATCTGAACTGGTGACATCTTGCAAGGCACCTCGATCGATCGGCAGCCGGTTGCTCGTAATTTCACCTGGAGGATGTGGCTGGTGCTGGCGTATAGGGCAGAGCCGCTACGTCATCTGTGGCTCATGACAGCGACATCGAAGTTAGAAGTTTCCCCCAAGTGCCGAGTTGTTGCCAAATCAGGAACAATGACGCAACACTTTGTGTGGGTCACGGAACCTTTTTCACTATCAGATGACGATTCGGCATGAGCTCTGGCACGCTACCAGGGTTTTCTTTTTCGCATTTCTACAGCAGAAGGGGGCTCGGATGCAGGCTGCGTTCTTCCCTGCTTTCCTGGAGAGCTAATCCGCACTGCTCCTGGCCTGTCTCATCCGGCGTTCGCCGCCTGTACTTGCCTCCCGGCCAAGCATCCTGCAGGGGGCTGGGGAGATCGCGGGATTCGTAATGTAGCAGCGGGAGTAGCATTGTGGGTAGGTAGCCCTTTTACACGCCCTGTGGCTTGACTCTGATCTTGTTTGCGCCTCCCCAGGGCCTAGAAGCCCGGAGTCGATGACGCATTAGCCATGATTTGCCCGTGCCTGGGTACGCTTGGCCTGGTGTGAATGGACATGCGAACAGTCTCATATGAGGCAAGCGTGCTTTTCTCTTCCCTGCTGTCGAACGTGGGCCACACGGCTTTGACAAAGTATTAAACCAACTTGCTCCGCTGTCACCTCACACTGCTTCATTCTTCCCACCACCATCAACATCATTCTTCGAGATCACGAACTCCAGCTCTACTACAACACAAACATACCACTCTAGCAACCGCTTAAAAACACCGCCAACATGCCCGCCACCGCAAGGTAAGCGAACACCACTCCCGCTACCCATTGCTACTACCAGGACCCGCCCTTCGCGAGAAGCCGAATGCGCAATCCTGGAAGCACCAATTCCAGCATACTCATGGACCGGGCATGATAGCTAACAAAGTTGCTTATATAGTGATATCTGCAAGATCATCTTCGCCGTCATCCTCCCTCCCCTGGGTGTCTTCCTTGAGCGAGGATGTGGTGTCGACCTGCTCATCAACATTCCTCTCACCATTCTGGGTACGTCACACTTCCATCATTCACCGTCACACGCATAAACTTCTAACACGCGCATGCAGGTTGGTTGCCCGGTCTGATTCACGCCCTCTACATCATTTTCAAGTATTAGAACTCACGGCCCTGCCAACACACCCATGGAGCCAGAAAATAGTTGAGAGAAAACGATGATCCCGAATCACCACCACCAGTTCAGCGAACTAGACGTGATCAATGCTTCTTCGCACGTGGTTCGGCAATGATTCATCTTAACGGCCGACTTTTTTTTAATACTGTCTTACACGGCATCACGACTGGGGACTTTTTTTCCTTTTGTTATTTTTCAATCATGACATTACTTCTCGGTGTTCAATCTGGGGTTGGATGAAGGAGCTTCTCGGGCTTCCAATGAGCACGACGCAATGTTCTAGTTTCGCATTAATCAGATACCCGTCAATTCCGACTATAATCATATCAGACACCGTTTTAATTGCAACAGTGAGGAAACAAGTGCATCTATTCGTCTAATCTGATAGTGTCCACCAAAATGTACTGAACCATAACACGATGATTCAACCAAGAAACTCCAAAACACCAAAGTCATATCCAACTAGCGTTCACATCCCAATTCATATGAGCAAACTGTGACTTAACATGGGCGCTCATAACAACTCGGCTTCTCCATCATCAGCAAGCTGGTCCTCTTCATCCCAATCAAGATCCGCATCCAGTTCCTCAGCCTTTCGTTGAAGCTCGGCGAGGCCTGAAAGCTCAGCCACATAATCCTTCTCTTGTAACGCCCGCTTCACAAACTCCCAGCCATCCTTGCGATAGGCGTCAAGAATCTTGGGGCTGCAGGCACTGCAGCAATCATAGGATTGGCCTCTGATAACCATGTTCTGGAACGTCGACACATAACCCCGGATTTGATGTGGGACTAGACCCAGGGGATGGTCAGGAGGGTCTCTCGGAGGCTCCGACCCGGCGGTGGGCTGGGGGGCATTCGCCTTGTTGCCCTGTGGATGCTGTAAGAGACTCGTCAGAAGCTCCACCAGGAGAGCGGACGCAATCGCCGCCACTCCAGGACGGGTGACGGTGCATTGCTGGTCAAGAGTCTGATCTTTCATGGACTGCGGAATAAACTTGGTCAGCGCATCATGGTTCTCGGATGCCGAGTTCCCGCGGGGAGAGTCACTTACATCACCCGGAGCTACTACATCATTGCAGAAGTAGCAGCCTAGGGAAGCCGCACCCTCCTCCTCACTCTCAGCGCCGTGTCTCATGACAACATATGAGTCAAACCCAAGGGCGGCATTCATAACTATTTTTCCTGCAGCTTTACCCATGACGGTTGGCAGCCATCGAGACTCGCGAGTGTCCATGAGCAAGAAGATGACGTCATGTGCTTGGATGAGCTCTCCCAGCCGGTCAAATTCCTTCTTCGTCTTTTCCTCGTCAGTGTAGGGATGGCCAAGCATTGGGACCGAGAGTGCGTGCCCCTCGCTTTCAACGCCAGGGTATATTCTCTTGAGCGCGGCAGCAGCCTGCGGGGCTTTGGGTTTGCCCCCATCGACACAGTCGTCAAACTCGAAGAGTGGCTGCCGGACTGGATTTGAGTAGGAGACTTTGCCATAGTCAACAAAGGTAACTTTCCGTACACCCCAGCCCAGTAAATTTCGAGATACGTAGCCACCAAGGGTTCCTGCACCTAGGAGCAGGCATTTGGTATTTTTGATCAGCTCGAGATTCAGTTCTGGTGCCAGCCTCCATTTCATGAGCTTAAGATTCAGGTCGACGGATGAATCGGCCAGCCGGGTAGGGTCCATATAGTCCCCGAGGTTGGCTTGTTGCGCCTGCAGTTTGCCATTTCTAGATCTCTCCCATCCCGTGACCTTTGGTATCTCCGAGCCGTCAACATTTTCCTGTGGATCTGTCTCGATGGGCAGGATGACGCTTCTAGCCTCATGCCTGCGCGCCCAAATGTCCCGGTAGCACAAGATCTTAACCTTGTTCAGTCGAAAGCGTTGCCTTATAAGGACCAAGAGGTTTCTCAGAGGCCAACCGGGGCCCTCGGGATATGTAGAAGGGTCGAGGAACGCCACATAGCGATCACCCTCTGGCGTGTCGTTGAAGAATCCATTTTCGAACTCCCGCAAAGATCCTACCTCCCAGCGATAAGGGAGTTTATATCCACCTTCGGTTTCATCCGCTTCAGCCTCTTGGATCTGCGCCTTCTTCGCCAAGAAGAATCCATGCTCTCGTCTGTCTACGCTGTATCGCCAAGTTCCGACTCGGTCGACGAGGGCCGTACTCTCGTCGGCAGTCAAATGCTCTGATGGCCCAGAGCGCCTCCACTGGGGATCAGAGTGCAGGGCTGGAAATGCAAACCAATATGTAAATTTGTATTTTTTGAGGTCGGCGTAGGAGAGGATAACGAACGAAGAAAGCAGCGAGGGTACTGAATATATGCTGCCGTCGTTGATGGCGTCCCATATCTAGTTGCGCGCGTGAGTATACCCTTTCAAAAGGGAGGTGGATTCTTAAGATATCCATACCTGTCTGCCGGCTTGCTTTATCATAGCCGACTTGTCTGTATTCTTAAACCCTTCCAGTGTATTGACATTTTTTATTATCCCTTCAGCTCGCGCGGCTCCCAGAGGAACACTGGAGAATCTGGTCAGTGGACGGGCATTTCATGGGAGAGAAAAAGAAGCCATGCGCACTCCTGGTTCGTCAGGGCGTTACCCAGAATCTGCATCTTACAACTCGAGTCGGGGTCCTCAAGGCGGGGTTCGTACAACCCAAGGACCCCCCGGGCCGAGTCGTCGAGCTTATCATAGTCGAGCTTCGAGGCGAAGAGGGCGGAATAGAACGGAAGTTCGATCTCGGAGGAGAATGTAGCGAACTGTAGAGGCGCGGCCATGATCGATGCGTGCGCAGAGGGTACCCCTCTGTAGGTGGTCGTGATGGATGCAACTAGTGAGACGGCGGATGGGTTGGGTTTATACGTGAATTATGTCGCGAGTACACGGTGCCCTCTTCACAGGATAAAGAGGGAGTGAGTCAATGGAAGAAACGCGAAATGTTCAATCACGTCTTGGCCGTATCATCTGATCCCAGGGAAGCAAGACCAGCTGGTCCGTCAGTCCGGTGGTAGGATGTAGCTTTGCCGTCGTCCCCATGTCAGGTGCTGCCTTGAGGTCCGTAGGTACTACAAGAAGTACTAATGATAGGCAGCCTGGATGGAGCTGTAATCGCTGAGGTAGAATGCTCTGGTACTGTACCTACCTACCTAAGGTAAGGTACGCTTGCTTATGCCATTTTGGTGTTAGTGTCATCGCCGCTCTTGCCCAGTCACAGCTGTTCAGCCGTGGGGCACGAGACAAAGCGCTCAACTGGCACAGCAGTGCCAAATCTAAAAGCGGCCATGCTTAGCCACCTCTCAAATTCGGAAGGCCCATGGCTGACTCGTACTACCCCGCAAGACGTCACCCACTAACACAAGGCAGGCCAATCCATTGCCAGTGGAGGTTTCTCAGGGCTTCTCTCAGGGCTGGCCTTTAAGTTGTCATTCCAACATGAACAAATTACTGTAGGCTCCTTCAGGCAATGCATTTTCGAGAGCCAACAGAGCAAGAAACAACTACCGGATTACTCACCCGTAAACACCATCGTTTGACTCTACTTTCTACATAACTGAGAATTAGACAACTACTAGATTGAAGATGTCCCTCTAATTCCTATATTGACATGGGCTTCGTTCCAGCCGATGCTAGTAGTGAATGATTTTCCGCAATGCCCCAGTTACTCTATTTTGGCGGCACTCAGAAAATCCGTTTCACCGGCGGTCTTGCTTCGCCAGATCCCATTATCACAGGATATCATGAAACTCCAGACCATCAGGTCAGTAAATCAAAAAAGAATATCCTAGGATCGTAACATAAGCACTCAATCAATACCTGTGCCATGTGGGCATCATGTAACTCATTGGGTTATTACGTGCGTCTTCATGTTGCCATATTTCAGCTCAAGCTCACAAGCTCGCACGTCATTCGATCTGTGAGTCCTCGCGTTGACAATTACCCCACCTCAGCATTCAGAACAGCCTTTCAACCCACCATGATAGAGCCACGCAGATGCGCCGGCTTCGGATCTCGATGAGAGGATATCTCCGCTAAAACCGTAAGGTTGTATATAAGAAGAGGCAGCCTCTGGCCCTTGAATCCATCGAACTTTCAAAGCCCCCAACTCCCTGGTCCCACTCGCCATCGCCAACATGCCCCTCATTGTCAAAGCCCCCACCAACCGCATCATCCTTGGGCTCATGACCTTCGGGCCATCTGAGCAGGATGGTGCACGCATTACTGACATCAACACATTCAAGAATGCTCTTGATGTCTTCCAGGCGCGGGGCTACAATGAGGTTGACACAGCCAGAGTCTATGTGGGGAGAAAGCAGGAGGCTTTCACCCGTGAGGCTGGGTGGAAGGAGAGAGGCCTAACTCTGGCTACCAAGGTCCAATACCCTAATAACCCTGGAGACAATACTGCAGACAAGGTCTTGGAGTCCGCTGAGATAAGCTTGAAGGAGCTTGGGACAGACGTCGTAGATGTAAGCCTTGCTTCATCCCATGGTCTGCTCAATGTTACGATATGAGCGCTAACAATTTCCTGTTAGATCTTGTATCTACACCGCGCAGACCGTGCGGTCCCATTCGCTGAGACACTGGAAGCAATCAACAAGCTTCATCAGGCTGGCAAGTTTGTGCGTTTCGGAATCAGCAACTTCACAGCATTTGAAGTGGCCGAGATCGTCCTGACCTGCAAACACAACGGTTGGGTGCGCCCCACAGTCTACCAAGGCATGTACAATGCCATCACCCGCAACCTCGAGCCAGAGCTTATTGTTGCATGCCGCCGGTACGGTCTGGATATCGTGGTCTACAATCCCCTCGCAGGTGGCCTCTTTTCCGGGAAGATCAAGTCCAAGGATTTGATTCCAGAGAGCGGGCGATTCTCTGATGTTAGCACTAGCCAAGGCTCCGCGTATCGCAAGCGATACTTCCATGAGAGCACATTCAAATCCCTCCAATTGATCGAGCAGGCGACAGAGAAGCATGGACTTACTCTGATCGAGACTGCCTTGCGATGGGTAGTACATCACTCGGCGTTGAAGATCAAGGATGGGAATGACGGTATTCTCATTGGTGTTTCGAGCGTTGCACAGCTCGAGAATAATCTTGATAACTTTGAGAAGGGTCCTCTACCTGACGACGTGGTCCAGGCTCTGGATGAAGCTTGGAAGGTTTCCAAGGCCGACTCGACCCCCTATTGGCACGGGGACGTTGTTTACACCTATGACACCCAGAAGGCACTCTTCGGCTAGTCAGATACCCTAGATAGCTTTGAACATCAGGTTGCTCACAAGCCAAAGTACACGCATGACCACATCACCACTATCAGCTACCGGAAGACACCACGCGGAGGGTGTCAGGCCCCTGAAATAGATGTAATGACCAGGTGGTGGGGGCATAGATCCCCATCTTTTGGCGGCAGGGTACTCCCTAATCATCCCTCAGTAATGTAGATCCACCCAGTGTACCAATCGACCTCTAACCCCATCCGCACGTGTGGGTGTGCCCCTTGTAAAGGCAATCGACATCACTGTGCAGGACCGGCGAAACCGCGCTACCCCGTTATCGTCAACTCCCATCATTCCTTTCCCGGTCGTAGAATGGTCTCCTTGGACCGTCCTCCATCATTGCAACTCCCACAATAGCGGCATTTTCATTTAAAGGATTCAGCACGGCGCGACACTGGCATATCCACATTCTTTCTCTCGCCCATCAATTTCCGATTCTCGCTCCATACCTACGCGCGGCGTCGCATGCTGTCGAACAGGAGAGCGAACTTCAAGCAATCTACATGGCACGCAGCCCAAGGCCAACTCCCTAAGAAATCGATACGATCTTGAGTAGTTCTCTGCTTGCTCTAAGAACTATTACGATGTCCTCCGAATCCCGCTGGGCGGGTTATGACGGCCGGTCTGGCTTACCGCTATTGCGCAAAAGCGAGGATGACGAATTGGATGGTACCGGCCATTCCAACCTGTCAGGTCGATTAAACGATACGGTACACGCTTCGGGCCACGATGATGACGACTCAGATCACGAACACCCTCTCCAGAATTCGACGTCAAACTTCTCCCACGGGTCGGGGATGCACAGTCGCAGCCCACAGCAGGCGGCTGCTGCGGCTGAGAGGGCAGCCAAGACCAAATACACATACGCCGCTTTTTTTCTGGTCGTCAGCCTCATCACATTCTGCGTCCAGACCGAGCTCAGTGCGTACATTCAACATGACCGCGGGTGGTCGAAGGCCTATTGCATGATGTACCTGACACACGGGTTTTGGGTCTTTCTTTGGCCTTCAATGCTTCTAGTCCTGCGGTTTAAAGCCAGAGACGTGCCCTGGTCGGTCTTTTTCAAGAGACATCTCCTCCACCTGAAGACGACTATAATGATGATCGAAACCCAGACATTAGATGTCCATCGCTCCGCTTCACGGCACAACTCCAACCCCCTTCGTTACATTGTTCGCTTCACTGCCATTATCACATCTGCTTTGACTGTAGCTGGTCTCAGTTGGTACATTGCAGTAAGCTTGACCACGCCCTCCGATTTGACTGCCATCTATAATTGCTCTGCCTTCTTCGCCTACGTTTTTTCTGTGCCCTTACTTCATGAACCGCTGCGCCTAGATAAATCCGTCGCCGTTCTTATCGCAATTGCAGGAGTGCTTGTTGTGGCATACGGAGATACCAAAGGGACCGAGACCGAAACTGGAGCTGGTAGCCGTTTTCTCGGAAATATTGTAATCGGCGTTGGCTCTGTGCTATATGGGTTGTACGAAGTGCTTTACAAACGATTTGCCTGCCCACCCGAGGGTACATCGCCTGGTCGAGGTGTCACTTTCGCTCTCACATTTGGCTCCCTGATTGGCCTTTTCACCTTGACGGTGCTCTGGATTCCCTTGCCGTTTTTACACTGGCTGAACATCGAAAAATTCGAGATCCCAGACGCTTCTACTTGCTGGCTCATCTTGCTGGCTATTCTTTCTAATGGCATCTTTAGCGGGAGCTTTTTGGTCCTCATTTCGCTGACATCTCCTGTGCTATCATCTGTCGCCGCACTATTGACTATCTTCTTGGTAGCATTGGTCGATTGGCTTATCACTGGTAAACCTCTTAGTTGGGCTGCGATCATCGGAGGTGCTATGATCATTGTCGCCTTCCTAGCTCTAAGTTGGAGCACATATCGTGAGATGAAAGAACATGAGGCGCAAAAACTTTCGGTAGATCTGGCGGACAGCGATGTCGATGAGGCGTCGGATTCGACTCCCGATGAGGCATAGAAAACTTCTCTTATTTCGGGGCTCTACATTCTGAGTGGGTGTTTACTCTACGGGCAAGGTTCAAATTGCATTTATTACAGGGAATTTTGTCTCCTAATCTGGATTTCGCTGCATGAACAGGAGTAACGGGATTATAAACGGATCTATCACTTTGAGAATCGAAGTGCAGTATCTGGCTGGGTTGAGGTAACATGAATAAAATTGGGCTCATCTACTGTACATATTTAGGTCACCACATAGAGTGTTGTTATTCATTCCATCCCTGCACCAGATCCAGTGACATAGGGGAAACGCATAGCTGAATTTTGCGTTCTGCGCTTTGCATGCTGCCGACGGACAAGCCACTGCGTGGACGGAATGCCTCTGGGTTGAGAAGGTGGCACCAGTTCAGCTTATGCCGCTTCCCGGAGGCACGCCGTGGATAGAAGAAGAACAAGCCGTCGGTAGGGTTCTTACTATGCGCTATGTATACGCCGTCAACGGTCTCTAACGTAGAGGCATGCAGGCGCCCTGTTCTAACATCCACCATCCGGGACGTGTTGAACGGTTGGGCTCGGATAGGTCTAGGCCGGGAAGAAGCAAAAAGAGAACATGGCCGGCGGTCAAGGTTCCACGAAGCTGCAAGCAAAAGAAAGGAAACCGGTATGCAGCCAATCTACGTCGTGGTCGGGCCTCCTTTTCACTCAGCCCTAATGCAGGTATGTTCCTTCTGGTTGGGATGCAGAAGGGTAGCTGCATCTCGCCAGTGTTTTGCGGCGAGGATGAACGGGCTGCGGGCGCGGTGTTGAGAGAACCGTGCAAAATGTTCACCTTGGAGGCCAGCCACCTGCTGATAATTTAGGGACGGCTGTGTTTTGCGTGCTGTAGGCAGGCAGAGGGGCCGCCCGGAGCTTTTGAAAACGACTTGTCACACGTCCAGGTACCTCCCAGCACGTACGGCTGGCTCCCGTGCATCTAAGCTTGATAGGCAGGCACCCAGACTGAGAAAAACGTTTACCAGCGTCAAGCATTGGGTGGGCTGTTCGCCAGCCATCCAGAGCCTCGCTTCGTGGTGCGTTCCGACAACTTGTGTTGGCAAACGCACGCGGCAGGTTCACTTGTTGATAAACGTCACGGTTACTGCGCGGTCCAACGCACGTCTCGCTTTTGCCCTCTGTTCTTGCCTCCTAGTCACTACATAAACCGCGTGCCTGTCTGCTCCTTCTTCTTCACTTGCTCGCTTCCCACATATCCTTTCCCCATCCTCAACCCCCACGCGGATACCTGTGCTCTTCATCCAACAACACTCTCCATTTTCTAGATTTCTGTTAAAACCTTGACGTTTTCAACAACGCTCAGGGCGTTCACTTTGAAACCAATATGCCTGGTAGGACTGCCTCTCCCGAGCCAACTCTCGATATCATGAGCAAGGAGGAGGAGGATACTCTTGAACAAATAAGAGAGCGTCGCCACCAACTCATCCAGCCACTTTGGGAGAAATATGAACAAGGCCACTACAATGTTATTCCCGATGACCAGCCGGAGTCAACAATTGAGCTCATCAAATCGTCAGATCTTCGAGTTGAGCGCCGTGGAGATTTATCCAAAGGGCAGCTTTCGTCCATTCATGTTGCTCACAGCGGTGCCAAGGAATTTCCTGGTGTGAATTTCATTGGCTTCGAGCCCACCCAACAGTGCTTGGCATTCAGAGGCGAGGCAAGACACTTGGACTCGTTCATAGACTTCTCCAACGCAATGGTCAAAGGAGAGCGAGTCCAGTTCGTCTTCAAGGCACCCGCCGCAGCTGTGATCCCCAAAGCTGGGCTCAGAAAAAATCTCGACTACGACGAGTTCGCCGGCCAAGTCGAAATCGTCGAATATGCTATGTGGCTTAGGCCACCCAGCCCCGAAGATGAGGCATCCTCATGTCAGTTTTGCCCCCATCTGCCAGACGCATTAATTTATTTCCCTTGTTGACCTTTTAGTAGATCCTCCGGATGACTTGGTTATGTTGAGCCCAGACGAAGATGACTTGTTTGAACACACTGAGCCAGTCTCAAGCGCTGCGACTTGTGAGGAGCAAGGAAACGCACTGCCCATGGATGTCGACGACCAGAGCCCAGAGCCTCTCGTTCCAAATTCCAAAAGATACTCCACAGATAGTACTCTCTCCGATATCCCCGAGGAACAGGAAGAGATCTCTTTTGATGACCCTCAGCAAGGCAACACTGTCAACATTGCGGACCAAGATGATGAAATGATAGATGGGAATGCACTCCAGGTCGAAGCTTGCACAGACTGCGATGCCAAAGAAGCTGATAAGTTAGCTTCACAACTCGAGGCCGATGCAGCTTTGGCCGCATCCCTCTCGCAGTCACTTACAAATACGGCTCGGTATACTTTGCGCAAACGGAGCAGTACCCAGGCACCTGAGGAGGCTGTCAATCCGACAAAGAGCAGCGGTAGCAAAACTGCTGAAGCCAGCAAAGAAAACGGGAAAACTCTCCGTGCTAATAGCACAGCTAAACAGCCGGCAAAAAAGACAAGCAAGAAGGCCAACACTGGCCAACAACCAAGGAAGAATAAGCCGCGACGTCAGTAACTACCTGCTGAGAGCATCTACGAATGATGTTTAAATCTCCCAAACCGGGCCATGATACTTAGAGGAGAAATGTTTTGTTCTATGAAGAAAGGAATATCTTGTTTGGTGCTAAGGATGTCGATCTCGAAGCTATGAGATGAATCTTGAGATTGGTAAAAACTCCAATGAGAGTGGGGTCAAGATTAATGAGGAAACAAATTGATGAATGGACGATACCACTGCAGCTATGATTAAATGAAAAACATTGAGCTTTTGATCATGGGAATTCCTTGTTCCCCATAAAGAGTAGAAGGCCATGGTGGCCAGGTTAAGCCTGCACCAACCGTCCGTGGTCTGGACCACATAATATGCCATCCCGAAGGCCTGGACCGCTTGTGCGTTGTTATCTGGTTCCAGAACTTAGAAGATTCGCCTCTTTGATCCTTGCACAACACCGTTTTGATCTCCTATTCGCGTCTCTCTGAGCTCTTCGGGGTCATCACGGCAAATTTTATTACGGTTAGTAAAAGATGCGAGTTACCTTAGTACTGTAGGTGAGGCTGAATGGATTAGTGGTAAGATCGAGATCGGGCATGAGAGTGAGGCGGCGCTGGTGGAGGGGCTCTACTAGCAAAATGATCGCCAGCCCAGTGATTTATACGTTACCCATGCTGGGTTATTTTATTATATATGACGCAATGGGGTAGGTGGAAAATGCCCGCCCGGTTCGTCGTTTATCTGTCAGTTCTGTTCGATTGTTTTTATTTCGTCCCAACACGAGAGCGCCTGCTCCGTAAAACTGCAGGTGGGACCCCGCGCTCACCAGCGACTCAAGTCGAGACAGCCAGAGTTACAGGCACAGCCTCCGGCCCCTCTTCACCTCCCCAAGCGTCGAGCTTGAGGCTCTTGACGACGCCTCGCGCTCCAGCCCCTTCTTGCGCGCTGATTATTCCAGATCTTGTTGGTTCGAGGACGACACAAAATACCTACCTGGTGGTTTTCCAGCCACTACTGCAAACCTCCCACCTGCTGCCCCCGAAACCGAAGCCATCGCACCTTCCAATAATCCATGGCCAACGCTTCCGCAGCAGGTGGCATTGAACCCGCCCAGCTGGGATTTCTGGCCATCTTCAATCCCTCCCTCGGCAGCACGGACGAGACCATCGATGACCAGATTGTATACTATTCCTCCGTGAGCACCCAATCGGGCTCTCTCAGGAAGAAGAGGAGACGGAGACGGAGCCGACCAACGGAAGGCATCTCCCAAGCTGAGCGCCATGAGCGTCTGCGGCAGATCGGCCTTGCCCAGGGCATGGCCAACTTCAGTCGCGGGTTCGCAGATGGTGCCGCTGTCGATACCATTGATACGGAGAGATCGAGAGTCGTTCTTCATGAGCTGGAACCTGGATGGTGGATTCTTGCGGTTCGTTGGCTGATCTCTTTTCCCTTCCTGTGCTTATGGGGGCATTTGATACACAATTGATTCTAATAGTTTGTACCTAGAGTATCGACCTTACGAAAGTCCCACTGCCACCAAGGCTTCCTACTAAGAGCAGCGAGGCGCAAGAAGAGCAATTCGAATACTCGAGCCGTGAGATGAAACCCTCGACTCTACTTCTCGGGGACCTTCTACGTGCTCACAACATATTCCTCATGCACCATGGATCCTCCTTGAGCGCCCTTTTCGTCCGCTCCAAGAGGTCCAAATTTGTTGCTCTTCTCGGTCGATACTGGGACCTCTACGTCTCGACTTGGAATGTGATGCTGCACGGTAATCCTGCTCGTGAGATTTTTGGTGGGATCAATCTCGCCGCCTCGGGCGAGCTCGGCGTTGGTGTTGGTGAAGAGGAGCGCGGGAGCGGTGAACGCGAAGTCCTGGAGGGGCTTGTCGGGAGAATCGAAGGACTCGTCGATCTGGTTGTATCCAAGTTTGGCGAGCATGAGCCTGAGGAGGATGCCCCCGAGACGTCTAATGATGGCCAGTCACAGTGGCTAGGAACTGGAAAGGAGCCCAGTTGCGAGGATGGTGCCATTTTTCTCGGGCTGGGAGCGTTGTCCAAAAAGTCTCTACGTGATGTCACCCATTGGATGGAAGACTTGTACACTTGGGGTGAACATGCCTATGGTGTGATTGATAGCCCAACCTCGACGCGGCGAAACAGACACAGAACGTCTTCGAAGAAGATTGAGGAGGATCCACAACAACCTCCCACAGGGCTGGCAGAACCTTCAACCTCAGAGGTACAGGAGGAGCCCTCTGAAGCCATCCAACCAGATGGCGAGAGTTCATCAGAGCCCGCAAAGCAGTCAGCGGCCACTGACCAAGATGGGAAATTCAATAAGATGGCGAGTTATTTCAAAATGGGGTATGGCACGTACTGGAGCATACCCGGAACGGGCACGGTGAGCGATGCCTCGACAGGCTCGTCACAAGTCATAGGACAAGATGACACTCTAAAGCAAGCGGATAACCCGAAAGAACCTCGCCCTAAGCCCCCAGTTCGCTCACCATCAGTCGAAGCTGCAGGCCATTACTTGATTGGATTGATGGGCGAAATCGAGGAAGGGGCCAGCGATCTCGACGAGAACCAACACTCAGACAACTCGGAAACAGAACACAATTCCCGAACTGTCCTAAGAACAATCCACGTGGAGCTCGAAAGCGAGGCTGAGGGTCGGCCAGAGTCCATGATTGTCAAAGACTTTGAGCATCCAGCTAGCATCTGGACACAATCGCAGGTCATGGGCAACATGGTTCCAGGCTACAACTCACACGATTTAAATAAAGCAAAAAAGCTACGTGTAGTCGTCTACGTCAATCGCCCTTTCATTTTCACGTTTCTCTTCGAGCTGCGAACGGACTCCCTGGCATGGGATTCCCTCTACCGTTCCCTTCACTACCAACTCGCGCCGCTGAAGAGGCCGTTATTGTCCTCAACGAGCTACCGCCCAGAGCAACCCAGCACAGGCTCATCTGTATCGAATATATTCAACTTGGTGTGGGATCCAAAGGCGATCACCTTCTCCTCTACCATTCCCAACATACCAGAGACGTATGGGACGGAGAACTCCTGGTCCCGTGCCGATGCACTGAGTACTCACTTCCATATCCTCCAAATCCATAACGCCACACGCGCCCACCCCAACGATCTTGAGAGGACTCAGAAGACTGGCCGCGGATGGTGGATTGTGTGGACGAGACTTCTTCATCGAAGGGAAGAAAACGCCCGCAGTAATCTTCCCACCATCCAGGAGTCCTCCGCGCCTTCCTCGTCCGCCGCTTCCGCGATTGCATCTGAAAACGATGCGTCGCAAAGCTATGGTACAGAGGACGAGAATGTTGCAGCAACCGTCGACAAGGAGATATTCCTCATCCGTCAAGCCAGCGACCATAAGGGGTTTCAGGACCGGGCAGGTGAGGGAGCGGGGAAACTGGCTCAAGGGATTGGTGTCGATACGCGACGCTACGTAGAGGAGCTATTAAGCTTGCTGTGATTTCTTTTCTTTTGCTATTCGTTTAAATTTGGTCATTGCGACGGAGTCGACGCTATTTGGGAGGTGCCTTGGAGCAACCCATGCATGTTCTATACCATTACGCACCTATTAGGGAGCGATAAGTCGACGGATTACCCTAGGCTTCCAGATTCACAACTTCTGATGTTTGCAATTTGATTAGATGTGTAAAATAAATAATATTACTGTTCGTTTTTCTGTCTAATCAAGTCCAGTCCACTTGCTCTTAAGCAGACCAGGATCATACTCCTTCTATTCCGAAGTGAATAAATATACAAGAAGGTACTTGCTGCCGAAAAAATATATGGTTGGGGCAAGAGATGCTATATATTCTCCAAGGATATCCAAAAATTTCCTCTTGCCCAGGATAACCTATACGAAGGCCACCCAGGATGAACGTCAAAAAGATAAACACACACACAAGTCTTAGGTCATGAAACGTGCCAGGGCCGACTAGGGAAACAAAAAAGGAGGTCTTCAAGAAACAAACTTGCAAAATCCTCTTTTATTCCTCGATGGTCCAGCTCAGCTTGCCACGACCGACACCGGTATTGCCAAAGAGCTTGACGAAGAGCATCTCGGAGAGATCAATGCTACCAATCAAGCACTCGGGGCACTTGTCGCTGACGATACCCGTGGCGACATTGCCGTTTTCGGCGGTGATGTGGATGGTCTTGCCGCAAGGGCTGGTTTTCGCCTGCTCGTAGTAGGCGGCGGCGAGGGCAACGACTGGCTGGGAGAGATCCTGACCGGCGTAGTTGGTGCCGCCGCAGGAGCCGAGGCCGATCTTGAAATAGGTGCCCTCACCAGAAAACACCTGGCCGCTTCCGCCGCCGGAGGATGCGGAGGTGGTGGGTGCCGCGGCCTGGGAGGTGGTGGTGGGAACAATAGGAGCGATGGTAGTGGTAGGAACCTCGATGACGATGCTACTGCTGGTGGTTGGGATAGGGGCAACGTAGGTAGAGGTGGAGGACGGGATAACGACGATCGAGCTGGATGAGGTGCTGCTTGTCGAGGTGGTGGAGGTTGTAGAAGTGGAAGTGGAAGTGGAGGTAGAGGTGGTGCTGGGAGGAGCAGAGGAGCTTGGGCTCGAGGTCGACGAGGGCTTTTCGAAGAACTTGGCGTCTGTGGTAGGCTGCACGGCAGGAGGAACAGTCTCTCGGGCTCCGTCCTGAGCAACCAGAATAGTGGCCGTCACCTCGACGATTGTGGTTTCGACGACGGTGACCTGACGCTTGTGGAGGTGGCCGTGGCCGTGGGGCTTGGCGATGGCAGCGCCAGCGAGGAGACCGAGAGCAACGGAGTACTTCATTTTGACTTGTCGTGATCTTTGGTGTATAAAGACAGGTATATCCGGTAAGGAGTGACGAAGAGAAGTAATTCTAGTATTAATAGTATGCTTGTCCGTGTCTCTCAAAGAATGGAAGAGATGCTGAAAGCAATACCAACAAAGTAAGCGGATGTAATGAGGGAATCGTCTTCTACAACTCAATGGATGATCTGGAAAACTCGGCAGTCCAAGATAAAGGGGGGGAGGGTCGGTATTTGAGAGTCCCAGCTCATTTTGATATAGATACATCAATACATTGCTCATAACGCCCAAGTGACGGTGGTCGTATAATGGATATTAGTCTGGGGGAGCCACCAGTCCGCTCGGGATCGTCTGTCTGCCCCCCTGTGCATTGAGTCGGCATCATTGGCCGCATTCCAAGCGTCCCCTGCAGCTGGATCAGGTACCAGCCAATTGACAGCCATCTCGTTCCTGGACCGGGGCTGGGATAGCCGGTGGCATCAGTCAAAACCCCCTGCTTGGGCGTGGACCCATGGAGGATCCCTGGAGGCTGGTCCACAAGTTTTCCAGGCCATCGACGGGAACACACAGTAGCATGATGATGAGTTTTTTCCCTGGCCAGGGGAGCCCTTCCATCCCCCTAATTTCCAAGGAGGCAGTGCCCTATTCAAGGTTGAACGCACAGGGATCGGCGCAGCAGCAGAGCAAACGGGGGCGGAAGGCCATGGGCTGAAAGCTGTTGGTTCGTGAACCAGATTCTCGGGCTTCTGAGACAGACGACAGAGCTCCGCCGTGGCGACGAGACTGCCTACGTAACGCAAGCAAGCTAACGCAAGTGTTGATTCTCTCCAAGACACCAGAGGGGATGAATGGTGACCGCCACAGCTGAAGGGCCCGTGTATGCGTGTCTGCCAGGGGCAGGCTCGGTGCTTTGGTGCAGCCTCAGCACCCGTCCTTCCGGTCAGCACGGGCATCAAGGAGGGTAATTACATCCAAATTAGTGCTTTCCATGGCAAGGTGTGTGGTAGGCCATCTCCAATCTGGAAGTGGTGGCTGCTGGGCCTGACTGTCGGGCTAGACGGAATGCAGACATTGTGGAATTGGCCGTCGCCACGCAATGCCACCGCTAATGGCGAGAGACGGGGGTGGTCTCAGAAGCCGGCCACCTGCCAGCACACCAGCCAGGCTTGCGCTTTGACATCCAACCATGTCATTGTTTATATTGCGCTGGAGAGCTCATCTTGTGCCGGGCGAATCCCGAGTTGCAGGCTGGATCATCTGAGAGCTGGGTTGCACCACTGGCTGAGCACCACGTTCAGGGTCATTTCAGCGGTTTCTGCAGCCAAACGCGCGGAGCTGCCCAGAGGCGCCCTGCTGCAGGCCTAAACTCAAGATGGAGTGACGGGCACAGCTTGCGGTAGTGCTATGTCGCCCAAATGGTGATTCGATGAGGGTGTTGAGCCAATGTAGATGCGTGTGCAGACACTGTTGTGTCGTGGATGTAATTACTGGGTATGCACCTACCCTTGCTGTTTTCTGCTATTAGTCCGGTTCTTCGGTTGTACCTACATATACGCCGGTGGCTTACTATGAACGATGGAGGGGAGGCACTACATTGGGACGTAAACGCGAGGTGAGAGCAGACAGGGTTCCATCACGTCTCATTTCCACTGTTATGTCTAGCTCAGTCCCTCTTTCACACTGGAAGTACCTATAGCAGCTCTACTGTGTTTGCTCTTGAAGGAGAACAGAAATAACCCTTGCCGCTGAAAGACGGGACGGTCCTCGTCGAAGAGCTCCTCGACGCGGAAGGCCTTCTTGGCCATCTTGACAAAGTTCATGTCCGCCCGTCTCCTCTTCTTGAAGCAGAAATACACCGTGGCGTTGACGTTGAGCGCAAACAGGTCCTTGAGGGTCTGCATGAGCAGAGGGAACGCGGGCTCAAAGTAAACGCACTCGGCGGCGATGATTACGTCTGGTTTCTGCTCCACCACTTCCTGGGGCAGCGGCTCTCCCCTACTCACGCGATATCCGGTTAGTCAAGGGCCCTGGGCAGCTAAGGTAGCAGATCGTCGCCTGGCAAATAATGAATAATAATATGAAACGCACCAGTTGAGAATGAGCGCCGAGGCCTGGCTTTGGACCTCATTTCGCTCGATATTAAGCTTCATCAGCTCCAGCATCTCGAGCTGGTCTGTGATGAGCATCTTGGCGTGCACCCCACAGCCGAGCAGCACGCCAAGCCCAACCAGACCGATCCCTGAGCCCAGTTCCAATCTAGGTAAGGTGAAGAGGGCCAGGGTTAGCCGTCTGTCGGTCGCAAGAACAATAATGCGCGATGGGGTCCGATGAATGGTCGGTCGGTTCTGTATTACTCACATCCGTGCATCTTGAAGCTTTGCCCGGTGATACCGCAACAGGTGCTTGCCCAGGAGCATTCCCGCCGGCCACGTCTGGCCGCCGCAGCCCGTCCGGACATCCTCGTGGAGCTTTAATGGGGTGGTAAGCTGGCCGTCGAAGTCGACCGTGGTGTTCCCTTTGGTCTTGAGACTAGGGAGCGGTGCGAGGTCCTCGCTGACCTCCACCGGGTCCAGCGGAGGGGACGATTCTGGGCTGTCAAAGGCTGGCATGCTGTGATGGATAGATGAGGGGACGTGAAACTGGCTGCGTGTGGGAGTGAGACGGACGGGGCTTCAGTCACTGCACAGAGCACGAGAATTGAGTATTGGGAGCTGGTTTTAGGTTTGGCGGGAGTTGTGGGAAGTGTTGGCCGAATTTCGGACCTTTGCTTCCTCTTGTGATGCCTTACCTCTGCCTGCCCTTGCTCGGGGGGGAGTGCTCTACGAACCAACGCACGCTTCTATGGCCCTGCTTCGCTTCACACTGGGTTTCGAGGAGAAAAGGCCGCTTGTTGGCAGGTAGAGAGTCCATAGACTGGTTCTAGACTTCGATCCTATCTGTCGTGCTTGTCAGGGACACAAGTGGTCTAGCCTCTGATAACGATTACCCACTCTCTTCTCGCCTCTTCCCTCTCTTCTGGTCAGGCTTTCCTCTCACAGCCCAAGTGGATGGATTCGTGTGCAGCAGAGGACGGGTCTTTGTGCTGCTTATTCACCAAACCATGATCTGAAACTAGCCAATGGCAGCCAGTGCCGCAACAGAGGCATCACCGCCGCCAAGCTGTTGGTGAGCGCACCTCGCAGTGGCATCCCGAGTCTCCCTGTTGCTGTGTCCATGTCTCAGATTTTCACCCTCACTCTGGTCCCTACTAAATAGGGTGGCTCCCCCTCTCCATGTTGCCAGACGTTCACAGGAATGCAGCTGCGACATCCCCCAGCCTCTACCCGCCTTCCCTTCAATCAATTGCCCTCAGCCCGCCAGTACCGGGGGCCTTAAGCCGACACTCATGGCCATCATGGCGGACTCAACCAAGACATTTCGCCCCTCGCCAGTATGGTGCGGGCTGCTTGCCGTCAGCTTGCTCATGAGGAGGGGGCTTTGGTCCTTGAATATGGGCAATAGCTCTCCCACCCAGGAATGAAGGGATCCATATCGCTAAGGATCTCCGGCCATCAGAACGAACGATGCGCATGGATTCCCTTGGGGTGCCTCTGTCCCCATCATGCCATGTCGTGCCGTCCATTTGCTCTTTTCGTAGACTCTGCTGCTCTCGCATCTGTTCTTGTTCATGCTTAGATTTTGAATGGCATCAAGCGAGGCTCTGTTCTCCAGGATTCAACGCCTCTCAGCGCCTTCATCTGTAAACCACCATGACTTCTCCTATGATCTGGCTCTACTTCCTCCAGCTACTGCAACTCGTCTCCTGCGTCCCCATCATCTCGTTTCCGTTCAACGCACAACTGCCGCCCGTGGCGAGAATCGGACGCCTATATTCATATTCCTTCTCCACGTACACATTTCAGTCCGACACGAATATCACTTATCAACTACGAAACGGTCCCAAGTGGCTTTCGCTAGATGGAAAGGACCGCAGACTCTTTGGACTACCAACCGATAAAGATGTGCCTCCTACCCAAGGAAATGTGGCTGGGCAGACGTTCCAGATCATCGCAACGGATGCGACTGGATCGAGGGCCATGGATGGGACTATCGTGGTATCAAGAGAAGCTGGGCCTGAGATCAAGATCCCCGTATCTGAGCAAATCAAGCGATTCGGCTCCTACTCTGCGCCATCCTCGATCCTCTCTTACCCTTCTGCGGACTTTTCATTCTCCTTCGACACGAACACTTTCGCACATCCATCTAACGGCATCAACTATTATGCGTCTTCGGGAAACAGCAGCCCTTTGCCTGCTTGGGTGAAGTTCGATGCGAGTACTCTGAGCTTCTCGGGACGCACGCCGACTTCCGAGGCGCTCTATCAGCCTCCGCAGAAATTCGACATACGGCTTATTGCATCTGACGTTGCTGGGTTTTCATCGACCTCCATTGATTTTGCTATTGTTGTAGGCAGCCACAAGCTCACGGCCGAGTCTCCCGTCATCACACTCAATGCAAGTCGAGGGACTTCGTTCAAGTATGGCGGGTTGGCCAATTCTATCAAGCTTGACGGGAAGCCAGCGTCGTCAAAGGATCTCTCCACGACCGTGGCAGCACTACCGGGCTGGTTGAAGTTCGACACAGAGACCTGGGTCATTGAGGGCATGCCCCAGAAGGGCGATCGTTCAACCAACTTCACAGTCAAGTTCACGGATCCCTTCTCGGATACGCTCGAGGTGCTTGTCATGGCGAATGTGGCCACCGGGCTGTTCGAGAAGACGCTGGATTCAATCGAGGCCACGCCCGGGGAGCACTTCAGCCTGGATGTCGGTCCTTATCTCAGGGATCCCAAGGACATCGAGCTGAAGATTGTCACCAAGCCTGGCCAGGATTGGCTAAAGCTGGACGGGCTGGAAATCACCGGCGACGTGCCGAGTTCGGCAGTGGACAATCTGGATATTCGCATCGAGGCTACGTCACGCAGCTCCAACGTGATGGAATCGGAACTGTTCCAACTGAGTTTCCGGCCGGTTGACGGGAGTACCAAGACACTTCCCTCTGCTACTTCGACCGCCTCCCCTACGGAGAGCCCGGAAAAAACAGGCCATGATACTGATGAAGATGACGACGAGTCGAATGACCATGGTCTTGCGACAAGCACGCTTCTCTTAGCAACCATCCTCCCGATCTTAGCCGTTTCTTTTATTGTCATGCTGCTCGTGTACCTGATGAAGAGGCGTCGGATGAGGAAGTCCAAAGTATTCCGCAAGGATTTCCGCGACAAAATTTCGAAACCGATTGCTGGAAGTCTTCGGATTACCGGGTCAGGGGAAAACGAGGAGGCATTCAGGAACGTTGCGGCTTCGAACAACCAAGCATCACAAGCGGAGAAGGGTGTCATGAGACACGATGGCTCTCGAGTATCGTCTCGCTCATCACGCACCCTAGGTAGCATTTCTTCCAGCCGAGGGTTAGGGTCTCACAACACAGGATACGCGCCCCTCCGTGATGGCAGTTCCGACGACGATCGACGATCGTGGTTCACTGTCGAGAGAGTAGCAACAGGTAGACGAAGCCAGGGATCTCACTCAGATACCACGGGGCCCAGGTCAACTCACCAGCTACTCCCTACGCCGCCCTTCCTTTCATATGCAGGCGAAGGTGCCTTCCATAATGGTCTGGAGTTTTCGATCCCTTCGCTCAGCGAGCTTCCAAACTTGCAGCTGGACCCGGAGTTGGTCAGCAATCATCCAGAAAAGCCGCGCTCAGCGGCACTGTACTCTACTATCACATCTAGCTCAGCTGCGCTGCCGTCTTCACGCCTCAACAGCCCTGAAGTCGGATCGGGCTTTGCTGCTACTATACCTTCTCCTGCAATTACTCCCGCTCCCACATCCGTTCCCAGTATTCCTCCTACTGCCGTTAATTCTGCTTCTCCTCCTCCTCCTGTTCCCGCTCGTTCTCGCGCTCGAACGTTGTCGTCAGGGGGTTCGGTGAGAAGAAACTACAGACAGTCCCGTACATCGTCAGATAGGGACTGGACAACCATTGCTGATAGCGACGCCGGCGGGATTCCAGATCTGCCGCCGCCAATGCCCAGTCACCAATGGGCCAGCCGCCACGGTACGGATATGAGCCTGCCACGTCCCGAGTCATCCAAGAGGGCCAAGAGCTTTATAACGGAACCATCTTTCGGGTCTACCGAGAACTGGAGGGTCATTGGGCGGTACGACCGAAATGCACCACCTCAACTTCCTCCACCCGTCCAAGGGCTTGGGCACAGACGCTCGTCTCCGAGTCTGAGCACCTCAGTTACGGGGGCAGCCAAGCTTGTAGACCCGGCCACCGCAGCCATTCCAATCCCACCAGAGCCTCGATCACGTCCGGTAAGCTCAAGGCCCGTCTCTAGAAGCAGGTACTCAAAGTTGAATGAGGACGAAGAAAAGGCCAAGGAAGTCCCGGCGTCAACCTCTGCCGCGGGTTGGAGGAGGGAGGATTCGGAGAAAGCATCCAGGGGGAGTTTCGCAGCGTTCATTTGATGCCCAGCCATACACTAGCTACTGACCTTTTTCTGCCTATGTCCTAGACGTGTTTCCTTTTCCTTCCTTTCTCTTTTTTCGGTTTGTTCTCCGATTGCATCTTATGATACCATTTACATTACTCGGTTGTTACCAACATTGAAATATCAGGGTGTTTATTACGCCGCAAAGCAAGCAGAAGTTAGCAGGATAATCATGCGTGCTTTTTTTTTTTTTTTTTTGTCTTATGCGGACTGTTCATTTCACATTCAAGCGCGTTGGCTCTTATACTAGATAGATACACATGTTTATTATTTCCAATTGCCCATCTTCACTGAGCTTAATTGAATCACATTTCCCCAGATGTTCTCACGATATTACTCGCGTCTCACAGTATTACTCGTAACTGCCTACATGGAATTATATAAGTCATGACTGTGACCAATTTCCCCATTGGGATCTTTGTCAGCGGGATGCTGGATGGTGTGGTCGGAGTGGCTGTTGGATCTCGCTTTGACGGAATGGGATGGAGGGATGTAAAGGAGGGAAGGGCGCGTATGTGAATGGCGTAAAACACGACACCAACAAGACCGCCGAGTCAGGATGGAGTTATTTGGTGCCTCCGATGCTATTATTGCAGCCAATTACAGAGTACACAAGCCATACTTGAAGATCGGGCGTTGGGCTGGCGTTGTGAGTGCCATGCGTCATGTCAAAATACCTGCTTGGAGGTTTGCGACAGGCCTCTTTTCCTGCCTTGTCTTGCCTTGCAGATCTATTTCCACACGTTCATGTACGTCAACCGCTTGCAGTAGCATGAATATCGAGCACGGACGGCTCTCTTCCTTGTCTAGTCATGCCCGTCGACGGCAGAGAAAGAAGAGGTCCCCCTTGGCGGAGGAGGAGCACGTGCTGCCTACCTAGTCATGGCTCGCCACGATCGACGCGGGCGCACGCGACTTGACTGGCTCGCAAAAGCCAAAACCCAACTCAACACCAAGTTTGGCTCTACGTCTCGACTGCCTAATGAACGAGTGGCGGCCAACCAGAGCAAATCCCCACCGGGGCAAGCAGAAATGCGTCTCAACCGGAACGGTCGCAGCGCGTGGTGCGTGTGTTCCGTTCCCTGGGAGAATTTTTCACTTGCACACCTGATCAGTAGCCCTAGCCAATGGTTGCTCCCCCCCTCTTCTATTAGTTGGTTCGAAAGTCCGCCGTCGAATGCGCCATTCTTCCCTCAATCTGCTCCCCTCGCCCCCTGCTCTGCTTCTTGGCAGGCACGCACCCAAAAGGCCCCAAATCCGGCGGGTTCTGGGCTCATCAGGATCAGTCGAGTTTGGCCGGGGGGTGGTCCTGCGGCAATGGCATCAGGATTTTCCTCTTCTCTTGCTCTGGGTGGGAGCGGGGCCGGGATGAGCTTGGTGATGACGATGTTTTCGCGCCGGAGGTAGAATAGCACATACATGTACTCACACACACACAAAAGCAAAAGAAAAAAAAAAAAGAAGACAAAACAACGCAAAACCTGAGAGGTTTGTGGGATGGGTCTGCGGACCAAACGTGAGTTTCTCCCTGTCCGGTTCGACTACGCTGCCGGCTGCCATGCAGTATTCATCGAAGCCTGTTAATAATGGGCAATTTGATATTATTGCTACGTCCGGCTCACAGGCTGTTCGGAATCTGTTTGGCTGGGGACCGTTCATGTCTCTATAATGTATCAGTAGATCGAGCCTAGCCGTCATAGTCACTAGGTTAGGGGCATTAGTAACCTAAGCGCTGTCAAGGCAGAGCAGACGCATGGATAATGGGGTCAAGATCAATCAGCAAACAGGTCTGATTATTGCCTGCATGAGGATGAGAGCATGCGGGTGGCGATATGTTCCCAGCCAGGCGGCAAAGATGCTCCCTAACTCAGCACCGGCAGGTTGAGAAGCTGCCCGGGCAGGGGAGCTGCCAATATCCATTCAGCCACAATAGACGGCCACATATCAATAGGAGTATGTGTTCTCTGGTTCTGATTTAATTAATTACTTGAATAAGGTGCTGGTGGGGGTGCCCAGGTGCTAAAATTACTGCCTCCCTGGCCAGGTAGTGCGTGCGGCTGTAGGAGGGAGGGAGAGTGCACGCTGCTCTGCTACCCCGCTTCCTTTCGGTTTTTTTGCGCTGTCCAGAATCCGATGGACCGCAGAGCTCCGAACTGCTGTGGGTGAGTGAGCGCTGCGCGTGGTTGTGTAACCCGTTGTGGGAGCTGGGGCATGAGTGCATGAGTTGGGTGTGATATGTCCACCAGCATGTTGAGAGTGTAGACGCGTAAGGCAGGAGGAGAGGTTTATTGGGCGTCACCAAGGCCGCCTGTATCAATCCAACCTGGACGCAGATTCGGCGCTGATCTCGCTGCTGATCGCGGGTTCAGCAGCTCTGCCAGTAGCTGCGGTAGTGTCAGGCAGCCTGGGCGGCGCTGCTGGTCGCTGGTGGTAGCTGTGCCTCTGCCTCTGGTCTGCCTCTGTGCCGCCTCTGCATCTGCCTGGCGGGCGGTCTTACCTGACTAACCCCCACTGGCCTTTGCCTTTGACGGCATCCTCCACCCACGTAATTGCCCAGACCCTTTCGCTACAACCACCACTACCTGCTGCCTTGCCTCTCACTTCACCTCCCTTGACTCTACTCTCCCATATCCGTGAATAGACACATTCTTTCCTCTCTCCTCGCCGACCGTGTCCGCCCTCCTCTGCCCCTCTCCGATTTACCCAATTTTCCGGTGGCCCAGCTACCGATCGACCTGCCACCATGGGTCAGACCCTCTCGGAGCCGGTTGTCGAAAAGGTTCGTCTGTTCCTTCGTGGCTCTATACCTCGTTTCCTCTGCCTTCGCCGACCCGGGACACGGGCGCAATTGTACCCCTCTGCTTCCCTTGCCTCTGTTTTCTCCACGGCTTCCCGACCGCCGTGTTCTGTCGCATCTGGTTTTGCAGCTTCTTCCTCGCTGTGTGCGTTTAGTGGGCTGTCCGAGACTCTATCTTCACCCCGCAAAGCTCGGCCGTCATTCGTCATGCCCCTCCCTTGGTCCAGACATCTCTTTTTTTGCTTCTTCGCGGCGCGCGTGCGCTCGCATGGGCACAACTCTACATTTCTGTGCAGTGAATTTTTATGCTAACATGTCACTTGCTTTGCGCAACCACAGTCTTCCGAAAAGGGTGGGGATGACAGACTCATCTACGGCGTCTCAGCCATGCAGGGCTGGCGCATCAGCATGGAGGACGCCCATACTACCGTACTCGACCTCCTAGCCGCTAACGACACTGATGGCACCAACAAGAACGGAGAGACAGGCGAGGACAGGCTCGCGTTTTTTGGCGTCTTCGACGGCCATGGAGGTGACAAAGTTGCGTTGTTTGCCGGCGCGAACATTCACAGTATTGTCTCAAAGCAGGACACCTTCAAGTCTGGCGACTATGCACAGAGTCTCAAGGACGGTTTCCTAGCGACCGACAGAGCTATTCTCAACGGTATTCACCCATTTGCCCGCCGCAGAGCTCAAGGCTGCCTTCACCACCCCTGACCTGTTATATTGATGCGTTTTTGTGTGCTCTCCAGATCCCAAGTACGAGGAAGAAGTGTCCGGCTGCACAGCTTGTGTTGGTTTGATCGCTGGAAAGAAAATTTACCTGGTGCGTCTCAGCGACTTACGATGTGATGTGATATTCGAGGGAAATTCCGGCAAGAGCACAAGGTGTTGACTTTATCCCCTTCTCCCAATTCTAGGCCAATGCCGGTGATTCCAGAGGTGTTTTGGGTATTAAAGGAAGGGCCAAGCCTCTCTCCCAAGATCACAAGCCACAACTCGAGAGTTAGTCCATCCTGCTGTATCTTCAGCTTGTATCGCGCCTTGCAAGCTGACCTGGTATTCCCTCCTTTTTCTTTTATCCAGCCGAGAAGAACCGAATTACCGCTGCCGGTGGTTTCGTTGACTTCGGCCGTGTCAATGGCAACCTTGCCCTGTCGCGCGCCATTGGAGACTTTGAGTTCAAGAAGAGCGCAGAACTTTCCCCCGAAAATCAGATTGTCACAGCCTTCCCTGATGTCGACGTACACGATCTCACAGACGAAGACGAGTTCCTGGTCCTCGCATGCGATGGCAAGTATTCCCGCTTCATATTTTCGCGCCCGCAGGGCGGCAAACTAACTTACCCGGTATAGGTATCTGGGATTGCCAGTCCTCCCAAGCCGTAGTCGAATTTGTGCGGAGAGGAATTGCCGCCAAGCAGGATCTTGACAAGATTTGCGAGAACATGATGGACAACTGCCTTGCTTCAAACTCAGAGACTGGTGGTGTTGGCTGTGACAACATGACCATGATCATCATCGGCTTCCTCAACGGCAAGACCAAGGACGAGTGGTATGACGAGATTGCAAAGCGAGTAGCCAACGGAGACGGCCCTGCCGCTCCTCCGGAATACGGTACGATGATACCCCAGCTTTGATTACTGTCATCTCTCTTCCTCTCTACCCTTCATTTATCTCCTGGGTGGCTGCAAAGTCCACCATGATACGAAATTACATTCTTGGTCAATCGGAATGTCAGGGTGGATACAAGCTAACGTACTTGCCTCTCCTCTCCAGCCGAGTTTCGAGGACCCGGAGTCCACCACAACTACGAAGATAGTGACAGCGGGTATGAGATGGACGCGGAAAACAAGGGCAAATCATTTGGCGTTGGTGGGTATAAAGGTCGTATTATTTTCCTCGGCGATGGGACTGAGGTTCTTACCGATTCAGATGACACCGGAATGTTCGATAACGCGGACGAAGACAAGGACCTTGAGAGCCAAGTCTCCAAGAGCTCCGCCTCATCGGAGGCCCCGAAGCCCGAGCCCTCTTCGGCCGAACGAATAATTACAGCATCGACGACCAAGGAGGACGAAACGAAGGATGACGCAAAGACGAAAGCGGAGACGACCGCCGAACAGAGTAAGAAGGACTAGGTGCTCGTTTCGCACAGGGAAGAGCCTGTTTGATTCATTGTTTCGGCGTTGTGCTCCGATACAGACATGCCACTGTTTCCCCGGGGGGAGGATCTGACTACGTGGGAGCCATAGTGATCTGCTTTTCTGCATGGTATATTTCATATCACACACATGCTGCTCGGAGTCACCCGGTGTTCATGCTGGATCGCAAGGGAGAACCCGCGTCAAGAAGCTCTTCTCTTTCGCACTGTAATGCTGTTGGTCGTCCGATTTCACCACCCACTGTCCAAGACTCGTCTCTCTCTTCTCCCTTAGAATTGCTGCGTAACTCTAATCTCAGCCACGCTTTACACCTTTTTTTCTCTCTTTTACATCTACGTCTTCAACTCTCCTTATCCTACACTTTCCGCCAAGATTTTCATGACCTCGGAAGGGGTCAAGAGATGGGGACTTCAAAAGACAGCAGATCCGTCTGATGAATTTACTAAAGATGGGGGCCTAGTCAGCAAATGGGACGGTAAACGAAGGTATAGCTACAGGATACGAAATAAACTTTGTCACGAGCTAAGGAACGGAATGGGGAAAGTGTGTGGCACTTTGCTATTGCTGTAACATGATGGAACATCCAAATGCTGTATTTGGGAGCATGCGTATTTCTTCTAGGTCTTGGTAGTGAAACGAAATGATAAACGAACTCGTATCATGTTTACTTATTTTCTCCCATGTTGAGGTAGCTCAGGGTATCATCTAGGTTGTTCGCTCAAGACTACTGTGCATGGTACGAAAGTGTACATAGGACGTCATGAGTGAATTGGAATGGCAGGTGATTGTACATTGGTATTCCTATGCATGGCTATGTTATACAGGTTTATATGCTTTTCCCCCGGTTTGTCTCTCCAGTAAATATACACCCAGGAACCCTCCATCTATAAACGTAATGCTATATTCACCACATGTCGTCAGATCAGCAGAGCTTCATCTTCCCCTTTCTGCTACTCCAGGTTAGATGCGATTTCCAAAAAGTCTGTTCATGTATCAAGGGACCGCTTCGGGGTCCGATGGCTGTCCCTTTGCATCTCCCGTTTGCCCCTTCTCATCTCGGGATTGGTCCGATGCGTCGTCGACGGCCCTTTCCATGAACTGGGATGTGTTCAAGATCCGGATCTCGACGCGGCGCTTCTGGCTTGTTGAAAACTGGTCCTTCTTGCTCTTCTTGCTGCCCGAGACGGGTCCGCCATGCTGCGTCGTAGGTTTCTTGCCCAGCAGTAGTTCCGGCACTGGCTCGTCTGGGATGGAGCAGGGCACGTCCCAGGCCTCGCAGAACCCAAAGTACTCCCAGACGCGGTGCGGCTCCGCGTTGCCGCTCTCCACCTCCAGGGTTGCCAGGATGCCGTCGCCGTCTTCGGCGGAGGGCTGCGGCGCGTCCTGGACGTCGTAGCCCCAGAACTCGTCGCCTTCCAGGGTCTGGATCCTGGCGACGCGGGCTCGTGCCTTCTCTGCGTCCTCGGTGGAGCTCATGATCATGTCTTCGAATTCTTCGTGGTCGAGGATGGCGTCCGGGAGGAGTGCTGAGAAGACCGGGCCGGGGTTTTCGTTGAAGAAGAAGCGCAGTCTCTCTGTGGCGCTGAGGGGGGCATGTTCCACGTCGCTGTGACCGAGGAGTTTGGTCCAGCTCTCATCAGGGTCGGCCTTGGGTAGAGTGGTCGGGCTTTCGTCGCTGCTGTGCTGCAGGGATAGAGTACGTCCTGGGGAGGAGCCATCTGGATGTTTCAGTTTGAAGGTTACTGGCTTATTCACCCTTTGCTGATACTTGAACTCGAAATTGTCAGTTCGGAGCGCTTGGTCGATAGTTTCGCCCAGCGACTGGCCTGGGACCAGGTCACCGCACTCGGATAGGATGCACTGCACCATGTCATGCCATGGGTCGTGGCCCGAGAGGTTGCGTCGAAGAGACATGTCCAGCAGCATCGCTCGGGTGAAAACCAGAGGCTGGCGAGTTCGCCAGAAAACTTTCTTGTGGCGGCCTTGGATAAGATCAGCCAGCATCAAGCGCATTTCGGAGGTTACACTCTGGTCGAGAATCGCCTGGAATAGAACGGCCCCCAGAGTGCGCTGTCGCTTTGTCCACACAGCCATCTGGATCAGATGGTCGTAGGATTTCTCGTCAGGCATTACGCCACGTTTATTCATTTGTTGTAGCGTCCAGATAGCAAGATTCCAGTCTCGTGTGGCCTGGCAGTGCTCCAGAATATCATTAAAGAACCGAGCATCCAGGGGGCGCCCGTCATCTGGCTGTTGCTGAAGAAGGAGCTCCAGCTGAGACATTTGAAGACCTTTTCCCATAACATGAAGGTATTCCTTCAGGATACTGCTCAGAGTCTCCTGGGTCCGCCAGTCACTACCGTACGTGGTAGCTAGAATATCCATAAACTGTTGAATATTGACTCCTCCGGTCTTGAAGGCTAGGTGGGCTTCTCGCTGGGCAAACACACTGCCAATACCACGACGGGTTTCTGGGTCCTTGAACAGGCCTAGGTCGTACATTGCAGCAACTATCCGTTGCCGCTCGCTGTTTCCCTGAACGAGGCGTAGAAAGAGAAGCCAGGTGCGCGCATTGGGCCGGAAGAATCGAGACTTCATTTTGCTCAACAGCTTAAAGAAATACCTATAATCCAGGTTGGAGGCGTAGCTTTCAAGCAAGATATTGAAAAACTCAGTGTCCATGGGCAATCCCCGCTCTTCCGCGAAGGAGAGCAGACGATCAGCGTCAGCGATGTAACCACCTCGTCGTGTAAGAAAAGCCATTGACATCTTTAACGTATGTACTGTGATGAATTGAGTAGCGCTAGGGTCAGTTAAGACCTTCATGATTAGTCGTGCCTTGACGGCATTCCTATCAAGAGCACCATCGCCGATTTGTTTGATGAGATCGCTATGGAGGGTAGGATCTAGCCTTGGTGGTAGGTGGGTATAAATGACATTTTTAATAAAGGAACTCAGTCCGTCTACCGACCAGTGGACGGGAATGAGCATATGCTCAACTCTGCGCCCCGTTGTCGGCTTCGTTGGCTCTGTGCTCAACCAGAGAGAGTCCCTCGCGTCGTCAGAATTCGTTTCACCGTCGTTGACTGGATTGTTGGTCGCCGGCCATAGCTGAGTAGTTACGTAGTCTTGGGTAGTTACGTCTCCAAGCTCAAATACCTGAACTTGCTTCGACACCTGAATCAGTTCATCAGCGACCTTAGCCAACGCCTTCCTGGGGCCTCTCAATATAACTCCCGTCGGATTGGCACGATCGCCAGATGCTCTGAGCCGAGATGTCTGCCCCGTAGCCGAGTCTACAAATTCGAGACGGCGCTGTTCGAAGTCAAACGATACATTTTCTGGGAGAACGAATCGCATGGTCGCTAAATCTCCATCCGACTGTTTCGGGGTCATGTCCTTTAGGCGCCCGAGAATATGGTTCCAGTCCAGGCGTTGAAGCAAGAAATGATCCTCGGGAAGGTGCATAGCCCAGAGTTTGTCCAGTGCTACAAGCTTCTTAGCAGCCAAGTGAACACTGTTGAAGTTTGCTCTTCTCGACAAGGCTGAAGGATAATTTAATGTTTGTGGCGCAAACGGAGACGCAAGCTTCTCTTGTATAAGCGGATCGTCAGGCTTTATCGATCGATATATCTCGCGGTAGACGGCGTTCTTTAGGGTCGGGTCGTTCGTGGGTATAGTCTTGGTTGTAATTGCGTTGCGAACCTCGGAAAGTAGCGATGCCGGCGTGGTGTCTTCGACTAGGCTTGTTTCAAGGCTTGTTGTGCCCTCTTCAACTCCCTCTCCGCCATTCTCGGCTCCTTGGTCGCTCATCCGCCACACAGGTTCGGTCGCCGAGGGCGCCTGAGCGCCGTTGATGCTTCCACCATCGCTTGCCGGTTTCGCTCCGGGAGCCTCTTGGCTCGGGCTCACCTTGCCCCCCTTCCCAAACGTCCCATTAGCCAACCGTAAGGACTCATAGCTGAAGCCGAAGCGTGTAGTTTCGCTCCTTGACGCTGCATCAGACGAATATCTCAGAAGCAACTCGGGCCGAACAGGATGTATCGATGCTCGCAAGGAGAGAGAACTGGAAGGCAATTGGGACAGTCCGGCAGGGCGGACAAGGCGCGAACGAGCCCTGCATATGGAACTGATCCCCAAGGACATTGGTCATGAGGCAATCATGGTAGTCACGGCAGAATGATGTGCGGCCGAACGGTTGTAGGTGAAGTTGTCCCGCCGATAAGCGCATAGAAATCATATCAGGGCCCTGAAAATGCCTAACTTTTTCAGCGTCACGTGCCGCAGCTCCGGTCTTCACATTTCAACATGGTACTTGGTTAACTGCGTATCGCATAAGAAAAAAAGTGTAGCATTTCTTTTTGTAGTAAAATTACGATATTTGTACTTTATTTCCTTTCCCAATGAATAGGTATAGTATGCGACGTTGTGTAGGTGCTCTGTGCGTCCAATTTCTCCTGTTGTCCATCCCACTCGTACTGTCTGTTGCGCCCATTATCAAACCCCAATCAACGCTTAACCCAAGAATTATGAAAAATGTTTTAAACAAACAAAGGAAATTTATGCTTCCATCCCGTTTTCATGACGCTCTTGGCCCTGGCAAATTATCACTATTCGGGTGCGAGGGACCACTGTTGTCCAATCCCTCCCAGCCATTTTCCCAGCCTTTCTCTTCGTCGACGGCATGTTTAGACTTCCCCTCAACTGCCATATGCTTAACATCGCTCCAGTAAGCAAGCTTCCGTACCTCTTCATCTGCATGCTTAAGCGCAGACTTCACGGCCTCGTGGCGCTCCTTAACCTCCACGCTGTCCTTCGTTTCGAGCTCTTTCGTCGATTCATCATATATCTGGATGATATGGCTCAGGAGAAGTCTTCGTGAAGCCTGGAACACGAAGAGAGCCATGATCTCATGTATTCTGTCGGGTAGATCACCAAGATCTGTAGCGTTCCTCAAATAGTTTTTCGTTGCATCGAGCTTTTCGCGGTCGATCCTGGATTGGTGAAGTTTATGGATGAGGGTGTCCAAATGCTCAATGTCCGGTATTGTCCGTCCCGATTCCCGTGAGGATACACCACTAAGGTTCGTCCTACTAGGGGTTCGGCTGCTGGACAGGCTCCTCTGAGACGGGCAAGTTGTTCTATCCGATGCTGGTCGTATGGTAAAATACTCCCCATTCTCCATGTAAGGGTCCGCGGAAATATCTTCGGGCCTCTTTTTGGCTCGCTTTCGGGTCCATGCCCGTCGTCGCACGAACGAATTGTACCATCGTGGACCGTGCCATGAGAATCTCTTGCTAAACGCAAATGAGTATTCCCAACCACCTTCATCCGTCCCCTCTTGGATGTTGAGATGCCATTCTGACCATACCCATTCCCAGGAGGGGTCAGGAACCTGTGCATTGTGGATATTGGTTGGCGAAGGCTTATGGTACATGTTTGCTGATATGGGTCAGATATGGTCATTCCTCACGGCAGGGGGTTACACTCACTCCACGCCGAGGCATCGATACCTCCAAGGGCAGCGGCTGAGAACAGAGGCCGACCACATAAGAAGCCGCCTCGCTCATTCTCATACAGGATGTCAATGAAAGTTTCTCGTTTAACTTTTGGTTTCCTGGGCACAACATTCTGCCCCCCATGGAATTCACCTGGCGTCGCCGCTGCCGAGTGTGTCAGACAACGGGTCAGAATACCGCGGGATCACGATAAGATTGATTACCTTGAACTTCAATTGAGGGCCTTACGGCAGATTGAGGCAGCTCCTGCTCAGCCTGCAGCTCTTCCACGGGGCGCTCTTGGACCCGAGGGCTATCGCGGCTGTCGCCTTGCGTCGCGCCATCTTCGGAGCGCAAAAGGCGTGATTCCGTCGATGCTCTCTCAATCGCGGGTCCCCCGACAGACAATCCAGCAGGGGAATCAGTCTTGTTATCGTGGTCAACAAGGTCAATGTTGTGGTCAAAGTCGCCAGGCTTCAATCCCGCCGCACGCCGCGAACTCGTCACTCGAAGCATTTCGTGAGCCGAGATATGACCATGACGTTTCCAGCGACCGAAGTAGCTCTAGAGTGGGGCTTCAATCGACTATGATTCAGGCAGAGGCGGTTATGAAGCTTGCATTATGAGCATGAGTTTCCCATCAAAGAGGAGGAAAGTTGCTATTAGCAATGCAACAAACGGGGAAATCTGAGACGCCGGGATGGGAGAAAAAATAGCTGTCGCAAGACTGTCCTCCTTCCGTCTGGTCGTGGATCCCCTTTCACGGACCAAGATCACTAGACGAGCCGCCAGGGGTGACCCAAATCGCGAACCACTGCGAATTTGGTGTTTTCGGTTATTATTAGCGTGCTTCTAGGACGGCGCAATCATTCTCAATGAGCAACTTGATGATGTCATGATCGCATACAGGTGCTAAAGTTCCAAGATTTGGCCGGCAGATCATGGCGGAAAGATTATCCGGGAGCCGAGCGAAGCCCTGTACTTTCTTTTCTGAGGCACAACAGAGCTCCTTCAGCCACCTACCTCATTGCTGGGGGTACCTACCCTAGACATCATGATAGCATCAATACCTTACGATTGAACTCTTCGAATCAGAACATGGTTACGATACCAAATAGTTTGTGTATTTGAGAGCCACAAAATTGTATCCCGCTTCCTTCCCGTCTATTCTAGCCCATTTGCTTTCTCAGCGATACGGTCTTTCTCTCATGTGTGCTCGTCCATCTTCTCGGTCGCAAGCTCGCTAGCTCTGACTTGCTCCTCGGCTTCGATCGCAGTCGTTTTGTTGTATTTTCGAGCGAAGTAGGATAGAAGCCCGGCCCACACTGCCAATCCGATACAAGTAGCAATCATAGCCCACATTCCTCGCTAGATTGGACCTCGGTTAGCTCACATCATGAAAGTTTGAAGGGGGGTTGGGGTATGAAAGGGCTACTAACGTTAAACCAAGGAGCCATTGAGGCACCGTAAAAGAGGATGCTCCACCAGGCATTCACAGCATTGCTGCCCACGTTCATGCCGGCAAGCACAACACCTCTGAAAGCGGCCTCATCAAATCGCATAACGTCGTTGCACCAGGCAAAGAAGGTTGCTTGGCAAGCATACACAGAGCCTGCCCAGTAATACGCAGCGAACGTTACGGTTGTCGATGCATCGCTTGTTGGGTTGCGGGCTGCTACGAGCACCATGATTGAGGTGGCTATGCCTGTGATGCCAATGAAGTAGGCGACAAAATATCTCTTGCCCCCCAGGAAATCGGTCAGCGCCGCCCAGAATAGAGTTGAGACGATACCGACGGCGGGAACACCCGTCGGGTAATTGTTCAGCTGAGCAACTGTATACTTCTTGGTCGGGTGGCTCTGCATGTAGAGGTTGAGTAGGGCATTGGTGCTGAAGGATTCTGTCTCTCCGGCAAAGATCCAGAGAATTACAAAACCCCACCACTTCCACGAGGTGAGGACCTTCTTGGCAAACGAGAAGGTCAAGGGTCGTTGCTCAGGAGGCGGTGGCACTCGCTCGCGAGCAAGCTGTTTCTCTTCCTCGCTGAGGTAGAAAGCCGTTGTCGTGAATGGTGTATCTGGGAAAAGGAAGAAGCCATAGATGGCGACGGGGATTGTGAGAAGACCGTCGATGATGAATAGCCAGCGCCATCCAGCGAGCCCGTGGAGGCCATTCATACTAGAATGGATTCCAGTTTGAATAAATCCACCGATAAAGGTCCCTGCCAGACCAGAAGCGGTGAAAATACCACTTCGCTTTCCCAATTCACGCTCCGTATACCATGATCCCAGGATGTAATGAGTGCCTACGAATGTAGAGGCCTCACAGATACCCTGAAAGAATCGAATCGCCATAATAGATTGTGGGGACTTTACTGAAGCAGTAACCATTGTCAACCCACCCCAGAGGACCATCATTAGCGGGAACCATATCCTTGGCTTGATATACTGGAGGGACAAGTTGGATGGAATTTGTCCAATGACATATCTGCATATAAATTGTTCAATTTCATGGTCACAGAACATTGGTTTATGTGCAATGAAACATACCCGACAGTAAAACATGTGAAGATTTGGTTGAGCTGGTCTCCTTGGAAGTTGAGATCGGTTTTCATGCCTGAAACATAAGCATTGTTAATGTTGCTGCGATCAAGCTACGTCATCACGTTGTCAGCCTTTGGTAGTAATGTCCAAGAGAACCAGGGGCAGCATACATAGTTGACGAAGTAGCTCAAACAGCAAAATGTGAGGATAAAGAAGTCGATCTTTTGCACGAGGACACGCTCCCCGGGCTTGTAGTCCACGTGGAAGTAGTTTCGGAGTTTGTCCATCACGACGATAGGGCCTGGGATCGCCCTTGGGGAAGGGGACTAGGTGGAAAATTGCTTGTTGACAGCGCGATGACTTGAGATCCTAAATGAAATCTGAAGCTCTGCTGGGATGATGGTTTGGGAGGGGGATTGGTGACGGATATTTATTCTTTTCCCACGGGCAATAGGCTTGCCCGATAAAGGCACTGGGAGTAAAGTATTGAGTCAGATGTGTGCCGAGAAACCTAACGGCTTCCTAGTCCAACCTCCAAGTCGGTGTCATGGCAGCGTGAGAGTGAGGTCGGGGGTTTCCGTGGCAAACCGATAAAACTGACCGCTGGGATGTCACGAAAATGAACTAATCAGGATGCTTGTTAATCCAGGAATGAGGCTAGTCGCCTAGTTCAAATCTATCTACCGCAACACAAGCACGAACTGAGACAGGGACAAGGCCGATCCTGGAAAAGGTCGTCCGTCAAGTTGAGAATGTGACCTTATCTTGGGTGGAGAAGGCGTTGTATCATTTGTGGAGAAGCAGATAAGGATAGCATCATGATTTAATATGCTGCTGAGTTGGAAACCCCATCAACTATCGTCAGTCCCGGAACCCAGAATCAGGAGCGACTGACGATGTATCATCGGCTAGGGTAGACCGGCCGGCCGGGGTGCATGATGGTGCCGCAACTTACTGCACGCTACTAGTCTTCCTGAGGGATGGTGTAGCGATTCGATCACCAACATGGCAGTACTAACCGACCAGGCGGGTATATGAGCTTGTTCCCCCGCACTCGGATTATACAGAACTAGCATGGAAGCATTAGATAACCTTCCGCAGATGATTTGATTCCCTTCTACTTTGGGCAACGCCCGCCAGAACACACCGGGGTCCTTCGTGGGAAACCAGCTCATGAAATGAACCCACATGAACACCAACACCCTTTATCAAGAAACCCTCGTGAGATGCTTTGCGAACTACGCCGAGATCGGGACAATTCACATGGAAGGCCGGGGTTATCAAGCGCGGACTCGATTCCTCCGGTCGCTTACCTCGTATCCTCGAACTATCATCCAAGCCTTCCCTAGGCCTCCCTCAAAGCAGCAGCCAAATAGTACACAAATTTACGCCATTGCTTTTCTGAAGGCACGGTTAGCCTGATAAGACCTCTAGTGATGCGTCTTCGGTTATACCGATGGCACTATTGCCCAGCTCTGACTCCGACGAACATCATGTGGTGATTGACGTCTGAATTTCGGGATCAAACAATCGTAACATATAAAAATATGCTCAGCTTATTTCGGCCCCTTAAAACACAGAACTCTAGAAATGCTGTCCAAGAAAGGAAACGCACAAGATGAATGCCTCCCCCGATGATGCCAATTTTCGGATCTTCGGCATGCAGTCTTGACTCGCCAACACAACAAACAACGAGTGGGCTTGAGTGTATACTCTAATCAGCAGTCATTCTCTAAGGAGAAGCGAGCTGAAGCTAGTCGCAAGTACTATCAGGCAAGCGTTATCATTTGCATTATCATGAGCTCCATTCACCACAAGAAGGGGATAAGCAGGCGGCGGTAATACAAAATTAGGCATATCCTAGTGCATTTCATTAAAGATCCGAGTTCAACAGAAGAACAGTTACCGAATTAGGAAACGTATCTAATGGCGGGATTGAGGGGAACGGCATTAGCGGGACTCTTCAACCGATATGTGTGTGGGGTGGCCTCGTGATATGCTCCCGCCGATATTCATCAATCAATGCATGCCATGAGGTGTTAGTGGACGTGGTCAGTATGTATGGGAGCCACAGGCAGGCGCCTTGATGCCATCTTCTGCACATGCATACCTGCCGTGATCGGCCCATCGAATAAAAGAATCGTGTGTTGCTCTTGTATTCGCCCAAAACTTCCAGAAGCACTTCGCTCTCTCTATTCATAGCTGCTTTCATAGCTGCTTTTTGCATCAGCATACTTTCCTAGCCAGTTCTGTAAAGCAGGCCTTCTCATTCTCACACAAAATGTCGCCATCCAAAATCTCCGAGCCTCATTGGGAGGAAGTCGGTGCCAAGAAGCGTGCGTCTCTCGAGGCCAGTCTTCCAAAGGAATGGCGTGTGCCCTCGGATCTTCTGCCTCACGAGTCCCAGACAGACGTGACAAATTGGGCAGAAACCTCTGGCTGGTTCACCCCTGAGGAACTGAGCATTACCAACTCTACAGCCGCAGAGCTTCTGCCCAAGCTCGCGTCTGGTGAATTAAAATCCCTTGATGTCACCAAAGCATTTTGCAAGCGTGCGGTCGCTGCTCATCAGCTGGTTAGTGCTATACAACAAATACCCAAATACCCAAATACCCCAAACCCCCATTCCTGGCCAGCACACTCGAAATTTCGAGCCTCGCATATGCTGATCATAATTCCAGACCAACTGCCTTTCAGAGACTTGCTTTGAACGTGCTCTAGCAACTGCACGAGCTCGCGATGAGGAGCTCGCCCGAACAGGGAAGCCTATGGGCTCCCTACACGGCCTTCCTATCTCTCTCAAAGACAACTTCAAGCTGAAGGGTCTCGATTCCACTGTCGGCATTGCTGCACATATCGATGACCCTGCAGACTCCGACTCCCCGCTTGCCCAACTGCTGGAGGCTGCTGGCGCTGTATTTTATGTGAAGACCAATGTGCCTACCGCCATGATGATCGCAGAGACAGTCAACAACGTATTCGGAAGAACCGTGAACCCCAGAAACAGATTAACGACCAGCGGTGGGAGCTCTGGCGGCGAGTCATCGCTCATCGTGCTCAGGGGTAGCCCCCTGGGTGTGGGATCCGACATTGGTACAATCCCCTTTTTCTTTTCCCACTCATTCAAAGACATGCTGCTGATTATATAAATTATCTAGGCGGGTCTCTCCGCATTCCAGCTGCTTGTGCTGGTTTGTTCACTATCCGACCTTCAGCTGGCCGATTCCCAGTGAGAAACACAAGATCCGGCATGCCGGGTCAGGAGGCAGTTCTCTCTGTTAATGGTCCATTGGCCAACACCATTGAGGATATTGAGCTTTATAGTAAGAGCCTGATCGGCGAAAAGCCTTGGCTTCGTGATCCTAAGTGCGTTCCCATTCCATGGAGGGAGGTAGAGTTACCTAGGAAACTGAAGATTGGTGTTATGTGGCATGACGGTATGGTTCGCCCGACACCTCCCGTCGCCCGCGCGCTAAGAGAAGTCAAGGCCAAGCTCGAGGCCGCAGGACACGAGTTTGTTGAGTGGGATCCAGTTGACCAAAAGGAAGGAAACGAACTTCTAGGTCGGATGTTTGTGGCCGACGGTGGCTTGACCATCAAGAAGGAGCTCGACCGCACGGGTGAGCCCTGGAGGCCTGAGATGGAGGCTTACTCTGTTGCCAGGGACCTCACCACAAGCGAGATGTGGAAGCTCCATCTTGAGCGTTCAGAGTTTCAAGGTCGGTATCTGGACCGTTGGACCAAGGCTGGTATTGACGCACTCTTGGTTCCTACCATCCCATTTAACACAGTTCGACACGGAGCCTTCAAACATGGTAGGTCTTCTTTCTTTGACGGAGCCTGTCTTGTTTTAAATCATACTAATCATGAGAATAGTTGGTTACACTGGAGTGTATAACGTACTAGACTATTCCGCGACATCTTTCGTCACCGGCCTCACCGTTGATAAGTCTATTGACCAGCTGAACGGATACGAGCCACTTGGTGATATTTGCAAGGCAGTCAATGATGACTGTGAGTATAATTCTGACCCAATGTCATGTCCCTTTCAGAAGCTGACAAAGTGCCAAAAGATGATGCTGAGTTGATGCATGGGCTGCCCATCAGCCTCCAACTCGTAGCACAGAGGCTAGAGGAGGAAAAGGTGATTGCAATGACCAAACATGTCCTTGAAGTCATTGCGTAAATCAACTGAGCTAGCACGTAAATTCCATATAATGAGACTAAGTATATTAAATAAACAAATAAGTCCGAGAACAAAATGGCAAAAAAGGAACCGACGATCTGAATATCAATCAGCCAAAAGATGATGTTCTCCGGTACTGGGAATCGAACCCAGGGCTGCTCGGTGAGAGCGAGCGATGTTAGCCACTACACCATACCGGATGTTCATGTGAATTCTTACACTATTCCGACATGGATACTTGGCTAACCTAGAGCGCCTGCCATACCTCCAAGAGACATCTGACAAGTTCGAAAAGAGGTTTTGAGTGTACAGCCGGTTGTTCGTTGAATAACTCCCATTTTCTAAGGTATTACTTTTGTCGCTTGGGTAGGAATCACAAAATCTGTACCTTTTCGGAACTGCCCACCATTAGTGAGATTCGAGATGTTGGGTCGATACATTGATACCTAGCCACCTCTCCTTTCTGTTCCTAGTACAGGAACAAAGCCAAAGAAGCCTATGAGTCTTTTTAATGGACCGCACCATATCATTTACCCCTATTGGACATTGGAGCCTATATTTGTTGGTCAGGGGAGTTCAACGTGTGAACTGTAGCGCCACTGGTTCCGATACAGGGTAGGCGCTAATTGGAAGACCTGACCTGTCGCGTTTCGGGGCCCAAGAACGCGGTCGGTCCAACCTGATCAAAAATTTTACGCAAATTGAAAGCAAAGTACAGAACAAGATGTTGATTGGCATATGTGGAAGTAAGTGTTCAAATCGGAACCATCCTTTGAATAGTATAAACTGACAAATCTTACCAGGTATCTGCGCTGGTAAGCAGACCGTTGCTCAGTACCTAGTTGAGCACCATGGCTTCAAACACCTATACTTGCAACAGGGTGATAGTCAAGGCACCGTGGATAGTGGTTCTGCTTCATCCATATCAGAGCAAAGTGAGGTCTCTCAATCTACCAGCGCGATCGCCGCTAGTGCACTGGGACAGAGCACCTTGACGAGCAAAGCCGAGAATGGGACAGTCCTTGCTCTCAGGTCTCAAGGCCAGCCGCACACCTTTGCCTCGCCACAAGCCATGCTTGATTTCGTGACGACAAGATGGCGATCTCGTTTCGTGACGACGGATATTTCCACTGAGGCAATTCTTGATGTCTTTGCCCGGCGGCCTTTCTTTCTACTTCTATCCATCGACGCGCCGCTAACCATTCGATGGCATCGGTACAAGCAGCGTTCAGGACACTCTGGGAAGGACGAAATCAGCCTGGAGGACTTTGTGACGTTGAACGATGGAAATCTTTACGACCCGCACAACAGCACTCAGTCCCTCATGTCACGAGCGACTGTGCGGCTGCTCAACACCTCTTCATCATTGGCGCACCTCTACGCCACGCTCGGCAAGCTCGACATCACAAATTCGGATCGTCTTCGCCCTGGATGGGACACATACTTCATGGAACTCGCTTCCCTTGCTGCGCAGCGTTCCAACTGCATGAAGCGTCGTGTCGGGTGCGTTCTGGTCGGCAAGGAACGCAGGGTCATCAGCACCGGCTACAACGGGACGCCCCGTGGGCTCCGCAACTGTGCCGAGGGAGGCTGCCCTCGATGCAATGATGGCAACAGTTCCGGAGTCGGCCTATCCACTTGTCTGTGTCTCCACGCGGAAGAGAACGCGCTTCTAGAAGCCGGGCGGGAGAGGATCAGGGAGGGCGCCGTGTTATATTGCGACACCTGCCCTTGTCTGACATGCAGCATTAAGGTGTGCCAGGTCGGTATTAGCGAGGTCGTGTATGCGCATGGGTACAGCATGGACACGGAGACAGCTGAGATCTTCAGACAGGCGGGTGTGAAACTAAGGCAGTTCATTCCTGTGAGTGCTAATCAGATCCGAACCTGAATTGCTTTGATTTTCTGCTTTCTGACAAAAGTTGGTTTAGCCTCCGAACGGATTGATCCATCTAGAGAAGATGGACCTCTATTAATTTCTAGTGACCATCCTCCCAGGGAGCAATGAGGGTACCTTGCTAGTAGCTTGGGATTCTGGGCATTATTTTCGCATGATTTGCAATCACATTTTCCTTTAGATACGCTACACAATACTAATGGATGGTGCTACCTTTTCTGCATGTGAGACAATGTTTCTCGTGTTAAGCGGCTAGTGAGGGTGAATATAAGGTTACAACAGTGTTAGATTGATTAAACAAATAAAACTCAGTACACAAGGGAATTTGGTCGTTATTATTGGCTGGGCATTGACTTGGTGTGCGGGAGGCAGGAGCGACCGGTAAAGGGATGATTTTGCATTTGTGGCTTGCAACTCAAAATTCCTCAAGAACGACGCGACTTCTTGAGACTTGTCTCACTCTTTATTTGACATCCAATCTCTTGGGAGATCCCCCTGGAGCTTCTCCAACATCGAATTTTGTCCTTTTCCTATCCACAATCCGATCCGAGGAATAGGGCTCCATTATCAAATCTCGATCTCAGGGCAGAGGCAGATCTGACTCCGCATATCTCAGTGTATCAACGGCCAGCTTCTAAGATTAGTGACCAGACCCTACCTATCCAATACGGTGAAAATGGAGAGAAGGGAGACTGTCAAGAAGAACGAGGTAACAGAGAATCTAATGCTAGCCTCCGACGAGACTAGGGGGTCGTCAACCCTCGAGCATTCCATCACAGTACGCCAGGCAGTACATCACTATCGATCGGCCATTTTCTGGTGTTTGGCAGTGAGGTCTGAATCATGGCCTGGGCTTCATGACTCGATGGGAAAATGCTAACCGATTCCTAGCATGACCGTTGTAATGGAGGGCTACGATACTATCTTGTTGGGGAATCTGTGGGCGTACCCAACCTTTCAGCAGAAGTACGGGGAGTACGTGGGCGTGAGCTCCCAGACAAGATCGGGATACCAACTCACGCCGGCATGGCAAGCCGGTCTGGGGAACGCTGCTGGAGTCGGCGCGTTTTTCGGTGAGTGCCTCGAGCCTTTTGCAAAGCTTCAAAGGATATTCGGTTGGAGCTAAGAGCCCTCAATCACAGGTGCTCTCTTGAATGGGATTCTAGTCAATCGTTTTGGTCAAAGAAACACCATTGTTGGTGCTCTCATGGCCCTATCATGCTTCATCTTCATTGTCTTCTTTTCCCAAAACCCACAAGTCCTTCTTACAGGGCAGCTTCTATGTGGCATTCCATGGGGGATTTTTGCAACCTCAGCACCTGCTTATGCTAGCGAGATGCTACCAATGGTTTTGAGAGTATACTTCACCAGTTGGACCAATATGTGCTTCATCATTGGCCAGTTTATTGCTTCCGGTGTACTCCGAGTGTGCTTAAGCAGAGACGATGAGTGGGGGTTCAGAATACCTTTCGCCCTTCAGGTGAGTCTTCTTCTCTCCCTCTCAACTATTGACCGGATTTTGCAGACTAATTGGCAGCAAGTGGTTCTGGCCTGTTTGGCTTATCCCAATTCTTATGTTCGCACCGGAATCGCCATGGCATCTGGTGCGCCAAGGGAAGCTCGAAGAAGCAGAGCGTTCCATAAACCGTCTGCAAGCCTCAGACTGTCCCATTAGCCATAAACAAGCCCTCATGGCAATTGTTGAAACCAACAAAGCAGAGAAAGATCTAGCAGTTGGTACTTCATACAAGCACTGCTTTAAGGGCGTTGAGCTTCGCCGGACAGAGATTGCTTGCATGTGTTTCATGGGTCAAGTGTTGTGCGGCTTGCCCATAGCCTACAACGCAACTTATTTTTACGAGCAGATAGGTCTGCCTGCAAATATTACATACAGTCTAAATATTGGAGGGTATGGCCTTGCCCTCTTCTCGGCGTTCTGTAGCTGGTTCTTCCTCTTGCCTCGTGTGGGTAGGCGAAAGATATACCTCGGCGGCGCGTTCACCATGTCCCTCCTCCTCTTTCTGATCGCCATCCTGACCAGTTGGAAACAACACCATGGCGTTGCTGAGGCACAGGCGTATCTCACCATAGTCTGGAAAGCTGCCTTCCAGCTCTCAGCGGGGCAGCTCGGCTGGGCTATTCCAGCAGAGGTCGGAAGCACGAGGCTGCGACAGAAGACGATTGTTTTGGCACGAAACTCCTACTACCTGGTCCACACAGTAGGCACTTCCGTGCAGCCCTATTTTCTCAACCCTCGCGCGCTAGATCTCGGGGCACGTGCTGGTGAGTGAAGCCCCCCCTGTATCGAGAGGATTGTTGAGCGAGGGATTATTGACTTGAAACAGCGTTTGTTTGGGCCACCACGGCGCTCCTGTTCTTCACCTGGGCCTTCTTCCGTCTCCCTGAAACAAAGAGCTTGACTTATGAGGAACTGAATGAATTGTTTGCGCAACGTGTTCCGTCAAGGGAGTTTGCCAAAACAGAAGCTGGCATCGTCAAACATCGGGAGTCTGAGCGCCTAGCTTCCGTCGCGACAGGGACTAGTCAAAACTCTGCAGTTTGATGTTGAGCGAGACTCTGGGTTGGGGTTAAGCTGCTGTGTAATTGTGCCGCATGTATGTCATCTTCCAAGTCCATGTGGTATGTGTTTGGAGTTATGTCTTCGGGGGAATGGATTAACCTCCCTAGACCTTTCGTCGGAGAACTTTTCCTAGTCCTTATCATCTCTATCAATAATACAACCCAATGTTGCGGGAAAACATTCTTTAGAGGTCTTGAAACTGCGTAAATCTGACTCGAGTCTACTTCGAGTCAAATAATATGTTCTGGAACACCGGAACATGATGCGGTACAGACGTCTCATCTCTTATCCCCATGCATCCTTCCCTTCAAATACCACGAGGCACTAAGCTTGGACCATGACACGGGATCTCAGGGCATCTCCCGAGCTTCTTTGGCGCTGATACCAGAGCGAGCTCCGGAGCTGCATTGATACAAGGAACCATAGGAATGAAGCCTACATGAACCACCTAGACAGTGCACACTACTAGGTTATCACCCTTGCCTGGACGCCCACGAACAACGCTAGGCAGCCAGACCGAGTGCTACCTCGCATGCCTGTCATTCTGTAGTTTTGCATGGGACCTTGTTTGGGCGAACAACCTCAGGTTCAGCGGAATAGTCTCCGGGAATTTTGGTCCGGTCACCTGGAAAATACAGGTCACAAAATGTATCCCTACGACCGGCTCTCTTACAATATCTTCTACGAATCAAGTATGATTGTCATTTGTCCCACCCGCGCTCTTTATGTAATGTCTTTTTGTATTGGCTCCGTGGAATGGAGAGTGTCTTACCGAAGTCAAGTAATTGGTCCCGCGTTGCAGCAACATCTTGAACTCGACACCAATGGTCTGCTAAGTCTATAGTCAAAATCATGTTTGATAATTAGGTGGAAAAGATATGCTATAGAGGCGGTACTCACGTCCACCCACACTAAGGGTTTCAGTCGTGGGCACACCTGATAGAACTCGTGGGACCAAACCGTCCAACAAGGCTCTCCGCTTTGCATCATCCCTCGGAAGGGAAAACGGAGTCTTCGGATTGGGCTTGGGCAGCTAGCCAGGTTCATAGCCCATGAGTTTTTGAGTTTGCATAGTTTCATTACGTCGATGTCTCCTGCGCCGGAAGAGCAACAGGTGGGGTCTAAACCCACAAGTATCTCGAAAAACAAACGACGTCAGACTATTGACGCTCAGACTTGTTGATGAGTCGTGATGATAACATGATTTGCACGATTTTACCAGATCTGTCAGTTGGATCATATCCAACATTTTATGCCGCAGGGTAGACCGATTTGCTTCAAGGATATCCCCCCCAAGCACCAGTGGGAAAAAAGGGGGAACCCTGATTTCATTATCCAACGGGTCTTAAGGGCTAAGGGTCTTCGCCCCTCCTCGATTGAGGCCTAAGAGGGCCTCCGGTAGCCTATCAAGGCGGAGCTGTAAGCGAAGTAGACGCGTTCTAGGAACAATAAACATAACATGACGGTGGCGACATGGTCGACTCCACTTCTTGAATACAGGCTATCGACGTCTTCCAGCAAGCACAAGGAAGAGGGATAATAACGATGGCCCTATATAGATCTCCAGGCTATTATTATTATTGATTGGTATACGCAGGCTCGAGTATGTGGCCATGAGGGCAAGCAGGCGTACATGTGCATATGTACCAGTACATGCTGCACAACACCAAGCGCCTACCGCAAAATACATGGTCCAGCAGCACGATGCAGGACGAATGCAAGGTTTCCCCACATTACTGCCACGGAGGATGTCGGTTGCGTGCAATCATCGCGTGCCAACTCAGTCGTCAGACGCCGGTTTGGGAGCGATGCAAGGACGAGGAGGAACCAGCGTCCTTGCCAACCAACCGAGGCAGAGCAGACCCGATGTTCGCAATCGGCCAACCAGTTCGTGGCCGCTGAGAAACATGCGTTCCCCTTCAATTTGCCCCCCCCCCTTTTGCCGCCGAGAGTTCTGCATATGCGTACGCATGTCTCTGCGTCCTGCATGCTTGACCGCCAGAGTGGCCTGCAGAGCTAGGCGCGGGTGTCACAGCTCATTGCGGCTCACCGAGCTCACCGCTGCATGAGGGTTTCCACATGGCAGCCGCTAGTCGCGAGATAGACCAGGCACATCGACCTCCAGCTCCAGTTGATGGCGAGTTCCCGCCCCGGCAAAGGGGTAAAAACCCGGGTTTAGTGTGCATGGGGTAGGTTTGTAGCCCTCAGGCTGGCGTAGGGATCATCAGGGCGAGGCAGACATCGATGCGATGGCCCGCGATGGGTCGCCGTTTGATCACGACCGTCCTGCGACCGCCTTGGGTCTCGAGCAAGGCTGTGCTGCTTGCTTGTTTCGCCAGCCGCGTCCCTTCGCTTTCCTGATGCTCTCCTACCCTATAGATTACCGCCGACGGCGTGCGACCTTCCGGCAGTGGAACTGGCTGGTCAGCTCAGCTAATTTACTGATGTTTATGCTTCTCTTCGATACGCTTTCTAAATTCGTAATCGCGGACTGCTATGTCCGACATCTGGTCAATGTGTTGCTAGGGCATTGAGGTCGGGTTGGGTTGGGTGAGTGTTATTCTTACCACACTCAGCAGACAGTAGTTGGGACGGCATTGTTCGGTTAGTGATGTTGAATGAGTCTCATTTCCCCAGTGGCTCTTTATTTCTCATTACGGATGGAGGTCACGGAGAGAGCAGTTCCTGCCCAGCAAGGAAGTCGTATGGTTCAGGATCCGGCTCATGTCTCACTCCGAGGTTCTATCACAGACATTGTACGACCTGGTGACGGCACCATCGATTGGACAATTCAGTAGCGGCTTGATTGGTCTGGCCAATCGATAAGGAGGGAGGTATCCGATGAACGAGTGGTGCAGTGATCATACTAACGGGGGTGGCGCCGTTGGTGGAAAGACGGGAGAACCGTAGCATCAGGAGTGCATTTGGCGGGGCCGCCCCAGATTGGCCAAGCGAAATGAATGCCATAGGCTGCCCCAAGCTGGGATGGAAGAAAGGGATGGGAAAAAATTTCAACGGTTGGCTCAATCGGCTGGGCGCCCGTCAGGAGGTAGGTAGGTGTGTTTGACATAGGGGTAGGGGCTTGGCAGGTAATTGGGTCCGATTGTCTCATTTCATTTGGATGGTCCGGTTGCCTTTGTTGTTGTTTTGTTGTTTTGATGATGCATTGAAGCCGTCGCCGAGCATCTACCCTCCATCTGGGTGAAGGATACTCTGCTGCGGCGGCGCCGTTGCATAATACAATCTATAATTAGGGTATCTTATGGGTGATGGGATAGTGATCTCCCTCATCCCACGAACGAAAAGGCAGGAGGGGGAAATTGACGTTACCTCCTCAGTGCCGAAATATTACTACAGCCTTGCTGTGGGTGACCTAAATAGACGCGATCCTGGCGCACTATTTGGTGCCGATGGGTGTCCCAAGGGACTGGCCTGATACTAGTCGTGCTCCATTTCTGGGGACGGTTGCGCTCAGTGTACATACCTATTCGGTCCCGTCTACTGGTGAGGCGTATGATAATACTGAAGTACCTACACAGAGGTACCTCCTATTTGTTGTCTTCAAGATTTGGGTTGGCTTGGCTTCTAGCTTTCAGCTGTCGGCTCGTATAATAGAGACAGTATCGGATCTGACCTGGCTGACTTGCGTGGGCCTTCTCGCCCGACTGACTTAGACAATGGCTCGTGTAGCCTCAACATCGTGTCCGAACGCTCAAGCGCCTGCCAATGAGTGCCGCATGGCCCATGGGAGAGGAAGGAGAAGCCAGGGCAAGGCTGCTAGCAGAGTCGATCGACAAGTGGTGCTGTGGATTGCTTGCTGCGATAATGGATGTCAGATGGAGGAATTGGGCCCCCAAAGGACCCAGGCTGGACCCTGGCGCATGTCTGTGCTGGCAGATGGCAAAGGGCTTTGGTTCTGAGGGCTGGGTTGGCTGGCCTTGAGTCCCCTGGGAGTCCCTGACGTGTTGATGTTAGTGGGCCGCGCTTTCTTCCCGAGAGGGTACGTGCCGCCAAGAAAGACGGGTACCCCAGTCCGATGTACCACGACATCTGCGATGCTGCACCGCACGCATCGCCCAAGGCATGGCGCATGCATGCTGGCTGGGGGTAGGGACACGAGCTGTACAGGTACTTGGCGCCACCTGGCGCAGTTAGTACCTCGATCCAGAGGCAAGTACGATCAACAAGGCGTCACAGTACTAAGACGTAGTGTGTAGATACGGAACGGCCAGCTAGCACGCGCCTCCACACCAGCAGTAGTCACTCAGATGGAGGTGCATTTGATCTGGAGTGACGACGATGGGATCCTAGGATGCACAGGTTGCCCGTCAACGCCCCGAGTAAACAAACCTTAAGACAATCCTTCCCGAGAGTGAGTTTGAAGCCAAAACTATGGCCAGTCCGGACTGCGACGGGAGGCTGTCTCGAAACGGAATGGAAGGTCGATGTCTTGAGTGGGAGGACGACTTGGAAAGGTTCCTTCGTGCCTGCCGGACAGGGGGGCACACAGACGCGACTTCTCGTGTGGCCCTTGCCCAAACAGGCAATTTGGGTGTAAACAAATGCGTCACCCACGGACCACCTCAGGCGCGCCTGTGGGTGGTGCCCAAGAAATTACAGAAGTGGCCTGGCGCATGGTCTCTAAATTATGTGTTAGAGTGAGTGGAGACAAGGTGATTCGCCTCCTGTCTTTGACTTGTCTCTCATGGCCTTCTTGTCCTCACGTCCCCAAAATCCACGACTGTCGTCACTTGCTCCCACTTTTGCCAACTTTCCCTTCTCCATTCCTCCGCCAGGTTACGACTTCCGCCGCTAGCCCGCTCCTGCCCGTGACTGATTGATTCACTTCTCAAGGAGTCGACCTAGACAACTCAGCCGATCCACGCCATGCTGTGAGGGGTGTTCGCCATCGCCAGAAGACGCTGTGACGAGGAGAGAGCGAGACGGCGGCCGATCATTGCTTCTGTCCACGTGAAGCTGGGGGATTTGGGTTGAGAATAGAGGTACGGATAGACAACATCGGCATACACCTACCTTGGGGAAGACATTCCCCAAACATTTCCCCTCGCGCCATGCCTTGAATTTTATTTCACTTGTTCCTTGGTCCCAGCTTGTTCGGCAGCCACATAGCACATACGTATTTCGAGAAAGACCCTTTTTTGTCCTGGAGTTCCCGCACCACCTTGCGCCCCCCTCTTCACTGCCACATCATTCATGTTTGACGGCGACGAGTTGACGGTCACCCGCGACTGCCTGCCAAAGACTGGACCCTGATCTACCAGGGTTCCTTGGCGACACAACGTTTGTGGTTGGGCGCTTCACTTGGGCGTCGGTTGAGCTTCTCAACCAACAATATCCCTACAACTTTTTGACATCCCCTCCTTCTACCAACCCCCCTCTCTCCTCTGTGCTATACATCGCGCAGCACCTCGCCTTTCCACCTACACTTCCCGCCCCCTTTTGAATTTATGGGCCTGATTTATCCCAAACAACCAATATATCTAACGTCAGAACCAAAATATTAGCTCCAACACGCGGCATTCCACAACGGCAACGGTGTTCTCTGCCGCGATACTCCAAAGGGACGGTCATTGCATTCCAAGTATTTCGCTTTGCCGCGCTATGTCTTTCTCAAACAGTGGTGGGGGCACACTCGCCTTACCTTCTCCTACACACGCTCATCAGATCGATGTGACTTCTGCCGTACGCAATCTGAGGCGCTCCATTTCACGATCACCGACCAAGTTTTTGTCACGAACACACTCTCACACCACCGAGGGCTCTCGGCCGGTATCTCCTCAGTCACCTTCTTGCCGACGAATTCGCTCAACACCTTTGACACAAGGTCATTTCCCTTCACTGACACAGTCCGCGCCACCAGCCTCAGGCGCAGCTGGGGATTCAGGCCTTCAACCATCATTGTGTTTTACTCCTCTACGACCTGGTTCTAGACTCTCCCTGCGGTCGGCCAAGTCTGTTAAAACAGCCTCGCCGTCCCGACTTGCACGAGCACGAGTATCACCCAAGAGCCCCCTGAGACGGGCGCTCACTACTTCGCCAGACGCGGTAAATACTGCGCAGCAAGGGCTTTCCTATTTCCCCAATATCGACAGCCCAATGGGACAAGAGAATAGCCCGAAGAACTCTTCCCGCAGCCCGATCTCGCGCCGCAACCCAGAAAAGACAACCCGACATAGCCTTCATTTGGACGTAACGGGCGCTTCACAAACAGCTTTCTTGAAAGCCCTTGATTCGAAGATTGACGCTGTTATCTCAACCGGTACATTGAAGCGAAGTGATGCGACCATGAATCTCGACCAACCAAACCAAGGAAGCCCGATGCCTAAACGGCGAAGTCTTCATGGTATCTCCAACTTGATCGCCCCTGGAAGTGAGGATTTGAATGTTTTTGGACCTGTCACAACGACACCTGGCGAGACTTTTGATATACACGAGGATATGCGAACCGAGCAAGAACCAAGTAACTTGGAAGGGCTGTCCATCTTCCAGCTACGTGAACCTGTCTCTTCACCATTGTCGAATATGCCTAAAAGAAGCTCCTCACTTCGCAAGTCGACATTGCAGCAGAGGTATGGTGAAAAGGGCTCATTGGGTCGACGAAATGGAGAGCGCCAGCTTGCTCAGATGGGTAGCCCCGACTTGTCTACTCCTCCAAGACTTCGACCCCGACTTTCGACAGAGCATTTCAGCCCACCATCGGCTACTCGTGATAGCCCGTTCTCAGGAACCCCGTCGTTCTTCAACCCCTCAACTGAAAGCAAGCCACTTCACCAGCCGCATCCTCTGTCCAAGACTCTCTCTACGTCATCTTCTGGGAACAGCCTGGCTGAAGAGCAGTCTTTCTTTGCGCCTGCACGACCTGTTGTGACAGAAAAGGCTAAACCACACCCGTTTTCACGATCTTTGCCTCTCAACGCAACACGCCCTACCGGCCGATTTCCGCAGGACACTACCTCCGAGGTAACATCGACTCCGGCACAAAACAATCAGTTGTGGCTCGGTGCCTTTAACTCCACTGGATTGATCTCCAAGGTCAACCGAAACCCCGAAGGTGACGGCGGAAGGAAGTTCGCCCCACCTGACACTCCGTGCAAGAAGCATTCGAATATCTTCGCTACTTTCCCACCGCCAATGGGTAGCGCTAGTGCCATGAAGAAGAAGAAGAAAGTGACCAATAATCGCAATTCATTCGGTGGCCTTCCTTCTACTCCATTTAACTTCCCCCCTAGCGATGAGCCAGATACGTTTGGTAACCCAAGCAAAGGGTTGTCAATCTTTCAGCGCGGCTCTGCCAATCGAAGCTCTCGCCGCGGAAACTTCCTCTTTATGCAGGACGCAGATGATTCCAACCCATTTGGAGATGGATTCAATGAGAGCAACCCGATGGAGGGCGATGCTCCGCCGACCCCTACCAAGAACACTCTCACCCCGAGCCTCAGCAACCTCAGCGAGCATTCGAGTGAGCACTCATTAGAGAGCCCTAGCGCCAAGCGCAATATTTTCTTGGCCCCGACCTCTGCCGTGCGACCTGCCCTCTTCCGAAACCCTACTTGTAAGTATGAACCCCAATGTCACTGAAACAAGACAATTGTAGCAGTTTAGTTCCTTTCCGCCCCACCATGTTCCTTCTTTTCTTTTGTTGTTTCCTTGGTTGGAGCAGCGCGGACCGCTTCTGTTTAGTGTACTTGGGCTAATGTTGGAGCAGCCGAATCAGTAGCAAGTGGGCGACGCACACCGCAAACACCGCAAGAGAGTCTGCTGCCATTGGATACCAGCCGGCTGTCTCTTGCTGGTGAGGTATCCAGGGCCGAAACTGGGATGCCACCTCCTGTTACACCTACCACTGGACGTGAGGACTTTAGGTCATCTACCAGTATTTTGGAAACACCTGTGAACGGAAGAAACAATAGCATTGATGTAGATGCTAGCCTTTTCTCGAGGTTCGATAAAGTGGAGCAGGTTGGTCGAGGCGAGTTTTCCACAGTCTATCGTGTCACCAAGTCTGCAAGGCTCGAAGACTCTTTCGACCTTGGCTCGACTACACCTCTACCTCGAAGCCCTGCCAAAGGTCAGGTATACGCTGTCAAGAAAAGCCGACACCCTTATACCGGATCTCGAGACCGGAACAACAAGCTCCGCGAGGCACATATTTTGCGCGCGTTGATGAACTCTGACCACGTGGTGCAATATATCGATGACTGGGAGCACCAGTTTCATTTCTATATCCAGACAGAGTTCTGTGAGGAGGGTAGTCTCGACAAGTTCCTGGGCAACGTTGGATTCGGAGGACGTCTGGATGATTTCCGGATCTTCAAGATCCTCCAGGATCTTTGCTTGGTGAGTCACGTCGAGCTATATTACAAGATTGTCAATTACTGACCGTAAACCAGGGTTTGAAAGAGATACACGATGCTGGATTCATGCATCTGGATATGAAGCCCGCAAATGTTCTCGTTACATTTGAGGGTTCTCTTAAGATTGGTGATTTTGGTCTTGCACAACCAATCGCCTCAACCGATCGCGTTGGAGACGGCGTCGATATTGAGGGTGACCGTGAATACATGGCCCCCGAGATGCTCAAGGGAGGGGTTGGACCCTCTGCCGACATCTTCTCCCTGGGTCTCATGATTCTGGAGACTGCCGCCAATGTGGTTCTTCCCGATAATGGCCCCAGTTGGATAAGGCTGCGATCGGGCGACTTGTCTGAAGTGCCTAGCCTGACCTCGGTCCCTTCGAGTGAAGTCCAGCAAGACGCCAATAGTCTGCAGAGCGATGAGTTTATGGGTGGTGGGAGTCACCTCGGCTCTTACAAGCGTTCTGAACTGCCAAACGCACCAGACTTTATGGTCGATGCGGCCAACTCAAGCTCACTGGATTCTATCGTGCGCTGGATGACCGCCCAGGAGCCTGCAAGCCGTCCACTTGTGGACCAAGTTTTGGACCTTGAGGGATTGCGATGGGTTTCCGAACGTCGCAGCGCACCTGCGACTGTTTTTGAAGGCCCTTGGGGGCCAGCTGAGATCATTCCAACCAAGGTCTCAGACGAAGATACCGAAATGACTGATGTCTAATCAGTCGAGTACATGTGGATGTCATATCTATCATCGCAACACCTGTCGGTATCTTTGGCTCTCACTATTAATTGTACAACAACCATTGGATGGATACATTTGGTATGAGATGCTGAAAATTTTATGAATGGATATGCCTGAGAAGGAGCTTGGTTCCTTTGGCAAAAAAACAACATGGTTGATAGGCGTTGGAGATGTATCATTGCTATTCCTGTTTTTTTTTCTATGGCTTTTGTTTTGATTTTTATTACACTGGGCGGCTCTATTTTGAAAAGGACTTGGCTTTGTCCTAACGAACGCGACACAACGCGATCAAGATTTGGGAGGGATTGGAGTTTACGGATCTAAAGGGATACAACCAAAGAGGTCGCCATGCGGAATCAATGTTCGTGTATTGGACCAGTCGAAGAGGCGCGAATGGGGCGAGAATATCGCCAACTGTGCTGTCGCATCTGGCTTCAGGACCAATACACATAAACGTCTTGTATTTATATAGAGCGACGGAAGCTAGGGGAGGATATTGGGCTGAGAAAGGATCTCAGAGGCGCCTGGATGGGAGGATGACTGTTACTGACGAATGATTCCCTGATGAGGAAATGGATGAACATGTTATGAACGGATATAGTTTATACCACAATGAGTGCGCTGCATCTTATCTCGTCTTGAGACCAAGATGTTACAGTTTGCTGCATTGAGAGTTGCTCAGAGTCGGATACTGTACAGAGTATGAAGTAATGGATATAAAAATTGTTCAAATACCAGGCCGTGCTTGTTTTCAATGCTGAATGTGTTGCAATATGTAGGAGATGTGCAAATGAGCTGATCCATGCCGGACTGTCTTAAGCACCTGCCAACTTGGCTTAATAATATTATCCGCTGGCTATCAACGTCGATGCATTATCAACCCCTCCCTCAGTCGGTTATGCATCCTGCTACGCCTTAGATGGTGTCACGATAGATAACACATTTCTTCTGTAGCGTCCTTTTTTTTGATTAATTTAGTGCACAATTGCACCCCTTCGCACCACTCTACTTGAAAATCATGACCGGGATCAAACTCCAGGATGGCCAGTCCGGCCTGCCCTCACCGCAGAGCACGTCCTCCTTCTGGCACAGCGAGCCCTCGAGCAAACTGCTCGGCCACCGGACGACCCCCCAGCTGCCGGCCGAGGCCGACGTGGTTGTCGTGGGCAGCGGCATAACCGGAACCTTTGCGGCGAGGGAGCTGGTGAGCCAGGGCAGAGGCGTGGTGCTGCTGGAGGCGAGGGAGGCATGCTGGGGAGCCACGGGAAGGGTAAGTTTTTTGGTCTTTTTCTCACATTGTGAAGCGGATTCTACGGCATGTGTGTGTGTGTGTGGTTTGGCTACCCTCGTGTACTCTTTGGAAAACTCACGTTTTGTTTCGTCTCTATAGAACGGAGGCCATTGCCAGCCGATGGTGTACCTGAGCAAGCCGGAGGTGGCGCGCTTCGAGTTGGACACTTACCATTTCCTGCGGAACATGGTTGAGTACAACAAGATCCCCTGCTCGTGGGCGACCGTGGGCGGCGTCCACGGCGTCACGTCCAGGGCGGCCTGGGACCTCGTCCTGCAGCGGGTGGCCTTCCTCCAGGCGTGGCACCCGGACCTGGCGACCGTCGTCCGGCTGGTGACTGACCCGGACGAGTTGAGGGCCCTGCGTGTAGCTGAGGGCGCCGTGGGCGCCGTCGTCCAGGCGTGCGCGGCAAAGTGCTGGCCCTACAAGCTCGTCGCGTGGGTCCTCGAGGGTCTGCTGGCCAGCCCGCTCTTCAACCTGCAGACGACGACGAGCGTGCTGCACCTCCAGAGGCTGGAGACGAAGTGGATGGTGCACACCGACCGGGGCAGCGTGACGGCCTCGCACGTCGTCCTGGCTACCAACGCCTACACCTCCAGGCTGCTGCCTGCGCTGACGGGGATCATACGGCCGGTGCGCGGTCAGGTTTGTGCACTCAAGCCCGTCGAGGGCGCGCCGCTGCTGGAGCATAGCTATGTGTGGACGACGCAGCAGGAGGGGGATGCAGGGCAGAGCGACGACTACCTGATCCAGCGGGACAGCGGAGAGTTGATCCTCGGAGGTGAGCGCATGGCTGCTCGTGATACCGGGGATGGCATCTGGCGCGATGATGAGGTTGACCCGGTGGTTGGGCGACGGCTCCGAGAGGCGCTGAACTTGTCTCTTATTGAGTTTCCCCCGAAGCTGGAGGCAGGTTATGAGTGGACGGGGATCATGGGGTACTCTGCTGATACTCAGCCGTGGATTGGCAAGGTGCCTGAGAGTCTAGGAGGGGGAGATGGGCTATGGATCAGTGCTGGATATACAGGACATGGGATGCCTGTGGCAGCCCGAGGAGGAATTGTGGTTGCGGAGGGCATTTTAGGAAGGAAGGGTATTGAGATTCCTCAGCAATGGGAACCGAGCCTGGATAGGCTTGAGAAGGCAAGGTTGTTTAAGATGCCAGAAACACTCGAGGAGGAGTTGAGTGAGCTGGTGAAGACTCAAGTTCAGTAAAAACAAGCTGGTTGTTATCCAACTGATACGCTCAAGTCGATAGTGTATAGATTACGAAATGCTGTTCTTGCATCAAAGCACATTCGAACTACCGTCCCTCTGGTAATGTCATTTGAAATGAAGCCTTTGAATTATAGCCTTGCCGTAGTCTTTTCCACCTCAATCCTCGCCCTTTCCTGAAGTACCTTTCTTAGAATCTTGCCAGCCTGTAAGTGGTGTGAGCTCGCTTTGATCATGGGCGCCGAGAGAGCGATGGAGGACTTACTGGATTTTTTGGGATAGCATCAACGAACACAACGCCTCCACGAAGTCTCTTATAATGAACCACCCTATCTTTGACCCAATCCTGTACTTCGATCTCGGATGGTTTAGGTCGGCCTGGCATCGGGACGATGTATGCCCTGGGGGCTTCTTCCCCATTGATGGAAACCCCTACAACAGCAGCATCGGCAACATCTGGTCTTTCGAGAAGAAGTGCATCAAGCTCTGACGGAGATACTTGGAAACCTCGAACCTTGATGAGCTCCTTTGCTCGATCCACGATGCGGAATATGGCGCCTGCTGAATACTTGGGAGTAACATAGGCAATATCCCCAGTGCGCAACCACCGATTGCCGTCTGCATCGACCGATATGACCTGCCTGGTGGCTTCCGGTTTGCGCCAGTACCCCAGCATCAACGCCGGGGCTGATATGTACAATTCCCCTGGAACGCCTGGCTCGGATATTTCTTTGCCAGTTTCAAGATCAAACAGTTTGGCCATGCACCCAGGCATGAGTTCCCCGACACCAACTTCGGCGGGGGTCAACGGATCCCAGCCCAACCCAGTACAGGTCAATTCTGTCATTCCCCATCCCTCACGGATCATCTTCTCACCGCTACTCGACAGTAGGTTACTCACCTCCTTTCGAGTTTCCTCTGCCAAGGGAGCAGCGCCACTGCCTACCATATCGAGACTGCTCAGGTCCGCTTTTCGGGCGATGGGGTGCTTTGACATGGCCACAAAGATTGGTGGTACTGCGAGAAACTTGGTGATGCGGAATGTGGCGATGTGTCGCAGCATTTTCAAGAGATCAAACCTTTGCATAATGTACACTGGGATCCCTTCGTGAGGGAAGCTGCTGATATAGTACCCTTGGCAGAAGGCGTGGAACATTGGCAAGATACACAATGCCGCCGCTCGTTCGGTACGCTGTTTGTACTCAGGATGCAGCTTGTGGAGAGCGACAGTGCTGTGACCATTTGCGACTAGATTGAAGTGCGTAACTTCAACGCCTTTTGGAAGACCGGTCTGTTTGGAATGTTAGTTGGAGTGACACGAACCGTACATGGTTACCTGTGTGAGGCGTACCGTTCCGGAGCTGTAGTTGAGCGCGCATATAGCAGATTTTGGGTCCGTGGGCTCTTGCCACTCATAGGACTGCCCCTTTTCTTCTGATGCAACGAGGCTCAACCAATGTTGAGGGTCATGCGAATGGTCATTTTCCTTAGAATCTGGCACGGTATTATCCAGTTGATAAATGTTCTCCACAGGCATTCCCACAATGTTGGCGGCCTCGAGTGCAACCCCCCATTGTTCCGGTGCAACAAGCATCATTCTTGCGTCGCTGTCTCTTAGCTGGAAGGCTAGTTCGCGGGCAAGATACCCAGGATTCGCCCCGGTGAAGACGGCGCCCGCCATCCATATACCCAACATAACGCAAGGGTAAATGACACTATTCCCAGCAATGACGAGAACACGATCGCCAGGCTGAAGGCCATGAGAAGTGAGACCAGCGGCCAGACGTTTAGCCAAAAGCCTAGCAGAGGCATATGTGACATAGTTGTTCTCTGGATCATCTGCATCGACCCAGGCTTTGTTGTCTGGATAGGGTAGAGGCCCGGAGCAGGAACCAAGTATCCATGACTGGATTGAACAGTTTGGAAATGTGATCTGGAAGCGAGATTTGATGACCATCTTGGAATCGTTCAATGTTGCGAGCTGAACAAGACGACTAGATGAAGCAGGAGATAAGGGGACTCTCCAGATTACTAGTGTCACTAGGAGAAAGGTGTTGGAACATAAGGAGGCTTCTTGAGCAAATGAGGACGGGATGGCTCGTTTTTGTTACCCTCAGTTGGACATTCGGGTTTGGCCAGGTACCCTTGCACAGTCTCTATGGGAGTGGAGTGCTGAGTATAAGTTAGGAGTTGTCTGAAAGGCTTTTGGCCGAGTAGTTTGCTATCACGGGGAGCTGGATATAAGTAATATGATGGCTTGACTGAATTGCATGTAGAAGGGTCAATGGTCAGAGTGCCAGATCAATGCTTGCGATGGTCTACTCCTGGTTCTGGCTCGAGATACGCTCTAAGGGGCTATTCTGTTCGTAAATGGGGGTACAGTTCACCTCGAGCTACTCCTGGGTCAGCCGCAGATTGCCAAGGAAGTGGCATAGTGCAGCCGATGTGGCTCCATGGCCATATCGGAGAGATTGCGAGCATTCGGTGGCCATTGTCCACGGATCGATCCGTTGAGCACCATCAGCCTCAACGTCGGAGGGATGAAGAAGGACCCTAACTGTAGCGAATGACGGAACGTGCGCGTATCAAAAACGGCTTGGACCCGGAAACCACCAGTCATGGACCCGCTGAACTAGCATGCATCAGCTAAATCCAACCTCTCAGAGGGCTCTCCAAGCGTTCCCTGTCAGTTGCAATATCCAGTAAGGGACTACCGGTCAATGCATCGTACCATATTAGCTTGTCCCTCAGCGCTGGGTCCACGCTTTCTTCCGTTTGGCCTGGCTTGAGCACACCTACTTACTTAGGTAGTTGATGGGCAAGTACATGGCATTCGTGGGATGCCCAACAATGCTGAATCCGGGACGAGCAACGGTTTCTCTGGTCTGTCTGATAACTCCAACGTTCGTCACACGACCAACCCAGGTAGCAGCCGCGGTGCAACATGGAATCCTTCGGCTGCGGAGAATTACTTCAGTATGTGCCGTCTGTCCTTCCACGCGCCCGGTGAGGGTGGATGACGGGTTGGGTGACCTCGACATTTTCTTGGGCTAAGCGGTGATTGTTTTCTCTCCCCCACTGGATGCTGACTTGGCTCGTTGCACAAAGCTGAGCGCATGCTGGTCCTTGGTGAATGCCATTGCTCACACAGCATTAAGTGTTGACCGCTTTGCCATGCATCTGAATGTAGCAGCGCCATACAGGCTACACATCTAGTTCGGGTTCTTTTCTGTTCGTAACACTGCTCCGCAGTGTGGCATCGCCTGTCACTGGCCCATGTCTCCCCAAGTTCTGTTTTCCTTCTTGAATAACGTGAGATGTTGTGTGGTCCTCTGCTCTCGTAGGCTCCTCGTGGTCGTTGGGGCGTTTAGGTAGCACGGCACTAGTCTTAGGACCATTTTTTGGGCTCTTGTCTGGAGCCAGATGCCACACCGGTTGGGCCTGGACCAAGCCTCTCTGGCGAATCAACTGAAAATAGAGTATTCCAGTGGGAGGAGATGGCACTGGCTCTTGACGCCACTCGGCGAAGATGAGCGAACAAGAACTCGGAATGTCGACCATGATGCAGCCATGATATGAGCAGTCATTTCATTGGTGATGATCTTGCTGGATGGAAACGTGAACCTTGGCTTTCGGGGGACACTGCACACTACTCCTCCAAGCACCCGATGCTCTGGTGCGGCTTTGGTTGTGCGGGCGGAAAGAAAGGCCTGGATTGATCGATGGAAGCGCAATAGTTGAACATCGAGAGAAGACTCGATGGATAGCTTGTTCAAAAATAGCCACTTGCGTTAGCTGCATGCCTACCTAAGTACATGCCACACTGCTGGTCGTTCCTGCCCCCCGATTGCATGCATCCCTACACTACACCGCAGGTTTGATCCAGCTTTTCGTCACTATCTAGCCTCTATCCAAACTTCAGCATCTGTTAAAAGGGCTCTATGTAAGGTTGGGAGCGGGCCTACCGTCTTGTGGCACTGCCTTGGCTGAAGATTCACGAATCTCTTGAAGCAGCCAGCTATCGCCATTTCCTAGCGGATTTAACTCCTTTGCTTCTAATCGTGAAGCTTTGATCAACTTCTGTGGAAGAACTCTTGTACCAATCCAACACCCGCTGTGACGAATATGAGAAGAAAGATTGGAACAATAACCTCCATCGCTTATGTGTGAGAACTGACTCTCTCCATTGGCGGCTTTGAACCAAAATCATTTTAGGATGCAAGCTTTTACTAGGATCTGGGATCTCATTCTCATTCTCGAGAGGAGCATGGAGTGCCATGAGAGATGGAAGAGGACCCAAGAATCGTCAAATGTATTCCAATACCATTGATAGGCTTTCCGGTCTGTGGTAAAAAGGCAACCCACGATCAATTGATGAGCTCAATTGAGGAAAGAAAACCTTTAAAAATCTCAAGTATGTCATCTGGATCCTCAAGGAATGGGATTGGTATGCGAGGTAGAATAGTGATTAAGATGGATGATGAGTGCCCTTACCACTGCCCTGAACGAGAGGAAACATGAGATGAGATTGGAGGCTCCTCCTTCTAGCCTCCAAATGAGGACCAACTAGAAGACTAGCCGCAAGTCTTTCTCCAGTATCTCACGAGTGTGCGAGCTTCCAAGTTCATGTTGCAACAAGATGAAAGGCCTACCGCGAAATCCGAGTTATTGAAATGAAAATTATTAAATTGCAAGATTGGTTTAACTGAATTTTATGGTCATACTATGCATTGTGACACCATATCCGGCTTTCAATCAGGTAGTGTCTGGTGGGTTAGAAGGGGATAGTTAACTGTGAATGGAGAAGCACCTAAAGGCAGATTACATAAACCACAGAGCAAAAGTCTCGTTGTTACCGAAAATCAGCCGGCCAGACCAATCAGTGGCGTCCATTTTGCAAGCAGCTCGCTCAAGTGTAACGACGTCGACAAATTGAAGCCGAAGCTCTCACGATATTCCTCAAGCCGCCCCCAATCGTCAACGCAATTGTCGACCGGACACCTGACGACACCACGGACATCCACAATGGCCAGCAGGATCACCCCTTTCCTCGTCAGATCCGCCGTGAGGTCCGCCTCGCGCGCGGCTCGTGCCCCAATCCAGATCCAAACTCGCGCCATATCCGCCACGGCCCGCCGGACGAGCGACACTCTCTCCGTTGTATGTCCTGCCTGCACCGCCCGAGCGCCCAATTGCTCTCCCACCGACCCTAGCTACTGGACACGATTGTCTGGGATCAAGAGTAATGCTAACTGAAGCCTCCCGCTAGCACCGCAACACACCCGACAACAACGCCGATATCCCCTTCAAGTTCAACGCTCAGAATGAGGCCGTCATCGCCGAGATCCTCAAGAAATACCCCCCTCAGTACAAGAAGGCCGCCGTCATGCCTATCCTCGACCTCGGGCAGCGCCAGCACGGCTTCTGCTCCATCAGCGTCATGAACGAGGTCGCCCGCCTCCTCGAGATGCCCCCCATGCGTGTCTACGAAGTTGCCTCATTCTACACCATGTACAACCGAACTCCGGTTGGCAAGTTCTTCGTTCAGGCCTGCACAACCGTACGCTCCATATTCCCCTCCCCCCCCAAAAAATTCCGCCCGTGAGAGCAGATATCTCCGCAATTGAGATCTTTTTCTCTCCACGGCTCGGCAAACTAATTCCCAATTGATACTGACACCACGCTCCCTTCTAGACCCCCTGCCAGCTCGGAGGCTGCGGCTCAGACGCCGTGGTCAAGGCCATCAGCGAGCACCTCGGCATCAAGCAGGGCGAGACCACCAAGGACGGCCTCTTCACCTTCATCGAGGTCGAGTGCCTCGGCGCCTGCGTCAACGCCCCCATGATCCAGATCAACGACGACTACTACGAGGACCTCACCCCCGAGACCGTCAAGCAGCTCCTCACGGCCCTCCAGGAGACCGCCGCCAACCCCAACGCCAAGGTCCCCGCCGCGGGACCCCTCAGCGGCAGGCAGACGTGCGAGAACAGCGACGGGCAGACGAACCTGCTGGACCAGCCATGGGGCGTCGAGAAGACGAGGGCGGACCTGTAAACAATAGCAAAGAGAGGAACAAAGGACAAAGAGTTAGAGAGGGAGACTTATTTTTTTTTATATTCACCGGGAAACGTCATGGGGAGAAGGGAAAACTACGCGAGGACGAGAGGTGCGAAATTTAACTGTACATAACGGTGCTTGGAATGTTATCTCCTTATAGACATTGACGATGTAATTTCATCCCGTGCGTGTACGCAACGTACTGACAAAAAAACTTCATGCATGAATGATTTACCATCAGAAACGTAGATACAAAATGCGGAAAAAGGAACCCTTAGTCAAACTTGTCCGGTAAATACCAAAACCAAAAACGAAAAACAAAAGAGAGATATCAGTTTGATACCCAAGCCGTCGTACACCCATAGAGATCATGATCGTATCTGCCAAAGTATCATTTCTTCATTTTATTTTCTTTCAATTTGGCTAGTAGCCAAGACGCAAAAGCCACCCATCCCCGAGCAGCTCGTCGTCCTCATCGAGTCCGCCCCAGAGGACGATGGCGCTCTCCTCCAAGTCGGGCAAGACGGCACTTGCCAGCCAGGCTCTCGGGCCTGGCTCATCCCGGCTCTCCTCCGTGTCATATGGCGCGGTGCCGACCTTGGTCCATTTACCCTCGCCAGTCTTGCGTCCAATGGCCTGGGAAAAGGCATCCGAGACGCTGGCGATGGTCATGCCCAGAGGAGGGGTCTGGAATAGCCAGATGTCGCTGAGGAACTTTCCGGAGCCTGCATCGGCGTCGGTGTCGGCCTCGCCCATGGCAAGCACAAGGAACTCCCGTCCACCGCCGATCGTGAGGGCGTGAAGGGAAGCGGCACTGCGCGGGGCGGGCCAAGCTTGGACTGGCTGGCTGGGAATAGCATGAGATGATTCCTGAGTCTGGTCCTGATAAATAGACTGCCACTTGCCGCGGGCATGAATAGACACCTCGCCCTTGCTGGCCCTGTCATCGAATGTTTCCACCTCAAGTTGGATGAAATCCAGCTGGCCGCCAATTTCGTTCTCGCCGTCATAGCCACCGAAGCGGAAAAGGCGGCTCTTGCTGATGCAAATAGCTGCACCGGATCTGGTAGGACCAGGAGCTGCTGGAAGTTCAGTCCAGGTCCTTGAGTGAACGTCAAATGCCCACAGGTCATTGGTGCGGTCCTCGTTGGCCAGAGAGCCGCCATGTACAAAGAAGGTACCGTAGCCGTCTGATTCTTGGTCAATGGCCTCCTCGGCAACGTTTCCAACAATTGGATCCTGAGGAATGCCAGTCTTGGAGGTGTCGCCGATGATCATGTTCTGCCAGGTGTTGGGCACAGAGTCTCTGGGCTTAGCGAAGTCCTGGGGCCTGTCGGTAGATGTAGCGCAGTGGTGGCTTCGCGCAGCAGGATGGGGAATGATGGTTCCTCCCCGGACGGCTGGCACAGGGTCAAGATGTGTCCACTGGCTGGATCGAGTGTCGAATACCCATACTCGGCCAGCCTCCTCCAGCGGCTTCATGTCATCGCCGCCACGACCTCCGAAGACGAAGATTCGAGATCCTATAGCGGCCGAAGCGTGCCCAACACGAGGTGGTGGCACCTCGTCTCTGGCCTTCCCTTTACCCTTGCTCTTGTCCTGGAGTTGTTCCTCCGCCTCCGCCTCCTCATCCTCCTCTTCTCCCGGTGTCTCCTCCTCGCCGGTGTCCTCACTTTCCTTCAGAGACACCTCATCCAGCTCACCTTCAGCTGGCTTCTTTCCATCAGATGACTTGGTATCCTCACTCTCGGGGGCTTTCGGGGGTTTTGGGGTCTTGGGAGCGGGGAGAGGGCTCGGATCGGCGAGGGCGTTCGGCGGGGCTGCGATGGCCTTGATACTGTAGTAATCGGCCCCGGCGCTGCTGTAGGCGAGCTTGATGACATGCACATCATTGTCGAGGGGCTTGTCGGAATCAACCTCGCCTCCGAACAGGTAGGCAGATCCGTCAATGATATCGAGCGAGTGGGATGATCGAGGGACCGGGGGTAGAGCGATGCGCTCCCAGGTGCCCTTGATAGGGTACTCTTTGGTGAAAGGGTTGTAGCTGGAGAGCTGGGAGAGCTGGATGTTTGGCAATTGAGGCAGCTTGGGGAGCTGGGGCAGCTTGTTAATCGACGGCAGGTTGTGCTGGGCATTCTGCAACACCTCGGTGGTCCGGCGCTTGAGCGTCGTGAAGTTGGACTCGTCGGCCATGGTGATGTCTGATTGAGCCTTTTTGGGGGTTTGCTTCTGGGTAGACTCGTCGGCCACAACAAGGCGAGGATTCAAGCTAATAAACACAGCACCAGGTGCAAGAGGCGGTCGACCGCTTGTCCTTGTTAGTGCCGCGGCCGGAGCTTAATGGCGGGCGTTGAAGAGGTGGACGGGGATGTGCGGATGGTCTGGAATGGAATCAACAACCGACGAAGCTAGAGCTGGGTGCTGAAGCTGGAGTTGTCTGGGCCGGTGACAAACAAGACGGCACTACTGAGGATGTCAGCAATGCATGCGATGAATTGATGCTCGCTGGATGGGGCATCGTGCCAAACCCCAAACGCAGGATACCAGCTCCTCCCAAAAGAGATGGGGTCAGCCGTCTGTGGGCGTAGCAGGCCCAGAGCCCAGAGCCACGGCCACATACCAGGTAGCCAGCCACGGCGGGCTACGGCCCAGCACAGCCGGTGCAGAACCACTGAGAGGGCTGGACATCAGGTGCTGACGACGTACGTCATAGCAGGTCATAGCAGCTGCCCTCCAGCAGCCACCACCAAACAGGCTGAGCTGACACAGTGACAGGCCACTGGGCTTCCGAGGCGGTGTCCAACTCGCCCTTCTTCGCGCTGCCAAAGTATGGTACTCATTGGACAAGGCGTTATTTTCTCCCCAATTGAAGCCTAAATGCACTGCCTTGTCCAGCCACAAGCTACGAGGAATCGCCAGCAAAGACACATTGTCCCTGCTGGAACCCAGGGCATGAGAGCTAGGACCAACCCCGCCGTGAGCCAGGGAACATCACCCACCTTCTAATGAATGCGGTACGTCAGAATGTCCATCACAGATGTTGAATACCCAGACTCTCACCCTGTCGTACTGCGTAATGAGACAATTATACATGTATGTGTATTTACTACGTCAATACTCGGCCCATCTTCTTCAAACCATTCCCAAATGCCTGAACCACATGCACAGGAATGGGTGGGCAATCTTCCTGCCCCAAGGCCACATCAGCGACTAGCCATGTAATCTAGCACACACCTGTTAGTGAAGGACAGTACATGCAAGACCACCACGGTGCTTAGGAACTTGCCCCAAAGTCCGGTCTCATGCAACGCATGGCCAGTTTCCGAGCAAGAAGTCGCTGTTTCTACTCAATACGGTAATCATGTGCGGACGTTGGCAACGTGTGCGTAGGTGGCTCAGCCGTTGATCGCCCCCAACAGGCGCTGGAATATGAGTCCTAATGTGGACAACTAGTGCAGCTTGCTGGGCGCGCGATTAGTCTGCTGAGAGGCAGGATTATAAAAGATAATAACAATCCACCAAAGTTCTGAATAAATACAGGGTTCTAGACTGCTTACTATTCTGAACGTTCTCTGTCATAGGCTATGCTTTTGTTTGTGGAGGATAAGCGCTTGTCTCTGGTTACGAGCATCCGCAACTACCTATAAACACGTGCTAGCACAATATATTAGGACATAGCATGCTAATACCAATTCGTTTCACATTTGGTAAATTATTCTAAATAGCGACCAGGGATATTTTCAAAGCTCGGCTTCTCGTCTAATACTGGCTTCTGGCTAGCTTTTGGGAGAAATCTACTGTCCTGGCTGCGCCGTGGTCTCCTGCATATCTTAATGCAGAAACCCGCTGCAAGCTAGCCTATACCCGATCTGCTCAAAATGCTCCCTTTATTCGAGAACGCCTGCATAAAAAAGGGCAGCACCTCTATTCTGGCGGGTTGAACAACTTGAAATATATTTGCTCGCTATAGGGAACGTCCCTACTCGGAGTGAGATGCATCACCCCGAAGTGAAGTTCATTGACGTTGATGCAACCTAAAAGCAAAATTGCCAAAAAATAACTTTGCCCCCACACAGAATTGAACTATGGATCTTCGCATTACAAGTGCGACGCTTTACCACTAAGCCATAGGGGCTTTAGCAAGTTATTTATGTCAGCACGGTTCGTTGATTGTACTAAGAACCATTGGCAGCGTGGTTCGCACATGGTTCGCAAGCAACCTGAGGGCATTGCGTGGCGTGGTTGTACAACGTATTCATGTGGTGATACTACTAATGCAAGGCGTGTTGGTCCTTTCCGGCTTTCCCGATTCTATTGTAGTCATACGTAGATTGACAAACGAGCTGTTTTGCTTTAGATGTAGCAATCACAGATGTTCAATGGCTCGAGGTTCGGCCGCCCTTAATTCCACAGATCTTAGCGTCTACCTACCCGTCTGCCTACCCGTCTATATTCCGCGATCTCTCCACTGTATTTACAGCTCTCAGCTATACTAGGTAGCTCTGATTATGCACTAGAGCTGGTGTTGGCCGCTAAAACTAGGTAGGCGGTTATCACTCAACTTCATGCCTCGGGGGCCAATCCTTCTCTTTGCTTACACCACCGCCTCTCTCAGCCACCAACACCATGTACAACAAGCCAATTGAACCGGTGAGGCTCTGTTGTGATCTGCCGAGAAGCCGCGTAATACCGATTTTGATTTGATATTCATCACTGGCCATGTGCCCAGCTCCTTGATTCAGATGCTCCCTCAATTTACCAGGGCTTCCCCTATGAGCAGGGGGATGAATGAACAGGAGGCCAGAGGCAGTCGAAACATATGAATATCGCGTAAGAATATCAGCCTCCAGAAGACCTGCACATAAGGCTGTTGGTCCAGTGTTGCATCCGGGAATCGGACGCACGCACATCCAGCCATGTCAGATTTCTCTTCGAGGCGGCTACTCCTGCAGTTAGGCGCCGGCCCCAAATGCCGCCAGAGCTGAGCTGAGCTGAACCTGGTTCGACAGGTCACAAGAAGGATTGCGGCTCATTTTACCCTGTCTGGCTTATATACTGAGATCGGAGCCCCCATCTCGAGGCCCTACCAACAAGAAAAAAAATCTTTGGATTCGGTATTTCCTTCTTCACGACCTCAATTGATTCAACGCTTCGCCATGGAGGAGGTATACAACACCCTCACCCTCACAGGGGCCAAATGGTGGGACCTGCAGCACTCCCCCAATGAGGAAACATTCAAGGCGACACAGTTCTGGCTGGACCAAACCTCCAAAGCTGTCGAGGTGGAGATTCAGACGGTCGAGCCCGCTCAGCGAGACGCATGGCTGAAGCGACGGACGGACGACAAGGGCCGGACGCTCATTGCGCGTTACGTCTGGCTCAGCGCGACCGGCCCCAACAAGAACGAAATCAATCTGACCAAGGTCGTCCAGAACACGCTCTGCGAGCAGTTCGGCCTCAAGACGGCCTACAAGTACTTCCACACCTTTGTCAGCGGCGTGGCCTCGCTCCCCCGCGAGTCCACGCCGGAGTTCGAGCGGCAGGCCTTTGCGTTCTGCTTCGGTCCGAAACTCGCTGCCATCTGGTCGCACAGGCTGTCCAAGACGTCAACAGATGATATCACCGAGGGCATCATCTTCACCCAGGGCGATGCCGTGCAGCAGACCTACCTGCGATTCATTTCCAAGATCCCATGGAACCACGGCATCTGTCTGTCGTCTGCCTTCCTAGCATACCTGTTCAGCATGGTCCTCTGCTCAGAGATAGATACCCTCCAGAAGACGATCCTACAGGGTGTGAAGGAGATTGAGGGGGAGACCGGCTTCCACGGTTTCGCCGAGCGCAAGAAGAAGCTAGAGCAGGGGAGATCACTGGCAACCGAGGCGATGGTAGAGATGTCAGCAAAGGCCAGCGGATTCACAACCAAGCTGGCAGGCACGGGTAGAAAATCCGACATGATCGAACAGCTTCTGGAGCTGATGCTGAAGAGAGCCTCCGAGGACCGCGCCAATCGCGAGAGACTTGCGTCCGGAAGGAAAGCAAAAGATAAAGAGCCTAATGGAGCTCCAATCTTGAGGGCTCATGTTGAGGTTATGCGGCAGAGGATGAAGATGCAGAGCTCCGAGACAAAGTACATCCAGGAGCGGGTCCAGATCCAGATTTCAGCGGTAATTGATGATGCTCCGTTCTCGGTTCTGATTTTTGGAGGCTAACAAGATCTCGTTCAGACTTTCCACACCATTTCGCAAAACGACACATTGGCCAACTTGGAGGTCGCCGAAGAGACCAGCCAGATCGCCTACTACAGCTACCGCGATGCCTCCTCAATGAAGACCCTCGCCTTCGTCACAATGGTCTTCCTTCCTGGGAGTTTCATCTCCGCGCTATTCTCGACACAAGTATTCAATTGGGAAGCGGGAGGCGGATTCAGTGTCGGCGTGAATCCTCGCTTCGGATTGTACTGGGTCATTACGATCCCGCTTACCCTAATAGTCTTCCTGCTTTACTACGTATGGATTGGGAAACTGAAACGAGACGTGGACAAGAGGAAGAAGGATAGAGAGGAGAGAAGGAAAACTCTGACCGAACATCCAGACGCATCTTCTTCGAGCTACTCCATACGCGGGCCAGGAAACAACGGCAGGGGAAGGACTGCGACTTTTGCTGATCACATTAAACTGAAGAGGATGAGAACGAGAACTACCAGCGGACACGCAGAAAATGGCACGAATGCTGTTTAATGATTGAATGCTGTTTAATTCTAATGAGTGTTATGCTGTATCTATGGCCCATGCGCCTCCTGGAAGAGAGGGAATAACAAGAATACTACTACTATTATGATGATGATAAGAATACTGAAAACCCAAGTCTACACGATCATGCCTTCATTTCTCGCTGACTTCAACCATGCAATGAAAATCAACCTAGTTGATGCCACAGTCGCTGAGGCCAACCTGGGAGGCGGTGGCCTCGATGCGGCCGAGCTGCTCAGCCTGGTTGTTGGTGAGGCGGTCGAGAGCAGCCTTGGCGATGTTGTAGCCGGCGCTGGCGGAGTCAATGGCGAGGACGTTGATGCTGTTGCCGTTGTACTCGAGCTTCCAGCAGGTGCCGCACTGGGCAGAGTTCCAGCCAACACCCTGCATGCCACCGATGTTGGAGAAGGTGGGGATCTGGCCCTGGGTGGTCCAGCCGTAGCGGGTGATCAGACCGTTGGGGCCGTCGGAGCAAGTGACGGCGGTCATGAGGCGGTTGCCATCATCATAGCCGGTGTCGTAGGAGACTGCAGGAGGCTTTTGTTAGTATCATCCGTCACACGATGCCGTGAGATGCGAGGTGTAGAAGTGTACCTGTGACGGCAGAAGCGGCGGCAGCAAGGCCGAAGAAGGTAGCAATGGTAGAGAACTGCATCTTGATGGATTGAGAAGAAGAGTTGCTTGTTTGACTGAAGCTGGGTTTGGTGAAGAGCTGAGCTGAGGAGATACTGCTTTGTATTGAGAGCTGATGATGGTGAAATCGAACAATTCAAGGGGCCGACTTGCTCTCCTTTATACTTTGATGAAAGTCGTGATGACCTACCTGTCCGGCATCTTGTTTCCTGCTCGCCTGGGTAAGGTAGTTACGTTACCCCGTCAGCTCTCATCACCGCCCCCAGCAGCATAGGCAGGAGCGGAGAATATCGTATTCTGTCTCTGGCGGCTGCAAGCTCCCGCCGGGCGCGCGATGACGCTGCTCATCGCCGAGAAGGGCAAATCACGCGTCTGGTCTTTCCCAGTCGGCGGAGTGAGCGTGACCAAAACCTCGCCGTGTAAGTACTAGAGCCGAAGCAGAGTCAGACGGGCCTCAATGCATAAGGGCTCTCCTCGTATTCTGCAGGGCACAGCGTCGTTCGAGGAATCCACTCAGTGTCCGCCGAGTGGGCTATATCCCAAGTGTGTTAGATGAAGTCCTCAGCAAGGCTTCCAAGTACCGAGAGTAAGCCCCCCGGTCTCCCGGATAGCAGTGGGCATCACCATCTTCGTCCGGGGCACCGAGGCGTGGGGATCCACTACATGACATGACATTACATGGTGCATGGTCGCATATGTAAGGGATGGTTGTTCTTGTGTGGGTGTGTGGGAGTACTGTAGAGGTAGTGCGCAGGGTCAAACTGTCACTTGGCCGTGTCGTATTGAGAGCGCCGATCACTCAAGTGAGGTTCCTCGTATTTGTCTGATGCGGAGCTGCAACGGGCCTTGGGATCCCCGTACGCCGGCATGCCGACCCGGTTGTGGCTGCGATCTACAGGTGGAATTGCCGACGACGATTTTGGAATTACCCAGCCTGGCCTGGCCTGTTTCTATTCTTCGATGCCCGATGCCTTCGCCCCGGCAATAAGCTTAAGCCTGCAAAGGGCGGTGGGTTTTGGACTGTCACTCGCAAACGAATTGGCAATTCCATCTGGCCTGGTCAGAGCGACCCTGGTGATACGAAGAGTAAGAGCCAAGCCTTTGCTGAGACTGGAAACTTGACACCGCCATTGGAATGGAACTCACTTGTATTGCACCGAGAATGTTGCCACGACGGTCTTGATTATGGACTTTTGGTTAACTACGTGGACCCGTTGATGGCGTTGGGGTTTAGGAAAGAGCTAGTTAGTCTGTCAGCCTAGGAAGTGTCGTATTCTCTCATGCCTGAGGTGGAAACTGGGGTCCTTTGAGGTGAACTATTTTTACCACCCGCGGTGGAAATGTAGAAGGCATAGAACTAGAGAAAAGTACATGAGACATATCGTATAGTACCTACGGGCAAGCTCAAGCGAGATTCTGCAGAGAACCGACGGAACAGCCCAGCCACAGCCGGGCGCGTGGTGTTGTGCAAGGGTAGCACATGGCCGAGAAGAGGTTGTTTTAGGTCCTGCTCCCTGAACCCTAGCGCACCGGCTGGACTCACTGGTTGGCGGGCTGCCCCGAGACATCGATAGCGGCCGAAGTATGACGAGCGAGACATGCAGACTCCAGGTAGAAGAATCATGCCGCTTGAGACGAAAGCAAGGTCAGAGGTGCAGATGTGAGTCGCAACTGAAACCAAAGAGAGCATGGCATTGCAGACGTTCCAAGAATTGCCGTCTTCTCCATCAAGCCGCCGGGTAGGCAAGTGCCAGAAGTAGAAAGAACGGAAGGCAGGCAGTCCGTGTACCGATTCTCAACGTCCAGACTGTGAGCGATGCATTGAAAAAGACCTGCGCTGCATACTTGCATATATTAACAGCACGGGCGGCCAATCACACCATGGCCGGCCCGCAGACACTGGTGAAAGAGGCAGTTCTAGGGCACTGGGCACTGGAGGGCCGCTGGTGGTGGGGCTGGCGGGGTTCCTGACTGCTGCCCCTCCATCCCGATCATCGGGGCACGAGGAGGAGAGAAGATCTTCGAGTGCGGCTGCTTTTTCCTCGTTGCCCTCTGACTACACTCGTCAGCTCTCAACGCCTGTCTACGCCCACACCCTCGCGGGCGCCATTGCTTCCAACAAGCAACACAAGGCCGCCAAAGACACTGGACAGCCCAATTGGTTTCCCTTTCTAGCACTTTGGAGCTAGCTTCGCCCGCAGCCAAGCCATGGAGTCCTTCGTCATCAAGACCCCCTGCTCCAGTGCCAACATTGGCCCGGGCTTCGACGTCATCGGTCTCGCTCTGTCTGTCTATCTCGAGCTCCATGTCACCATCGACCGCTCCAAGACCACCTCCGACCAACCCCTCAACTGCCGCATCACATACGAAGGCGAGGGCGAGGGCGAAATCGACCTCGATCCCCAAGTGAACCTCATCACTCGTGTTGCTCTCTATGTCTTGAGGTGCCATGAGCAGAGGTTCTTCCCCTCCGAGACCCATGTCCACATCAAGAACCCTATCCCTCTTGGCCGAGGCCTGGGTAGCTCAGGAGCAGCTGTTGTTGCTGGTGTGATGCTGGGCAAGGAAGTTGGCGGCCTGTCCCATCTGACCGAAGACCGACTCTTCGATTACTGTCTGATGATTGGTGAGCAAGAACAAATGCCGGATAACAGGGCCCAATATCTGCACTGTTGGCGGCCAAGAGAGATACTAATACAGGACCACAGAACGTCACCCAGACAATGTCGGAGCAGCATTATTTGGTGGATTCGTCGGCACATACCTGAAGCCTCTCACGCCTGAGGATGTTGCTAGAGTAGAGATTCCTCTGAGCGAGGTCCTGCCTGCCCCTGCTGGTGGTGTTGACACGGGAGAGAGGCCACCTGACCCACCTCACGGCATCGGCCACCACATCAAGTTCCCCTGGACCACGGAAATCAAGGCCATCGCAATCATTCCCGACTTCACTGTTGCTACTCACAAGGCACGCGAAGTTCTCCCTGCGGCGTATTCTAGACCTGATGTGGTGAGTAAACCCAGCCCTGGAAGCGACCCGTTTCCGCTTCTTGATCATGTTATTGATGCGTTCCTCAGGTCTTCAACTTGCAACGAATTGCGCTTCTTCCCGTTGCTCTGGGTCAGTCCCCCCCTGACCCTGAACTGATTCACCTGGCCATGCAGGACAAGGTACATCAGCCTTACCGCCAAACTTTGATCCCCGGTCTCAATGAGATTGTGGAATCAATGTCCCCCAAGACCGACGATGGTTTCCTCGGGGTGTGTCTTTCAGGAGCCGGCCCAACCATTCTGGCACTTGCCACACACAATTTCGAGGGGATTGCCGGTAAGATTGTCGACAAGCTGAGACAATTCAACGAGAACAAGGACCTCAAGTGCACCTGGAAGGTACTGGAACCTGCTGAGGGCACCAAGGTGATTCGATGAAAGATCCAACATAAAAGGGGTAGAGTATAGGACGACTGATAAATTACCGAGATAATTCTTTTCGTGGTGCTTGTCTCAGGGCGATGGCATTGGAAACGATTGCTAGGAGATGTATACGCGTGACAGCAATTACAGATACCCTTTTTGAGATTTAGCCCGAGATAGAAACTAAAATAAATGTATTCAAGTGATCAGGTATAGCAAAATGCCCATAACTCAGCTCAATAGCTACCTATGCTCGGCCAAGTTGGCAGATGGGAACATTGGCAACCACGACCAGGCCAGACGCACGTGAAGCCGATTGCTTCTTCACCTTTTATGGATAAATTATTTGATGAGCCTTGGGAAAGTAGCGCCGGGCGGAGTTCCCAATGATCTTAGATTGGTTGCATGGTGTCGAGTAAAGCAAGCCAGGCTGTTCGCTCTGCTACTCCAATAGCCAATAGGCGGCTTGCCCTTGGTGAAGGATGAATTGAACCTCGGCCGTGAGAGGAATTGAGTTTGTCTTCCTTACCTCACGTGGCGATCGACAGGGGCCTTCTTCTCATTCAACAAGGCTGAGGTGGTAACAGAATGAGAAGGAGAATGTTGGGATCGTGGAGCTGGTGGAACTTCCCCAGCGTCCAATTGCCTTTTTAGGCACTGGCCATTCACAAGCCCAGATCTTGCCTCGGTTTGCCGTTTACTAGCTGGTCCCTGGCTCGGCCCATGCTGTAATACCACTGTAAAAGCTGAATCCTTAGATCGCTAGCGTCAAATTCATCATATCCAGGCTCCACTTGCCAACTCCTGCATATCCTCCTAATTAGCATCTATCTATCTCGCCGTCTGTTATCTTGCCATTCCCTCCCTCCCTCGCTCATGTCCATCTCCCAAAACATCTGTTCCGTGAGCACGCTTCTCTGTTTCGCCCGCAACGTCCCGCTGTGGATTATCGCCATCCTCGGGCTCATCCTTCTGTCCCTCGGGACGTCAATCAGGCGAACAGTGGCGCACGGGAGGGAGAAGAAGACTAGCTGATCATCGATTGCGCGATTGACCGCTTATACACAATGGCGTCGGCGTCGAGCAGGGTGGACGCCTTTGCGCTCATCGCGCCCGTCTTCATCCCCGCGACACTCGGCGGTGCCGGATACGCAGCATGGAAGCTCGACTGGAAGGTCATGATCAAGTCCTTCCTCACCGGACCAGGACGCACCTCGCGCATCATGCTGCTCCTGTTCATGTTCTTCAATTGGAAGAACCTGCCCTTTGCGTGGACGGTATGATGCCATCTCGCCCGCCGGCAACTCCGGCCTCAAGAAAAGGGCAAATGAACAAGCCATAACTGACAGATGGCTTCCTAGTATCGAGTCTTCTACTCAATTATCCACCACCACATCGTGCGCAAGTCGCCGCAGCTCGGGCCCCGGGCCCTCTTCAAGCCCATGATCTCCAAGACGTGGGCTCCCGTCCTCGAGATCGACTACAACCTCCACAAGTCCAACTCGACCTTCTTCAGCGACCTGGACGTCTCCCGAACCCACCTCGTCTCCTACCTCCTCCGCCCGACCATGCGCGCCCTCACCCACAACACCAAGAGCAAGCTGGTCCTCGACCCGGCCTCGGGCGCCCCCATGAAGGGCCCCCTGGGCATCCTCCTCGGCGCCGTCACCTGCAGCTTCAAGAAGGAGGTCGCCCCGTACAAGACGTACGAGCTCTGGAGCCGCATCCTCTGCTGGGACCGCAAGTGGCTCTTCGTCATCACCCACTTCGTCCCCAAGGGCACCGCCAAACCCACCGAGTGGCTCGACCCCAAGTACGGCAAGGTGCAGACCCGGTCCGCCCAGGACGCCGCGGGCGGCTGGGAGCGCAAGATCATCGCCACCGCCATCAGCAAGTACGTCTTCAAGGTCGGCCGCCTCACCGTGCACCCCGCCCTCATCCTGGAGCATTCAAACATGCTTCCGGAACGCCCGGGAGGCTGGCAGGGCGGAGAGAATGGCCTCGGGGACGAGTCTGTCGACGTCAGCGATATTGACCTGAGGTTCGAGGGTGAGTGGGACTGGCGTCGCACTGAGGCTCATCGCCGCCAGGGCATGGACCTGGCTGCCCACTTCAATGCGCTGGAAGGAGGACATGATCTGTTCGATGGCGGCAACACTGGTGCGCTGTGCCGTGCCTGGCCTGGCTAAGCAACGGGGAAGACCAATCTAGAGGGAAATAGACGTTGGACCGAACAGCATCCCCTTTGGATGCTATAGTTGGATACTCACAAGGTAGTAATGGGGAAGAAAGAGACACCTGATAGAAATAATAGATGAGGAACTAGCTCGCTAGACAGAAAGAGGATATACAGATTTCACAAAACAGCCCCAGATGCTTCCGAAAGATTGTCCTTGTCAACACGGTCGATCCCAGCCCATGATGGTTATGATTCCAACGCCGCCGCTCCTCCCAAAGAAACCAAAAGAAATAAGGACGATATTTGTTTTTCCCTTTTCCCGTCATTACTATTTCGTTACAATATTCTTGAACTCGTATCACGTTCCCCCCGCCCTCCCCAGCTGACGATGATGGGGGAACGAAACCTATAACATGGCGACGATGCCGGCAAGAATGACGCCGCTCACAAGCCAAGACTGAGGCGCTGAACTTGGTGTACCGAGGGATCCCTTCGTATCAGTCTGCACTGATTTGACGCCGGTACTGGTCGCTGTGGATGTACTGTTCGTCTTGAGCTGGTTGAAGCACAGATCCGTGACCACCGAGGAGGCAGCTAAAACACATCAAGTCAGACAGGGAAACGAATTGCCACTGGAAAGGAGAGGGAGAAGCTTACTGGCGATTTCAGTGAGGTTGCACCCAGCCTTACTGTTTTCCCCATCTGTTAGATTTTCCCATCGGGCAGCACATTTTGGGTGGGTTTGGGAACCACTTACACCATGCAGGGCGCCGTCTCGTCCTTGATGGCCTCGTAGTTGTTGCACTGGCACTCGAAGTCGGTGACGTTGCACCCGAGGGCCTGGGCGCCGCTGGCGATGCAGCCGACGGAGCACTTGGGGAGCTTGGCCTGGATCTTGAGCAGGTCTTCGACCGAGGCGGCGGCCGCGCCACCAGTCGTGACGGCGAGGAGGATCGTGGTCCACTTCATGCTTGGATGGGTTGCTTCCCCATGCAGCGTGATTGTGTATTATATTGGCAAGCTGGAAGAAGGGGAGTTGTGAAGACGGGTTATGGAGGAGCAATGGTGGAAGTATTCTAGGCAATGGCTTCGTGTCGTCCGGTCTGGCCTCGATTATGAGTCGCACAGATCGCTAGTGTCACCTGGAATTAGGATCGTGGGCTTGGCATATATGAAACCGATATAAGGAGCAACAAGGTTGGGATGGAGGAGAAATAGCCGATGTGTTTGAACGTCCCTTGATCAGGACCCATGGGAGAGAGGCTGGCTCGACAGGCAGGGCGGCGAGCGAGGTATAATATATATCTACATGTATGTACTAGCGAGGGCGATCAGGACGGGACACGAGGCGTGGGTGTGCTTCCACTCTTTCTGGCCAGGCGTGGGATAACACGCTAATAATCAGGCACGCCGCAAATGATCACATCTCATCCTGCCTCCCCATCCATCCTCTTCGTCTACTCTCGTCTTGCGTGAAGACGGATTGGGAAAGGGAGGGGTGCGGTTGGTGCGACAGGTCAATGCAATCCCAATGGGTCAATGACATACTAAGTCCCCAGCCAGGCAAAACCAATACTCAACGGGGGGGGGGCAGTAAGGCAAGCCGTCGAGTTACATACGTACATAGTCAGGGCGAGGGTATCTTCGCTTGGCAGCACTAGGCCTCTGCTTTTTGTTGGGTCGTGAGGGCAGCCAAAGCAGCCAACAGGGGTCCTGGATTCGATCGTCTGGCTCTAGCGACACCCCAGACATGTCCATGGGAGCGGTAACCGAGCAATAGTAATAAGCATCCTATTCCCCAGGCTGTGAGCAGCCGTATGCATTGATCCTTTGCCCTCTCCTTCGTGTCTGTCTGGCGATACGTGCTCGTATCTCGGACGATTCTGGGTCGAGCATCCCAACGTTTCCGCAACATTCACGTAACTACGTAGGAAGCTTCGACAGAAAGAAGATGGTGTGCATGACAGGGGCCGAGCTTCCCCGGACAGCTTGCGTTTTATCTGCCCCCCTCCTCCTCTGTCCCCTGAGCTCGAGCTACAGCCCCTACTATTGTACCTATGGATGCCTCCAGGGCTAGGCCAGGTCCCAACTCCAGGACGGCTCTCCCACCCTCAGCTCCAGCCAATGTGCATACATGCGAGGGCCCTGTCCCTGTCCGACCGGACATTTCGGCTGACCCAGCACACTATTTCTCTTGACAGGCTAAAAACTAAGTCATTTAGGCGCCCTGACCCAGCCGAAGAGCCTGTGGAGGGGCCCGTCGACAACGACGAATGACAAGCCCTTGCTAAAGACATCCCAAAACCTCGGGGCTCTTCTTCAGCGCAGACCTACGTAACGCTCTATTCTCCGCCAGGTGCATGGCAGAAGGGGCCCAATCCGCGCCGCTCCAAAGAACAGGGGGGAGGTCTTTTGTTTGCTTTTTGGTGTTGGTGTGTGTCTGCCGCTGATCAGAGCTGAGACCACTGTGCCATCGGGAGGGTAGCAATGGAGGGTGAGGTTACGCTCAACAGAAGCATTCTGCGAAAGTATTCCTCCGGGCCCTGCCCACCGGGCCAATTGGCGACGGGATCCGACGGGACCTTCTTCCCACCCTCCCTGCGCGTATGCAGTTGCTTTTCATTCTCTCGCACCGTCATCACCGCAGCTCTCATCACCTCATGCTCAATCACCGCGTGCTGCCGTGCGACTACCAGCCGCAGCGGAGGAAATGAAGGTGGCTGGCTGTGTGCGCCCAATGGAAATTAGGACCTGCAGCTAGGACTGGCCCGCTGGGAAAGGGGACTCATCAGCTGTGTGGGTGAGGTGAATTACGTCGAGAGATGTTCCTCGATGAAGATGAGAGGTGAAGAAAGGAGGAGGGGGTCACAAAAGCCCGAATTGATGAAGTGAGTAGTCAATCGTCTATGTTCTCAGTCTACTCATCTAGGTAGGCCAATCAGTAGAGCAAGCAGCGGGTGTCATGTGTGATGGCAACTGCCGTACGCGCCAGAGCCCTACCGCATTAGCACTAGCATTAGCATTACCCAGCGATTATTGCCGCTCTGTAGGGCCTAAAAGTGTGGGAACTGCACACTTCGACTTACACGAGTATATGACTGGTTATATGCTTCGTTGACTCCAGGTCAGCAGTCTTCACTGAGTCACAACTGGCAAGAAGCGCCATGTGATAAAAACACTCCCTTTAATGAGAGATTGATATTCATCTCGATTGGGTTGTGGGCATTCGTCCTTCAAGAAACTGCGAAGCATTGTTAAAGCTGGTTTGACGTCATTGCGTTTGTTTGTAACATTCACAATGAAACTCCTACAGCTCGATACTACAACCACCAGCCTCTCCCACATGCTGCGAACTTTGGTCATGGCGTTACCATGTACGTGTATCCCAAAGATACGCCATTCAAGGTAGGCGGCGTATTAGAGCTGGCTATTGATCAAGTCGTGGGGAAGGGTCGGCTCTGGGTTTGGCCTGGGACTCCTTCGCCATATTCCTCCATACATCGGCGTAAGACAGGCGAAAAGAGGCAAGCCTTAGTGTAGATCGGGACTCTTGACCCAATGTTCAAGCTTCCATTCGATAAAAATGCACCTTTTGCCTATATCAATGGGCTGAGCGGTTCACAGAGAGTAGCATGAGGTTTGGAGTCAATCAGCAACATGTCTTTGTCCAATGTATATGACCTGTTCACTGTAGTTCTTTCCGCCGCATCAACTCTGAATACTAGCAATCTTCTTCCCTGAAGCTGTTTCTCAAGGTAGACAGACCACTGAGCTGCTCACCTTCGGCCAGTACCCCATTAGTTAAAAGCCGACCCTTAGTTGTGCTGCGCCGGGTGTAAGGCTAAATATTACGCCGGTTTGGGCCTCATCAGCTGCAAATACGTGTATGCAGTGAATCGCCTACCTTTCACCACTATGCACGAGCATACACCGATCTCTTGGTCTCCTAATCTTCCAGTTTCCTAGCAATTTGCCGTGCATAGGAATATCTGAGTATAGATACTATTTTTTCTGCATTATTTTTTTTCGATTTCAAAGCCTCTCGTTGCTTAAATGCCGAACCATGATGGGAATAGGGTAGAGTCCATACCGGTTAAGGTAAACTCTTTAGATGAAGAGCATTGGTACAAGCATACTTAGTAAAAGTGATAATCTAGAAACCCGATATCGTTTACATGCCATGAAATAGCTAAAGCCACGCCACTTGAAGCGGGAAGCAGGGTTCAGTACCATCATGCCAGCTGGTGTGGGTGAGGGTGCAATATGCTACCTCCGCCAAGCAAGGAAGCGCCAAGGATCCCTCCTTCGCGCGAAGATCGGCTTTAATCACCCGCACAAGCGGTCGGTGAGCCTCATAGGGCGGACATCCCAAGCTGAAAAGAAGACGGTTTGAAAATGGCACAGTTAGCCCTCAATATAGTCTCGTTCTACGCCTCGATTTTGGCTCATCCACAGCAAGAATGCTTGGCTCAATAGTTTAATAGTTAGCTTAAATGCTCTGTCGAATGACATAGCGTGAAGCCGTGGCGATTTCTCAGCCATGCATCCAGCTCTCGATGACCTCGTGTTATTGGCTGAGCGTCAAAGCGCCTGCTCGCGCAATTGGCTCTAGGTTATTTGAGCTTTGCCTATCACACTTGCTTGGTGTCTTACAGGAGTGCTCCATTATTCACTGAGATATCTTCCAGACTTAAGCGAAGCGCTTGCGAGATCGTGACTGCAGCTCGTAATAGGAAAGTTGCACTATGATTAGCACTTGACCCTATCACGAGGTGCGGGTGCATGAACCGTGCAATAGCTGACCGAGGGGGGGAATAACACGGCGTTTGCCTGCCGACGCAGCTAGCGACCTATCCTTGCATGAGAAGTCAGGATAGTGAGGATCTGTGCCGCTTGAGCACTTGACTGAGTAGTATTTTAACACTCGAGCATCTGGCCCTGGCTTGTGTCCATTGGCTGAGAGATCCAGATCCAGGACGGGGTATAGTTTACGGTTTTGTGTGGGCAAAC